AAACTTGATGAACACATACTTTGAATTTGATTATGTTAATGAAAAAAGTTAAACTTATTTACTTTATTTTCTTATTTCAGCATGATAGATCTTATATTTAAAATTTAATTCCTAATAAATTTCAACAATCAATCGTCGAATAGAAGAATTTAGAAAATGTAAATTAAAATAATAAGAACATAATAATTATTGCATATTTAGTGATAAATTAATTAAACAATTTCAAATACAAATCATCATTTATTCATTTTGCATAATTTTCAATGAAAATATATTTATTTTTTTACAAAATATGACATCAAAATATTATTTTAACAAAAACTCATATCAATATTCTGCTTCAAATCAATTTAAAACCCTAAAATAATAAGCTTGTGTTTATTTATACTTTCATTGTTCCCTTTGAAAGTCATTAATCTGCTAATTTAGGCTTTTTTTTTTTGTTTTTAATAGTCAATGTGGAGTTACTAATATAATAAATATTTTAAAATTTATATTTATCTAAATCAATATTGTTATATCAATATAGTATATAATGACAAAATAATCTTTTATGTACAAAAAAGTATCATAAAATAACATTAATATACAATATTCATTATATCTTACACTAAAAGAAAACCGATGATGGATATTCGCACGGCTGTTTCAATTTTTTTTAGGAGCCCTGAGCAAAAATAGAAGCTCTATAAATGTACGATTAAATATATTTTTAAAATAATATCACTAATATTAGTAGTGTTGATTCGTGAGAAGAAGATGAAAGATGGACAAACGGGGATTCACTGTGGTGTTTGGAAGTTTAAAAAACGAAGAGACTGTGAAAATGAAAAAGAGAGAGAAAGACAAATTTGATCAGACTGGTCTGTACACAACTTTGGGGCAGTGTGCTCAAGACAATTAATGTCATGTATGTTCTTTTCATGATATAAATTTGTTTTTCTTATTTCAACGTGTATAAAATATGTTTCAATACAACCAAAGTGACCAACTCGATCAACATTTTGTCTTGTCTGCATATTTTCCAAAATGGTGTCAACTAGAAGTTGCAATAACAGGCCTCCAGTCTTGGTCATATGCCAAAATTAGAAAAATACTTTTGTATTTTTTCAACGGATACCGATGAGATGGAAGGGGAAAATATTGTCAATTTGTTTAATTGTAGTTTGAAATTAATTTAAAATTATTCAAATAGTGTTTTGATACGATATCTTGTAAAAAAAGTAATGTATATATTTTTTTATTAAAAAATATGCATAGTAAATACTCTCTATCTCAAAACTATAGTCTGAAGTGGGTAAAAAGTACGGATAAAAGACTTTTTTGCCCTTGTGAGTGTATTAATGTAAAAAGTAGTGGCAATTGTTTATAGTGACATGGTTATTTATGAAAATGAGACTATTGTTTTGGAACGGACAAAAATGGTAAACGAGACTATTATATTGGGACGGAGAGAGTAATATTTTTTCATTTAATATCACAGGGAAAAAAAAAATAGTTGCTATTTTATTAACAAATCTATTTTTTAAAATATGTTATTAAACATTTATTTTTTTATAAAATATTATGTAATATATATACATTCAAAACATTATATTTGATACATATTAATATCTCTTTAAATACATATCTTACAATTACTTTTTAAAAATCAATATAAATTTTCAAAAACACTTTTAAAAAGCATATTTAAACTAGAAAGCATAACACTTTGGAACATCCTTTGCATCATCCCCAACTCATCCAAAATTAGGAATTAAATAAAATATTATCAAAAAAGTATTAATGCCAAATATTGACCACTTTTGGATGCACAATTTATTTTTTGAATATTTAATTCAAGTTAAAGTTTACACATCATTACCTATATATAGCATTGTCCTTATTAATTAATTAATCAAATTATATAAAATATATGCCAACTTTCCATATATGTCATTCTTCATTCCACGCGTCCATTCTATGTATCACTCCTTTATTTTATTTTATTTTATTTTTTAAACTCAATTTTTTTATTACAGCCCCATCAATTATATTATTTTTTATTTTGGTGTTCTTTTGGCAAATTATCAAGAACCTTCTTAATGCTCGATGATATTATCCTTCAATCCAAATATTATATATTACTTCAAGTATTTGTTTTATTATAATTATTATTTCATTTAGATGATATTCCATTTGTCCTAGTTGAAAATAGGATTTTTATTATTTTTTAATTTGTATTCAAAAATAACAATTTCCTATAATTATAATAAAAATAATCAAATATTAATACTAAAATAATTTTTAACTTTTACATAAATTATAAATGGTAAAAATGTTAAAATTATTTTATACTCCCTCCGTCCTAAACAAGGTGCAACATTTATTTTTGGCACGGGTTTTTAGGTGGGTATATTAATTAGGATAATTTAGAAATTAGGTGATGTGATGGGGAGAGAAATATATATTTTATTTTTTTATTCGGATGATGTAAGATGATAAAGTGTGTGGTAGAAATTAAGTATAATTAATTATTTTCTATTTTGGAAATGTTGCAAGGTGTTTGGGACATACCAAAAAGGAGAAATGTTGCAGGATGTTTTGAACATACCAAAAATGAAATGTTGTAGGATGTTTGGGACGGAGGGAGTACATTTTTATTAATTAATAAAATATTATTATTTTTTATTAATCTACTATAAAAATTTAAACTTATACTTTATTCGGGACGGGAGAGTATACTTTTGATAGATTTTTTACCATTCTGTTTTTTCTATTTTATGTGTGAAATTTTACAAATTATATTGATAAATGTAAAAGAGGAACTGAAATTAGTTTGTTTGGCTTTAGTTTTAGTTTGAATTTTAGTTTTTTATTTTAATTTTGATTTAAAAATATTTTAATATGATATATATATATATATTAAAATTATGCAAATCAAATAGTAAATATATTGATTTCAAATTAAAACCAAAAAATTCCCTTAATATAAAGTAGAAAAAACTTAACAAAATTTTGGAACATCTTAAAATAAAAATAAAAGGAAAGAAATTAGACAAGTTGGAGTTTATAATTGAAAGAATTGAATATAAGAGTTTCTTTGGTTATGATTTCAAAATAAAATTGCTATTATTTATCTTACCTTTTTCAATAAAATTAATATTATTATTATTTTTTTTTTACAAAAATATTATTACTATCAAAATATTATTTAAATAAAAATTTAAATCACTATCTCATTTTTTAAATTACAGCAAACAAACTAGATTGGCCTCAAACTTTCTCATCTCAACTTTACCACAATAAGTTGATTACCTTTTTGAATCTAAGAACATCATAACTTATTGTATGTTCTTTAATTTTATTAAAATTAAGTTTTAATTATAAATAGTATTTTTAATACAATTTTGAAAAAAAAAAAACTAATATATTTTCATTGAGAATTGTAGTAATAATTTGATTTAAAATAAAAACTAAACATACTAAAGTTTTCGTAAATTTATGTAATATTTTATAAAAGATATATTTCCTCCGTCCCATTGAAAGGTTACCTATTTTTCATTTTCGTCCGTCCCAAAACAAAGTTACCATTTCTTAATAGTAATTGTACTACCTACTTAACATAATAAATAACCTTTCAACTTACAATATATTACACATATATCATTACTTTTATATTACACTATACTAATAGGGGTATTTTTTGTCTTTTTCACTACAATCTAATATAATACTAATATTAAAAAGTTTATGTGCAAAAAGCAAACGCCACCCTTCCAACAGGACGGAGGGAGTATAAATTGTTTTTAATGGTAAACCATGAAAATATATAGTAATAAAAAGATTGAAAGAAAAAACACTGGAAGAACAAAATCAGTTATGACTTATGAGTAACTAAAAATATTACTCCCTCAGTCATTCATTCAAATATATGCTCACTTTTCTTTTTGGATTGTCATCGAAAAATATTCTCATTTCCTTTTTAAGTAAAAAATAATTCCACTTTTGTACTATTTTTTACTATAAAAAAAAATTAATAATTATTACTCACTTTTATTAAAACTTGTGTACGATCAAATGAGCACACATTTGTACGATCAAACGAAAGACAGCTTACGTACATGACTCATGAGTGAGTGAGTAGTCACGTATTAATTAATTATTTTAAATTATTATTATTATAATACTAATTGACGTGGTCTTCACAAATTAAATCAACATAATCTCTCTCTCTCTCTCTCTCTCTCTCTCTCTCTACAAATATATATATATATATATATGTTTGCATGGTGATGTAATGATAAAAAATTAAAATCTAGAAGAAGTGATGAAATATATGATATATATATATATATATATATAGTAAGTAGACAATTAAGTGTCCAATATTGATTGGGGCATAAGCCATTTTCCAAGAACCATATCATTCCATACCAAGATCGCACAAAAGATTCGATCCAGCAGCCTAAGGATCTTATAAATAAATAAATAGATAATTTTAAATAAAATCAATAATAATAATAATAATATATATATATATATGTGAATGTACATGTGGTGTGGTGGAGGAATTCAAACTAATTCCTGCTTACGGAACTCCATTATTATTAATTTAATTTAATTTAATTTAAATAATAATTAAATAGAAGAATTATTGTCCTTGTTGTTTCATCGTACAATATTGGCACACATATATCCTCTCTTGCCAACACTTGTTCTTACATCATTGCTCCAAATCAAACCCTATTTCTATATACATACACAAAACTTCACACTTGGCACACTCTTCTCAAACAACACATTATTATAAATATATTTATTCTTATTCCTATTAACAATCTTCCAAAGTGGAAACATTTTTAGTGCACTTGTTAATTAATTTAATTAACAAAAGGGTTCATCACCCCCGCATATATATATGTATATATATATATACACACCCATATGTGTGTGTTGGCATTTCAAGTACAATAAACCTCAGAAATTAATTAGAAGAAAACCCTATACAAAAATTGAAGATGGAGAAATGGAGGGTTTGTAATAAGAATAATAATAGTAATGAAGAAATTAGATGGAGGAAAGGGCCATGGACACCTGAAGAAGATAGGCTGCTTCTTGAGTATGTCACTCACTATGGAGAGGGAAGATGGAGCTCTGTCTCGGACTGTACAGGTATTATATATATACATGTGTTCTTTTGGAATTTAATTAGTTTGTATGTTTAATTTGTTAGAGTAAATTGTTTGTTTATATATATATATATAAGAAATTACCGTGATGGTATACTAAAAAAATTTTAAATCGAATATGTTCTTTGGATTAACCTTAATCTATATCGATTAAACAACATAAGACTCGGAATTTGAGGCCAATTTTCCGAGACTTATATTGTTTATATCTAACATCTTATATACTTACTTTGATGATTAACAATAATGTACTTGTGTTGTTCTTATTTCACCTTTGTTTTTTTTTTTTTTTTTAGTAATAATCACTATCACTTTTTTTCCCCCTTAAATATTACATTAATTACATAAATTTTTTTATTTAAAATATAACATCACAAATATGTTCTCTTCAAAATATTATATTAACATTTATTTATATTACATTAAGCACATATTAACATACCTTTAATTTTAATTTAATTTTTCTTTTTTAAATTAGGATTAAATAGGAGTGGGAAGAGCAGCAGGCTGAGGTGGGTAAATTACCTAAGGCCAGGCCTCAAGAAAGGGCAATTAACCCCTCAAGAAGAAGGCATCATCATCGAGCTCCATGCCCTTTGGGGAAACAAGTAAATTTCTTTGTTATATATCTTTTAAATTTGTGTTAATTGCATTATGCATCAAAATTCAAATTATATATTTATTTTTTTAATTTTAAATATTATATTAAGAATGTATTCGCCTATTTATGACTCTCAGAATAACCCAAAAGTCGACAAAAACTTTATAGGGGCGTATTCCTTTTGTGTTTTAAGTGATTTGATTTTGTCATTTTTTTAAGTGATATATAGTAGTGTTAAACTCAAATATTTTTGTATAAAAATAAGTATATTTCCATTATAAACAATAATTTGTATTAATAAAGAAAAATAGAGTTCGAATAACAAATTTTTGAATTGAAATAATTGTTTAAATGCATAAAAAAGGAAATAAAATTATATATAGATTTTCATTATCGGGCTAATATGGTGCAGATGGTCAACAATAGCGCGATATTTACCGGGAAGAACGGACAACGAAATCAAGAACTACTGGAGAACACATTTCAAGAAGAGAACTAATACCAACAACATGGTAGAAAGGAGAAAAACCCTAATTAAGGAAAATGAAATGAATAACAACAACAACAATAGTGTCCAAATCCAACACTTTCAACAAGAAGAAGACACTCATCATTTCATGCAAGAAATGGACACGAAATCGTCGACTACGACTGCTGAGAATCGTCGTCAAGAAGACGACAACATATGCTGCAACATGGGATTGATGTGGTTGGATTACAACACCCCACAAGATTGCATTTTGTGGGATGGGATTTGGAATTTTGATGATCAAGAACACAACTTTGGGAGCTATCAAGAAATACATATGACGTAAGGAGAGGATTTTTAATTTTAGTTTTAGTTTTAATTAATTTATGGAATGTTTATGTTGTCTGATCTGAGGTGGGTATAGTTAATTATGAATCTTTTTTGTATCTAAGGTGTGCTTTTGACTTTTGAGATTAATAAATAAGTTGAGATTTCTGCAATTGTATCTGTTTGATTTGGTGGAAGAAGTTTAAAGTCGTTAGAGATATCAAATGCGATTTTAAGTAGTGGAGCCGAAATAATGAAAAGCGTTTGGGGGAAAGAAAAGCGACTATGTCATAAGTAAGTCGCTAAAACATAAAATGCGATTATGTGCATCTGTAGAAATTATTGAGCAACGAAAACGCGATCACTGGACCAAAAATAAAAAAAAAAATGGCCCATGCAGGTCTCGAACCTGCGACCTTCGCGTTATTAGCACGACGCTCTAACCAACTGAGCTAATAGGCCAATATATTTGAATGTTATTATTTTTATTATTTATCTAATTTAAAATTGCATAACTAAAATGTAAAATAATTATTTTATCAAATATAAATAAATATTTTATTTAGTATTAAAATTAATATAAAACTTTCAATTCTTAAGTACAAATAAATAAGAAGCGAATTTATGTATACATATATATCACTATTTTTCATATACCAATAACTCCTTTATAGTAAAAGATATTTTATTATTTTTATTATTATAAAAAATATTTTATTTGTTCCAACTCAATGTATATTTTATTATTTTTATATGTTTCACTCTCAAATGTATCTATTTTCTATATTAATAAATATAATTATAAATTGATATTAAAATACTCTTTAATTTTTAATTAAATTACAATATATCATTATAAAATCAAATGGATAAAAATATCAAAATCAATACTATTATTTCTATTTATTACAAAACACCAGAACCATACATTCCAATGAGACTAATAAAATAAAATATTTCTTCCGTCCACTTACAATGTTTACATATTTATATTTTCGGACCTCTAATTACAAAGTTAATATTTCATTAAATATCCTATTTTTTTCTAAGAATATCCTTACTTTACATCATATCATTACTTTTACACAAAAAAATAAGGGCAAAAATATCATTACACTACTTTTAACTATTTATTATAATTAAAATACTATTATTTCTTAAATACTGCGTCAAAAGTAAATGTAAATATTGTAAGTGGACGGAGGGAGTATAATTTTATATATATTGAAAATATTGTAAAAACATTTGGCTCTGTTTGGTTGGCTTTCCGGAGTCAGTTGCAACTATCCTTTCAATTTTTTTAAATAAATATTACTCCATCCGTCCCGTCCCATATACTATGAGTAGACATAAAGAATTTAAATAAAGTATAATTAATAAGTAATTAATAATCATATTAGTAAAGATAATTACTATATAGTAAAAATAATTATAAATTAAAATTAAGATAACAAAATAGTTTAATTAAGATTAAAAAAATTATAAAATTTAAAATTTAAAATATGATTAAAATATATAATTATATTTAAAAAATGACAAATTATGTGAGACGAATGAAAATAAAAAATATGAACAAATTATGTGAGACGGACGAAAATAGAAAATACGAACAAATTATGTGGGACGGGGAGTACATTATATGAGACCCACTCAAAATTCATTTTAATTTTTTAATCTTATAATATACTTTCTTCGTCCCTTAACAAATTGTCTATTTTATTATTTTGGTTTTATCAATTTCCTATGTAGTAAACTGTATTATCTACTTAACATTATAAATACTCTTACAACTAATTATTATATATTAGCAAATATCATTACTTTTATATCACACAATAACATATTATTTTAATTATTTTTATTTTATTTCTATTATATATTAATATAATATATATATGCAAAAAAAGCAGACGGATATATGCTTAAAATGTAAGAACTAAGAAATATATTATAAATCAAATATTAATTAAATAATTATTTTTAAATTAAGTTCTAACTCAATAATTCAACCTTTAACTAAACGCGGCTAATTAAGTGAACAAACCCAAAAGCACATAATAACTCAATAATTCAACCGATAACTAAACGCAGTTAATTAAGTGAACAAACCCAAAAGCACATATAAATCAATGGTTTCGTTACACACCTAAAAAATATCCATCATTTTTAAGTAAAACAAAATCAAAAATAAAAACCACGTCATCATTCATTGTTTGGTTTTTGGTCACCATTCATTGTTCATTCATGCGTATGCTGCAGCAATTTTTTTTTTATTTTAAAAAAGGGGACCCAAAATAATGAATAAAAACAGAAAGGGCCCCCTATCTCTCTACCTTAGTACGAATTCTCAACCTCTCATTGGTCTAACCCCGCACACTCCCGGGACCTCTATTCCAAACCCCATTCGCACCAATCCCTCAACCACACACATACCCAGGTTCTCAAATCCAGGACCTTCTTAACCACACTCACTTCAAACTCCTCCATTCAATACGCATTCGACAACGCATAACCCCACACACTCCCGGGACCTCTACTCCAAACCCCATTCACACCAATCCCTCAACCACACACATACCCAGGTTCTCAAATCCATGACCTTCTTAACCACACTCGCACTCACTACAAACTCCTCCATTCAATACGCATTCGACAACGCATTGCTCCGACCCCAAGATCCTCTGCTCTTTCCCACATGCAGCAGAAATTCAAAACCCCACACACGAACGACATCGGACATCCATTTTTGTTTTGTTGCTTTTTTGGCGTGCACCGGATTTTGGAGCAAGTAGTGAATAGCTCGTTGCCGGTGAGAAATTAGGGTTTTCAGAAATTGGGGGGAAAAGGAGAACGAGGTGCGATCGAGGACGATGAGGCAAGGGAAGGTTCAGCTGAAGAGAATCGAGAACAAAATAAGCAGACAGGTGACCTTCTCGAAAAGGAGGTCGGGGCTGCTGAAGAAGGCGCATGAGATCTCAGTCATGTGCGATGCTGAGGTCGGTTTGATTGTTTTCTCTACCAAGGGAAAGCTCTTTCACTACGCTACTGATTCCTGGTACGTACGGTTTTCAAAAATTAGGGTTTGTTAATTTGTGTTTTCAGCCTTTTTGGCTCTAGATTTTTGGGAATTGAGACGTATTAGTTCCTGGATCCTATGTTTTGTTTCAAATTTCTTAAAATGTGTAGTTAGTTTTTGGAGTGTTGGCTCTGATTTGGAACAGTTTTTTGCTCCATAAATGTTGGTAGAGATTCACGAATCTTCTACCGTTTTAGAGCTTTTTTGTTCTTTTCAGGAAATTGTATTGAAGGTGTTCATAGTTCTTGTAGAGGCTTTGATTTTCTCATGTATGATTCACTAATAGGTTTTCTTGATGATCTCATATGAAATTTTCATGGGATTATGATCATATATATATGCATTTCATGTTCTTTCTGCCAATTATCAACCCTCCTTAATGAAGAAATGATTTAATGTTTCATATAGATTTGGTGACATTTTGGGAAATGTTCATATTGCATACATTCTTCTAAGTTTTTTTTTTTGCCTGTTCAATAATATGAGTCTCATTCAACTCCAACATTCAGTACATATACTATTGCCCCACTATCAATGTTGTTAATTTGGATATTTCTGGTGCGTGTCAAAGTCTGGTTTGATCATTTTATATACACTAGCACAAGGAATCACCTACTTTTGTGTACCCTTTTTTCATGTTGTTATTGTGTGTTGTCATATTTGTCTCCATTTCTTTGGTTCAAGATATGTATGTCCCATTTTGTTGAATAGTGAATTCAGTAATGCTTATTAAATTAGCTCTGTAGAAGTGGGCCATTCCAGCTTCCAGACTCTTACACATTCCAACCATAGTTGGCTAATGTACTGCCGATTTTATTTTATTTTTTTTATATTGAATTTATTTTTTTTGTTGTTGTAGTATGGATGATATAATAGCAAAGTATGAGAGACACTGCTACGAGGAGAACAGGCTTAAAGTTGATTCTGAACCACCAAAGGTATTTTTAGATAACATTAGTCTTTGAGGTTGTTCTATGCAATGCAATGTCCATTTATTTTCTTTTATGTACATTACATACAACAATTAGGTACGATTCGGGTTTGTTCGCTTGCTAGTTGTGGAATATTATTCTTGTCGGACTTAAACCTAAGCTCAAATAAAATAGCAAGGCTTCTGAAATTTTTCATCTTTTCTCAAATTAACTTGAGGTTTTAGATAACAGGAGTCTTTGATGTTGTTCTATGTAATGTTCATTTATTTTCTTTTATGTACACACTACAATTACGTATGATTCGGGTTTGTTCACTTGCTACTTTTTAGAATATTATTCTCCTCATACTTAAACCTAAGCTCAAATATAATAGCAAGGCTTCTGGCAGCTTAAGGTTTTAGATAACAAAAGTCTTTGATGTCTATGTAATGTTCATTTATTTAATTTCTTGTGTAACATTACACACTATGATTCGGGTTTGTTCACTTGATAGTTTTAGAATATTATTCTCCTGGAACTAAACCTAAGCTCAATAAAATAGCAAGGCTTCGGGCAATTTTTACCTTTTCCAAATTAACTTAAGTAAAAGACTTAGTTTTTTTCCCTATTTTATTCCATTTATGTTTCATATGGAATAAGGGTCTTCATTACTATTTGATTCAGTGTGGTTAATAAGACGAGTCTATGAAGTGAAGGGACGAAAGACAGTTTTTTTTTTTTTTTGAAAAAACTATCTAATATCTCAAGTCCCTCTAAGAACATCACACCCTCCAACCTATTTTATTACAATGCAGCAACAAAATTCTATCTTGAGTGTTCTATTGTTTTGTTAAGTGTAGGAAAAGAAGCATGCCCAGCTTCCTAAGCTCGTGGCCCGAGTCGAATTATTGCAGAGAAACCTAAAGTAGGGGTTTGCTTACTTCAATTCAGACAATGAAGGTTAATGAATTTTGAGAATCAAACCCTGTGTAATTGTAGAAACTATGCTGGAGAAGATTTGGATCCTCTCAGCTTGAGGGAGCTCCAGAGTTTACAGCAACAACTGGATGCCGCTCTCAAGCGAATTCGTGTAAAGAAGGTAACTTGAATTTCTCTAGAACATGACATTAATGTCCTAATAATGTTCAGTTCTATGTTGCTATATATGATTTGATGTTGAATTATTGCAGAATCAAGTTATGCATGAGTCGATTTCTCAGCTTCAGAAAAAGGTGAAACTAACCAGTTATTTCTTATCAAGTGTATCCAATCAATGGTGGAGTTAAAAGTTCTTTAGATAACACATTGATAGCACTAGCAGATGAAAAATGTAAAGTTTTTATCTTATGAATTCTGGATTTTTACAGGAGAGATTGCTACAACAGAAGAACAACATCTTATCAGTGAAGGTGATGTTTTTTCACTTAAATTTCATGCTTTTTTTTCCTGCAATTGAATATATTATTGTTTAATTTGAATACGTGGATATAATCTTCCAATTAAAAGCTAAAAGAGAGGGAGAATGAAGAACACACAATGGAGGAAAATAGACGCGAAGATCCAGAGATTTTACCTCAAACTTCTGTTGCAATCGCTGCTCCACATCCTCCTCCAGAACTGTATTCATCTCCTTCATTCACTATCTGGTAATGTCTCCGCGCAATCTACATTTATTTTTATTTTTTGAATGAGTGCGAATTTGAAGAAATCAGCACATACGATCGAAACCGTGCGATACGAAAAATTGAAATAAATTAACGGTGCGGTGAATTTAACTCCATGATCGATTTGTAGGATTCGAGCTAGATTGCAATGCTAACTACCGTAATGGTGATTCGAACTTTATAGACTTGCGAGAAATTGGGTCCGCTGCTGCTTTCCTGCCGATTGGTATGTGTTTGTGTTTGCGATTGGCAGGAATAATACTGAATTGAGTTTGGACTTTTGTAGCGGAGGGAGCCAAACATCCGCCGACCAACAGAGCTCCGGTGTGGAATCCAACGCCGTCATTCCGCCGTGGCTGCTCGGCCACTTGCGGAATCCATAAGAGCGGCCGGACGTCTTCTCCGGCGACTTTGTTTAGACTTGCGCTGATGCAAACCGTTTCGGTTGGAGTCTTGCACTTTATTATGTACGTACTAACTTATCAGTATTTACCAATAAATAATTCTTCATCTATAATAACTACGGCCACACAGAAGTGTGGACACGAGTATTTGTAAATAGGCAGCTATTTGATAACCGATCTAACAAATACCTAAAATTGCGTATTTGAACAAAAAATTTTGATTAATCAAAAATATTTACAAATAATTGGAACCTAAATTAAAAAAATATATATTAAAAATAATTAAATTTCTAATTAAATAAAATTATTTATAAATATTTCAAATATTTGAATCGAAATCAAACGGAATATAATTATTAATATAAATTTTAAAAATAATAATATAAATATATAAATATATTTGGTTCAGTTAACTGAATCGAAAAAATATTAAAAATCAAAATCGAATCGAACAAATATCAAATATATAGTATTTGTATTCGAATCAAATTTGTTCGACTAATTGAAAATTTGATTTGATTTTGTTCTATTTTTTTGTCCACCCTTACCGCTAAGCAGCAACAACAACCACAGCAATAATAATAATAATAATAATAATAATAATAGTAATAATTTTGATCAAAAATATGTAAATAATAATAATATATCTAGTGTGACTTATTTTATTAGTCTGATATGCAGGGATTCACAAATCATTTAAAAATTGTATTGAGTAGTTGAGTTTATGTGATGGGCAAATTTATGACTAAAAATTGTGTAAAAACAAATAGAAAATTCTAATAGTATTCTTATTTACTATCACTATATTATTCATAATTGGATTGTTGTTTGTGGAATTAGGTTATATTATAAGAAGTATTATTTTATTTTATTTTATTTTATATATTAATTTTTTTAAAAAATTAAAATTTAATAAATAATATGTATAATTAATACTCCTTCCGGTCCGTCTATAGAGATCACATTTTTATTAGTATTGTAAAACACAATGAAGTATTTTTATAATTTTTTCTTAATTTGTACAATTTTTTAATATAATAATTAATATTTAAATATTAACACACAAAAACTAAATAAGATCTTAAAATGAGACGAAGATAATATCATTTATCACAAATGTATTTGTGTTAAAATTTATATAATCCTATGAAAAAATATAATTTCTAGTCCAATAGTAAACTCATAAGATCGGCTTTTATCCCATTATAAAATACTCACCACAATTGGTCATGCTAAAAATATATCTAATCAACTTTTGCCCATTTCTAACATTGAGAGAAAAGAAAGTATCGTGTCCGTTAAAAGGTCTACGTGACAAATTATTGGAATAAAATTGACACGGCCCGGCCGAGTATAATTATAACCAACATAATTTTTTTACCCACAAAGTCAATAGAACAAATGGATTAAGAATATGTATAAAAGAAAAGAAAAGGAAGAAAAAGATAGTGCAGAGAATGTGAATTAGTATGGATGATAACCAACCACGAGAATAAGTCTCGGACCTGAAATCAATCCACGGGTAAAACACAAACAATAGGCTAAATTTCACTGAAAATAATTGGAAGCCACGAACCGATGGAATCACTCCAAAGACCCGATTTGAGATTCTAAATGCGAGGAAATCACTCCCTAACACTAGAAAATATAAATGTGAAATTCAATTCAAGATGTAAAAAATGGTCCTCTTTACAATGATAGGCAAGGACCTTATATAGAGGTCTTTGAGGAAAATAAAATACAACAAATAATAAAGGAAACAAATCAAAAGATAAATCTAACTACAAGGAAATAAATAACTAGGGAAATTCTAAATATGGAATTATATTATATGGAAATTTATAATAAAAAGAAATATATATTAAGGTACTTCTAGAAGTCTCATAATAAGTGATGATTCCCTTGATAATCTTCCATGATTAGTGATTCTCTCTGTAAGTGATGATTCCTTTTATATACTTCCATGATTAGTGATTCTCTCCATAAGTGATGATTCCCTTGATAATTTTCCATGATTAGCGATTCTCTTGATCTTTCAATTGGGATTCTTGCGGATCCCATTGAAAGCGCGTCAGGTGAGGGCTAAGTGGTTTCCAAGCATCATCCTTAAATTGATTCTCCATGAAAAATCGTCTAATCAATGTAGTGACGAAATTTTGAAACTAACGAGCTCAACTTCGAGTGATGAGTCCCACGGACATTTGAATGCTTAAAGATTTGACGTCCTCCTCAAAAATACATCTGGTATTACCAATAACCACAGTCGTGTTAAACAAATTATAAACCGATGATGTCTGTAAAGAATGGCCCGAATATGTGGGGATATATTCGGAGGTCGTATGTGTCACACATTTGTCTTTTTCTATTTTTATTTTTTTTAATTTTCTAGTATACATCAATATAATAAGAGCATCTACAGTGACATTTAGTAAAATATGTCTCCATCGGCTGAGTTAACACTGATGTTTCTTCTCTATTTTTCTAACACAAATCATTTCAAAAAATAGTTTATGAAAAATAAACGAGATCTCACAGGCTTGGGCTTGGGCTTGGCCTCATATGCACCAGCCTGCTCCCACGTTGTTACAATATTTCATCCACAAAAATAAAACTATTATGTAATTTTTCTTTTATCAAAAAAGTGAAAAAAGTGATGTGAGAAGGAAAACCCTCTACTAAGAGGCCATTGTTGTTGCTCTAAATATACGAGGTGAATATATTAAAAAATTTACGTGAAAAAAAACACATTACTGAGGAATATATTTTTATTAAAAATTATAAGGTGAACATTGTTGATTTGAATTTGAAATTGTAAAAAAACAAACCTCCTATTAGGTTTATTTGATTGTAATTTGAAATAGAATTTTGATTTGAATTTTTGTTTAAATAATATTTTGGTGTGATATTTTATGAAAAAAAAAATTAATATTACCTCAGTCAGGGTTTAAGAATCTCATTTAGTGTTGATTTTGAATATTAATTATTATATGAAAACATAGTACAAATTAAGAAAAAAAAAAAGACAAGAATATTTTTACAAAAAATTATATTATTTTTAATATTAAGTACAATGACAAAAAGTAGATAAGACCCATAAAATCGGATGAAAATATATATTTTTATTAAAAACTTCAGGAAGTTTGGTTTGAAGACTTAAAAAAACAAGCCATTTGAAATTAATTTTTAGTTTAATATACAAAATAAAAATAATGTTTGATTCGATAAATTTAAGAGAAAAATTGGATGAATAATATAAATTTTTAGAAAAAATTTCAACTAAAATAATTACACTCAGTATTAATAAATTTAATTTATATTTATATTGTTAAATTTCAGTATTAAAAATAATTATACTAATAATTTGTTCAAATACAAATTTATTTGCATAAAAAATACTAATTAATATATATTTTATTAATACACACTGTTTTAATAATTGTGTAAAAAAAAATAGCTTTATTAGTATTAATTAATTAATTATATTTACTGATATATAAAATCTGTACACGTACACGTATACGTCTTCGTGTGTTTCACCGCACGAGGGCGAGCACTCCCTTTTTTGGCTTCATCGGCTGTATTCCATTTTATCTCCTATGCGCTATAAACCCTAGAGCTAAGCAATAAATTGCGATCGAATCCGGCGATATACGCATAAATTTCGTATATATACGCGGATTTCTCGCTATTTCATGGGTTGTTCCTCGTCAGTTCCAGGTGAATTTCGACGTTCGTTGTTTTCAGTTGTGATTTTCTTCATCGCGATATTTGGATAATCGATATGCAATGAAAATTATGCTCGGTGTCTGTTTTACGATTTTGGTGGTTGTTGTCTTTTATTATTTGGGGTTTTTTGGTGCCCCTATGATCTGGGGATTGTTGGGAACTTTAAACTGGCTTTTCGAATTGGATTCACTGGTGTATGCTTTATCTGATGTTTACTTAGCATTTTTCTCCTCTTCTGTTTTCCAGATAGAAATGTTGGGCGTGTAGGTGGAGTTAACACCGATAATGGGGAAAATGGGTGCGTGAATGATGCTAAAAACCTTCGTGTTAAGGTGAGTTTTGTCCCTGAATATAATGAATTCTTTATCAGTAGAACATAGGATTTTAATTATATTAGATACGGGACTGAGATTTTGAGTTTAGATGTTTTCTACTTTCTCTTCAAAGAAATTCATGGATTCGTTATGTCAAACAATAGAATTAGTTGGGAAAGTAGCTTTACTGGTTGAAATATTCAGATTCATGAAGGTTCGATGAATACTAAGTCCTCAACTATTACTTTATTACTGTATTTTCATGACTCTGTTTGATATTTTGAATTTATATGATCATTATGTTATATTTTTGACATTGAAAAGCAATTGCTTTTAGTTCTGTTCGATACATTAGGAAGAATGGAACGGACGAATTTTTTATTTCCTTGAAGTGTTGACATTTGAATCTCAAGGGATTTTTTCTTATTTTCATTTTTATGTGCTTGTAAAGTGATTGTAGCCAAGGGCACGACACAAGTGTGATCTTCAATTTGTTAAGGAATTTGAGTTTGGGAATTCAGTCAATATGATCTTGTGAAGCTGCGTATAATAGTTAAGCAGATTAGAATTATGCTGGTATGGTGAGGCTCATAAGATGATGATTAAGCTCTTTTTACATCTTTCTTAAATTGCGATTTATCTGCTATTTTGTGATTCTTGTTCCCTTTTTGGGATGGTGAGGTACTATTAATCTATTGTCTATGCTTTTCAGCCACACTGAGTTTTCTCGTTTCTTTCAAGCTATAAAATATGTGATCTTAGGCACTCATTTGTTCCAATCATATATATATATATATATTCAGTTGGTGCTGTTAGGAGATTCTGGTGTTGGAAAAAGCTGTATTGTTCTTCGATTTGTTCGGGGTCAGTTTGATCCTACATCTAAGGTAATAATATATAACCTGTGGCAACTGGAGGCAGATTGATTGAAGTTCAATTGATAGTTAAAACTCACAATATCTTGAATGATTTCAGGTCACAGTTGGAGCGTCTTTCTTGTCTCAGACAGTAGCTTTACAGGATTCGACTACTGTGAAGTTTGAAATATGGGACACAGCTGGACAAGAAAGGCAAACCCTTATCAATTCTTATTTTCTTACTTTTTTTTCATTATTACTAGATAAATAGTTTATTTTCCTTTCCATTCCCTTTTGATTCTCCTGTATTTGATTTCTGGATTTATGAAAGCCATTTTAAAGTTTCCCATCCTGTTGTCTTTAATTAGGTATGCAGCTTTGGCACCGTTGTATTATCGAGGCGCTGCAGTCGCAGTTGTTGTGTATGATATAACTAGCCCCGAATCATTCACTAAGGCACAATATTGGGTCAAGGTATATTCAAGATTGATGCGTTTTGCTTTTGTTTTGGATACTGATTAACAGAATGAAGTAAAAGGAAAACTATTTGCGTGCTCGCGGAAATATGAGAGAAATATTTCTTGACATTTTCACTTTGCTTCATGATTTGTGAATGGTATTCTTCTGATTCCAAGTTGGTTCTTTGGATGTTGGTAGGAATTACAAAAGCATGGTAGTCCCGATATAGTGATGGCTTTGGTTGGGAACAAAGCCGATCTCCATGAAAGACGAGAAGTGCCAGTTCAAGTGAGCCAATACATTCTGGATTATTTTCCCTCGTAAGATCACAGTATTTGTGTTATATCTCACTTCATTTCTCTTCTATGAAGGATGGAACTGAATATGCTGAAAAGAATGGAATGTTCTTCATTGAGACTTCCGCAAAGACAGCTGACAACATAAACCAGCTTTTTGAGGTGCCCTGCTCTTATTTATTTATTTATCAGCATTCCTAGGAATCTGTTTCTTACTGTACCAGTTTATAACTAGTAATGTGTGTGTGTGTTAGTGAGTAATTTGTAGGATCAGACAACTATCCCTAAGACCTGTGGAGTAATTGTTATCTGGAAAAGTTCACTTAGAAATTACGGAATGCATTTCTTGTCCGTGCAATTGATACGTAATTTACTTGAGCATTTTTCGGAGTGTCGGGGTGGATGTATTATTCTATGCAATAAGCAATCAAGGGCATGTTTACTATAAAAAATAATTTTAGGTTGTAATTATTTAATCTCCTGTATTAAACATACCTTAAGACTATATTACTTTCAGGGTGATGTAATCTTTATGTATACGAGAATCTTACCAGTAAACCTTATTTAGGGCTATGTATATCCATTTTGGGCTATTTTAGAGTGTGTTTGTTTGGAGGTTTGCATTTTTAGTTGGATCTTAATAGTAAAAATTTTGAATTGTAATAGTGGTATGATGTGATATAAATAGGTGTTGATGTAATGCTTTAAATGTAAAATTAATTTTTAGTATAATATAAAAAATAAAAAATAGGTGTTTGATTTGATATTTTTGGGGAAAATAAATTTGATGAATATTAGAATTTTTAAACAAACACACCCTTAACAGTGCATTTGTTAATGTTTATCAAAACAACGAATCAGGGTGCTCGTGCAGGTATGCTGAGGTATTGTTTCATCACTTATTTCTCGACAACTATTGATATGGCTTGAATGTTTTTGATTTATTGGATGGTCATATCGATCATAAAATGAGCAATGAAAAACCGCAACCATATTTGCATGATTCATAATGTTGTGCGCATTGCCGCTTGACTTGTCGTCTTAAACTAATTTGTTATGTATGTGTGAAGTCTATCTGAGATCAAGTCCCTGAGTTATTCATCTCATCTGCATAAAAGTTTTAGTATGGTATATGGGCCTCTGATTTCGAATGAATGACTTGAGTTTTTGTTTCTATTGGGGGCAGGAAATCGCCAAGAGACTACCACGGCCGCCCTCGACTCCTTCCTCGACCTGAACTGAAACTTGGATTTGAATGTATATGTATACATAGTAATTTTGTTATGAATGAAATTGCAAATGGTTGTAAGCATGGAATGGAAGTGGCTTACCCTAAATTCTCGAGCATTAGCATTATATGTATGGTGGTTTGTGCTTTGGTATTGGTATATGTGTATATATATATATGTGTGTGTGTGTTCTCAAATATATGGACTCCTCTTTGCCTTACAAACAAACATCGAACAGTAGAGTACCATAAGGAATGGTCTGATGATGTGAGGAGTGAATTTGTAACTGTGAAGTATTGGTTTTAAACCTTTTGTCACTTATGATTCGTCTAGTATAACTTATTTTGTCGGGCTTAGATTCGTTCAGGGTTTACCCAGAGTGAAAAAAAATAAAGAAAAAAAAGTTCAAATCGAACCTGAACATTTTCATAATCCATGATAAGGTAGGTAGACTATCCAATCTGGCTTTCGGTAATGTGAGAGTGAATTGTGAAATTTGTCTTTTTAAATCTATTTTGTAGAGTATTAGATTCAATAATAGTTGTGTGGGAACAAGTTTTAACTGCAATTTCAACATTTCATCCAAAAAAAAAAAGAAATTAGATATCACCTCTAAACCAAAACCCTCCCCTTCCTAAATCAATCAATAACTCACAAGCCTAAGTAAAAAACAAATCCATCCAATCCAATCTAACCACCTCCGAATAATAATTAATAATACTCATACGTAGATCAAAAGGCAAAAGGCAAGGAAGGCATCTCATCTCATCGTCTTCGGCGCAATATAAAGTTGACAAGATGTGGATGCTCAAGCTCAACAATGATAGCCAACCACATTCACCCATTCCATTCTTCCTTCGTGTCCCTATCCTATCCTATCCTATGCAAAATATATCAATCAATGCAAACAAACAAATTCTAGTCAGTCAGGAATATATATATATATATACACACACATATATAACCAAAAGCCTCCTATAAATAATTTTTTAGGCTCACAATGTTCTGAGAATTGGCATTGGAATTGGAACTGCTCCCTTACCTGATTCCTGCCACATCTTATCTTGCTCACTCAACTCGACATCAAGTTGGATAGGCATGTGGTCTTTCCCTCATCGGTTCGGTTCAGCGCCTCTTTGAGAACAGAAAGCACCCCACAAGAGTATGTTTACCCTTTAGCCTGAGACAAGAAACAACATATAATAAAGCACAATGCTTCAACAAATAATAATCTACAACTAATTAAAATTCGACACTAAAACAACACCAACAGGCACAGCTCCACAATTAAACATGCTCGCCGCGTCTTTAACCTCCAATTTACATGTGTGTGTGTGTGAATTGCAAGAAAACAATTAGCTAATCATAAGAAGTCTTTTCCCGTAAAGTATATACATACATATTTTTCATCCAAAACATCACATACATAACTTATTTATGAATCCAACATTCAAAATGCTGTTTACAAAACCTATTTTCTATACAAAGTATTCATTCAAATACCTATTTACTATTCAATCATCCCAATCATAACCTATTTTACATTCGATTTTCTCCAAATTCAATACATTTCAAGATTAAAAAAAACCAGTCCATCAAACTTATTTTCTATACAAAGTATTCATTCAAATATCTATTTACTATTCAATCATTGCAATCATTACCTATGTTACATTCAGTTTTTCCAAATTCAAAACATTCCAAGATCAAAACAACCAATCTATCATTCCTATTTTCCACACAAAGTATATGTTCAAACATCTATTTACTATTCATTCATCGCAGTCATAACCTATGTTACATTTGATTTTTTCCAAATTCAAAAGATTCCAAAATCAAAACAACCAGCTCATCAAACGTCAGCTTTAATACCAAAGTAGCTAATCATGTGTCCGAAATACCTCAAAGCAATGCATCAACACAACAGAGACATTTCAATGAACAAAATGTGCGCATAAAAAAACAGAAAACAAATAATACATAATGCCGATGCTGGCATGACATTGGTGAATGATCCGCATCAATTCCAGTCCACCCTTACGAGAGGATATATAATTGCTTGAGATGATGAACATCCTCTGGATCGAGCTGAGCTCAGAAAGAACCCTAGTAACTTTCACTCCTGCACATTCTTAGTGTAAACACGTTAAATTGTTAGGAAAAAACTGCCAAACCTCTTCGAGCTGAAAGGTGGGAGCAAACAAGCTGCTTGCGGATAAACCGCAGGATGATGGCATGGATTATTTCTGTAATTTATACTTTTGGTTCGATTTTATTTAGAAAATCCATTTATGTTTGAGATTTTCTCATTAGAAATTGTTCACATAATTAAGCTGGTTAGCATTTTGAAAGGCTTTGATACTAAGTATATGATGATTTTCATACATGATTCGAGCATCAGAAATTTATTCAAATGTGAAAAGCCATAAATGAATTTACACTCTGCAAAGAATGGATAAAAATAAATTTACATTGCCCAAAAAATAGAACTATACACACCTATAAATGATGAACTAACTGCACTCTAACAAGTAACAATACCATATGCACTGATAAATTTATAGGGCAACAAGAAAACAGTTGCAAATAATCACTACTTTCTCATCAAGGGTGCACCGGAAACATACCTTTCTTTTCATCCTCCTAAATTCTGTTGAAGAGTAATCCGACGAAACCTACGAACTATTTTAAGAAGAACGGAATGGAACTTTGGAGAACTGAGCAGAAAGGAAACCGTATACGAATCGATGGCGAATCCTTTTGCATACATTTCTTCACAAGTAACTACCGCATCATTGAGTTCACCATGTAATATAATTCCTCGAATGATGGTATTATAGGTTTTGTGATTCGGCACCAATTTTCCTCGCTTCATAGTTGAAAGAAGATCTTGAGCATCTTTGAGTAGTCCGTGTTGGCAACATCCTAACATCAAGATATTATAAGTCACAACATTCGGCTCCACACCTCTACAATGGAGATTGTGAAAAATATTAAGAGCAATGTCGAGTTTTTTCCCTTTGCACAATCCATGCATCACAATATTGTAGTAACTAATATGAAGAGATCCGCCATTTTTTTCCAATGCATGTAAAACCTCTAATGCTTGTTCGGCATCCCAAAACCGACATAAGCCATCCAACGTGTTGCAATAAGTATAAAAGTCAGGTTTCACACCAATAACCTTCAAATCATCAAAAAGTCGCAGCGCGGCCGAATGTCCATGTGTATGAAACAATCCCTTCAACAAAACATTATATGTATCAATATTCGGCTTCAAATTATTACGCGACATTTCATTGAACACACGCAAAGCTTCATCTATGTTCTTCGCTATGCAATACCCATGAATTAGAATATTGTAGGTGTAAACATCGGGAAATGTATTCCTCTTAACCATTGAATCAAATACTTCTTTAGCGTCATCCATTCGCCCTTGCAAACAATACCCATGAATTAGAATATTGTTGCTGTAAACATCGGGAAAAATATTCCTACAAACCATTGAATCAAATACTTTTTTAGCGTCATCCATTCGCCCTCGCAAGCAATATCCTCCCGTCAATGCGTTATACGACACAACATCAGGATCCACACCTTTCCCCCTCATTACATTATTAATCACATCCTCCGCTGGATCCATCAAACCTTTCTTGCATAACACATCAATCAAAGTATTAAATGTGACAACATTTGGATAAATTTTGCGACCTATCATCTCCTTGAGCAAAATTTTCACTTCGCCCCATCGATTCCAATTACATAATCCAAAAACCAAAGAATTGTAGGTTACAACATCAGGAAAGACACCTTTCCTAGGCATTTCGTCGAATATCTTCAAAGCAACGTCTATAGCTCCGTCACTGCACAAACTGTGAATCACAGTGCTTAGGACATGCTTGTCGGCTCGAAAACCACTTTTCTCCATCGAATCGATCAATTCGAGAGCTTCCGCAGTGTTTCCTGTCTTGCAAAGTCCATCTACTATGCACCTATATAAAACCACGTTCATCTCACTCTCTCTCACTATTCTTTTAATCAAAATTCGTGCCTCACTGATCCTGTCTTCTCTAAACAAACCCTTCACTAATGGGTTGAAGGTATGCTCTGTGGGAACATGTCCTAGCTTAAAGAACCAACCCAGAACCGAAAATCCACAGTCAGTCCGCCCAGATAAGCAATAACTATTGATGGAAACATTCAATGTATAGTCATCGATTGGAATCCTCAAACAGAGCATATCCTTGAAAAGTGAAATGGCAACGGAAAACTCTTTCGACTTCACTAACGAGGACAGCAATTTGTTGAACTCTTTGACGCTAGGTAAAGGCTTTGCTCGGGACAGTTGATCGAACATATGCAGAGCATTGTTTAACCCACTTATGGTCTCGCAATTGCTCACAGCGTGTGTTCCAAAATTACGACAGGGAGAAAGAAGAAGCAGCGTGAATCCGATACGAGAGGAGAAAGTACCTGAAGCGAAACCGCGAATGGGCAGTTTGGCCAGATTGAAGCTCTCGTTCTTCATTTCGGAGATCAAAGCGAAACCGCGAATGGGCAATTTTGGCCAGATTGAAGCTCTCGTTCTTCGCAGCTGTGGAGGTTAGGGTTGACGCAGAATTTGGGATTCGAAGTGAAAGTGAAGACTGTGAAGTGCTGGATCGCAATCGACTTGCCCAACCGGTTCTCCGGTTTAAAACCGGCGCTTCGGGTTTGAACCGAAACCGCCGTAGACCAAAACCGATATCGGTTCTCATGGTTCGGTGCGGTTCGGTTCTTTTGCTTCGAACCGTAAACCGGCGATTCGGCTTTTTCATGCATTAACCTCAAGGTCGGACCCTAAAGAAAAAGAGAAAAAAAAATAGGGGTGACGACTCGGGCAGAGCCGATTATTTTTTGTATTGTGCCGTACTGACCCGATTTCTTTTTATTTAAACCGGGTGCTCGGGCCAGCCCGTTTTCTTTTATTTTATTTTTAATTTTTAAATTATTGGAATTGAATCAACGAGGAAACATATACAAGCTCTACTACGAGCTTTACCAGTTTTTATTTTTATTTTAAATATTAATTTATATATAATTTATTCAAATTTAAATACTTCCCTCTCTTTTCAAAACCTATTTTGGTTTAGAGTAGATTAAAAAATAATAGTATTTTATTAGTTAATTAAAATGTATAAGATATTTTAATATTTTTTTCTTTGAGTTTATGTAAAAAGTAAGTTGATATATTTATAATTTAAATACTCCACAATCTATTAAAATTGACCCATTTGGGTCTGACACTAAAATTAAGAAATGAATATTTTATTAAAAATGTATTTATTGTAAATAAGTGTTGAATAGAGAGTAATAATTAAATTTTGATTTGTTGACTTTGCCAAAATTAGTAATGTGATAAATTTAGTGGACAGACTAAAATAAAAGTAGAAATAAATTTGACTGACAGAGAGAGTAAAAGTTAAAATATTTTGGTATTTTGACCCGATTACTTTGGAATGAAAAACAAACGAAAATAGTAAAATTGTACTTTGATTTGGGACGGAACAAATGTTAATTTTAAAAATCGGGTCAGGTCAGACACGACTTGACTTTCATGAACTTAGTGACGACCCCGATTCTTTAGCGTTCTAGGCCAAATACGACCCTAAAATTTCTGACCTATTTTTAAAAGTACAAACAACGAATTTTTTGGTGTTTTGTTCGTCGGATTTATTTTTTGCTCCACTAAAAAAAGAAGAAGAAGGAAGCGTGAATCGTTTGCAGGGTATTAGATTCGGTCGAATTTACCCAATACGTACTTTCGGATAGCAGCCGCGAATTCTCATACCATAAAAAAAATTTTAATTTTTTTTTTTTTTTTTTGTTACAATGCGAGATGAATCGATTTATTATTTTTGATAAATCGAAATAGACCATTTCAAACCGCAACCTGGCGGTGTAAACCGTTGGACAAGTCTAAATCCATAAATGCGATTTTGCCGCACGTGCGAGCCCCGTGAGCGCGCACAGGTCCAGGAGCTCTGTTATTTGACCAAAAGCCTGGTAGATATGCGTTCGGTGACGAAGTTAATCCATTCGTGGCCGAGAAAATCGCCATAGGGAGAATTTCTGCCCTCGCGCGCTCGCAGAAATTCCTTTCGCCATAATTGGGTACGCTTACACCGTGGAGGGTGACGATTTTGATGTCATGTGTTCGATCTGGTGATATTAATTTGCTATTGGAATATAGATGGGTGTGGTGACGTCGTCGGTGGCGGCGAAGTTTGCGTTCTTTCCTCCGGATCCGCCGTCGTACGGAGTAAAGGTTGATGAGAAGACGGGGAATTTGCGGATGACAGGGGTGGAGGAGAAGGAAAACGTCGACGTTGTCAGGTTGAAGACGAAGAGAGAGACGGAAATCGTGGCGTTGTACGTGAAGAATCCATCGGCGAAGATGACAATGTTGTATTCTCACGGAAACGCAGCTGACATAGGGCAGATGCTCGACCTCTTCAGTGAGCTCAGTATCCATCTTCGACTCAATTTAATGGGGTAATTTTCGGAATTATCTACGAAATTTCAGCTATGCGTTCCCCTTTCAAACATGGTGGTAGGTTTAGGTTTATGTTGAATTGAGATTCTATCATTACGAATTTGTGTGCGTTTTTCCATACAAATGAGCAGAAGTATTAATTCTAGGTTATGATCATCATCAAGCACATGTACAACTCTAACAGAACTGATTAATGTTAGAAGTTTTTACAGTGTTGCAGATTTTCAGAGAACACTACTGATCTTGATTTTCAAACATGGTGATAGGTTTAGGTTGAAGTGAGACTCTATCTTTTATGAATTTGTGTGCGTCTTTCCATAACTTGCAAATGAGCGAAATGATTAAATCTAAGTTATGATCATCCAACACATATGTAGTTCTAACAGAATCCTCGAGTTAACAAGAACAAGCTATAGTGGTGCAGGCTTTCATAGAACAGTATTGGTCTTGATCATCTAGACAATGAATTGATTTTGGAAAGGCAATGCAAGGGAAGATTGGTTTTGGTATTAATCTTGGTTATGATCAGCAAAAAACTCATTGAAGGTTGCCAGAAGACATTATAGTGGGCAGATTCTCAAAGTAGTATTCGGGTGCTTTGGTTAAAGAGAATAGAATTATGAAGAATTAAATTGCGAGGAAAATTAATAGAGACTGAGAATTTATTCTTGAAAAGAGAATTATGCTGCGAAATGTAATGTAAAAATTGACAATATGGATGATTTGATCTAGCGGAGATGATTCATTGTGTTCTATTGAAGTGAAAAAAAAGGATGAATTGAACATGACGAAGAGATGGTACATGTAAAAGGGGGTTTTAGAGGAGTGGAAATCCGCAGAAAAATATGGCCAGTTTAGTTGGTAATTCTTTATTTTGATTTTAGTTTTTTATTTGAATAATAATTTGGATATGATGTTTTATAACATAAAATAATATCATATTTTTATAGAGAAGTGTGAAAGTTGAATAGGGAAAAAAATTACCTTTTTGTTTCTCTCTATTTCTCGCAGTATTAAGAGAAATGAAATTCATTTCTTAATTTTAATTTTATCTGACCCAAACAAACAAGAAAAATGGAGATGTTTACATTATACACCCTTAATTTATCGTCTAAAGAACAAATTGATTTCAGAAACACGATGCGAAGAAGCTTGGTTTCAATATTAATCTAAGTTATGATCATTGATCAAGCTCATGTGTAACTCTAATCTATCTCATTGAAGCTTAGAAAAATATATTATAGCAGTGCAGATTTTAATTATATAAAACCATTGGGTTGAATTTAATTATACAAAAATTTAGTGAATTATGAATTTCACCATCTTATTTTGGCAGGTATGATTATTCGGGGTATGGGCAGTCGACGGGCAAGGTATGGAAGTGAGGCGGGCTCATTAACCTTTGTGGAATTATAAAATGTTGAATTGCAGATTTTCTTACTCACGATTGTAATTTTCTTCTCAAAGCCAACGGAGCAAAACACGTATGCTGATATAGAAGCTGCATATGAATGTCTTAAAAAGACTTATGGGATAAAAGAAGAAGATATAATACTATACGGACAGTCTGTCGGGAGTGGGCCTACGTTGGATTTGGCATCTCGTTTGCCCCGATTAAGGGCTGTTGTTCTTCACAGTCCGATTCTATCCGGGCTCAGAGTTATGTATCCTGTTAAACGAACATATTGGTTTGACATTTACAAGGTATAAATTGCCTGCCCTATCGTTCTTTCAAGGTTTTTTTTTTTTTGTAACGGGATAACCCGCAATCGTTTTTTCAATTTTGATTGTGTACTATGTGGATGAATCTTTGTTTTTAGACTTAACTCTTTTTTTTTTTATGCAGAATATTGACAAAATCCCGTTGGTACAATGTCCAGTCTTGGTTATTCATGTAAGTTTGTTTGCATAATTTTTCATTACGGTTTCATTTCATGAATTGTGTCTATAATTCTAAGTAAGTGCGGGTTTGTTCCTTTTGTGTTTGGTTTTAAATTTTATTTTTGATTTTCTATTTAAATAGTGGATAGATGTGATGGAAAACGATAAGGAAGAGAGAGCTAAGTGAGAAAAATAAATAAATTACGATACATGCATGTACATTGTTTAGATATAACACCCTGTTTTAGTAAAAATGCATAGAACACCTTATGTTTATTTATTGCTTGAAATTCCTTTGTGTTATTAAAGTTTGCACAAATTACCATTTTCGTCCAAAGCTAATAAAATAAATAAATAATTGATCAATCTTTTATTTTTATAATTTTGAAAAAAATCAAGTAACAATTTGTTTCTAAAAAGATTATAAAATAAATAATTAATCAATTATTTATTTATTTATTTATTATATTAAAAAAGAACTATTTAACAAATTTACCTCTTCTATTTGTATAAAATTTGCATAATTAAGTTCGTATTTATAAACAAACATTAGCTTTGGATGAAAATAGTATTTTGTGTAAACTTTACATTTAACACAAGGAGGATTCACGCAATAAATAAAAATTTTGTACATTTTTACTAAAACACAATGAGGTATTATATAATTTACTCTATTGCTTATTGCTGATTTCTTTTGATAAAAAAAAAAGAAACCCGAATGCATAGCTTGCTTGAGGAATTTGTAAGCCATGTTGTTTGAATGCGCTTTTTTATAAACAATATTTATAATCGATACGGTAGCATACCTTGAAATTACCTGTTGTGCTATGTAGCTTAAAAAAGCCAATATTTTTACACAGATTTTGCACTCTCCCATTTGACACGCCCGTAGAAAGTCTAACTATCATTCCTCAGGCTCATTTTTTTTATGGGTTTGACAGGGCACCGACGACGATGTTGTAGATTGTTCCCACGGTAAGCAGCTCTGGGAGCTGAGTAAAGAGAAATACGATCCTCTGTGGGTGAAAGGCGGAAACCATTGCGATTTAGAGTTCTACCCGGAATACATTAAACATTTGAAGAAGTTCGTATCATCTGTTGGAAAATCGGGACACCTTAGGAATGGCGATCAGACAGGAAGCACTTCGAACAGCAGCGATTGAGGACAGGACAGGACAGGACAAATGGTGATCAGTGTAAGATGTCGAATTCGAGCAAAGATTGTGTACAGAATCCTACGCCGGAGAGGCGAGTTTGGCCGGAAATAATTGTAATCGATCCGCCGGAGCACGAGGATCGGCTTGGGTTCATTCCATCATTAACTGTGAGATATGTTTTTTTTTTTTTTTTTTTTTGGGTTATAGGTAAATTATTTGAAGTGTATATTATGGTTGTTGTATGTATGTATGTATTTAGTTATCAAAGATGTGTATTTATAATGATCGAATACGTGTGAAAAAGAAACACATGATTGAAGTTTGAATATGCTTTAAAGTTTAAGGTGATGGAAGTATTCCTACCCCTTCTATTATTAAATTATAAGGTGATCGAAGTATTCCTACTCCTTTTATTACTCCTTTTATTACTCCCTCGGTCCCTATTTAAGGAATATCAATATTATATTGATAATTAGTAAAAAATAAATATAAATAATTTTTTTGTTCTTGTGAGTATATTAGTGTAAAAAGTAGTAGTAACAATTGTGTAATAATAATGAAAAAGTAAAAGATAATTTTATGATGATATAGTTATTTATGAAAATGAGATTATTGTTTTAGTACAAACAAAAAATGATAAATAAGACTATTGTATTAGGACGGAGAGAATATTAAATTACATATATATATATATGGAAAAAATCATTTTTGGTAAAATTCATCAATTTTGGTCGCAATATAACCAAAACTTATCTTTTTTTTATCCAACCGTCAACAAACCGACGGAAAATGCTTACGTAAAAAAAAATCAAACTTTATATTTATATTTGAAGAAATTGCACAATCTTGCAAGTCCACATCATCATTTTTCGTCGGTTTGTTGACGGTGGGACCAAAAAAGATAAAATTTGATTATATTAGGACAAAAAATGATGAGTTTTAGTTATATTTGAACCATTGATGAGTTTTGATTATATTGAGACCAAAATTGATGAATTTTGGTTATATTGGGACCAAAAATAATTTTTTCCCATATATATATCAAAGGTATAATTAGGGTGTGTTTGTTTGGGGGTTTAGATTTTAAATTGTGATTGGAATAGTAAAAATTTTGAATTTAAATAGTTGTATGATGTGATATAAATAGGTGTTGATGTGATGTTTTGAATGTAAATTTTTTTTTAATATAATATAAAAAATGAAAAATAAGTATTTAATTTGATGTTTTTTAGGGAAAAAAAATGAGATACCATCTACTAAATGTCTTTTTTTTTTTTTTTTTTTGTTAGTTCACAAAACATATTTGAAAGGTAGTTCAATTTATTCAATTTTTTTTTTTCAAGTTCAGTTCAGCATAATAAGATTTTAGTAGGTACATTCAAATAGGATGTAAATTTGAATTGTAGCTCCCAAATAGGATGTAAATTGGATGTTTTCTACTTGATTTATAATAACTTACTGTAAAAGCTCGTATATTATTATTTCAGTCTATCTCATATTTTATGTTACTTTTTTAAAAGAATTATACGTAGTAAATTTTATTTTAATATTTCAGTATTTTTTTATTTTGATTTTAATTTATAATTATTTTATTATAAAATAATTAATTTGTTAATATTTTTTTATTATTTACTAATAATATATTTTTTAAATTTTCAAGTTCACAATTATATGAATTTGAAAATGGGGACGGAGGGAATATTTTTAATCATACAATTGTAATCATATTTTACTTCTAAAATATAAAATTGAATATTTTTATTTATAATTTAAAAAAAATTGAAAATAATTTTAAACTATATATATTATATTAATCTAATGTATTTGAAGAAAAAACTATTAAATTTTTCAAAAATAATTTTTAACCAAAGCCTTATTTAAAAAAAATATCTATATTTATATGAATTTAAAAAAAAAAATTCTATTGTATCAAAATATTTAAAAATAAATTTTAAACGAAAATTCTATTAAGTATTTCAAGTAATAGTTTAGTGAAATGATTTACATTTTTTGAAAATATTAATTTTTTTATTAAAAAATAAAACATTTAATATTACTTATTTTATTTAAACAAAATATTATATTAAAATATTATTTTAAAAAAACTAAATTAACATTTTATTTCATATGAGTTTCAAACAGCATAAAATAATATACATCCCAGCGACGTAGCCCAAATGCAAACCAAAACATGTTTTTCCGAGATAGTTTGAAAACTGTAAAAATAAGAAAGTAGCCCTAAACAGTAAACACAGAATCGCTTTCTGAAGCAGCAGCCGAGTTCCAAACATGGCGGAAACCTCTGTTTCTGTAGCCGTAGAACACCTGACCTGCTAATACTGACTTTTGATTTCGTTTTTGCATTGCACATCTCCAGAATTGATGATCCTGCCGGGCACATAGCCTCCGGATGAATTTCTACAGCGCCTCCGCAAAAGTTGAATGCCTTTTCGCCACCTGTGGAATTCCCGTCTCGAAGTTTGATGTCCGCCGCAAAAACCACCGTTCATCGGAGTTTCGAGCTCGATAATTCACGCGCTCAATCCGCAACACAACCCCACAGTTATGTGGCGGAACATCGCCAAGCAATTCAGTTCAAGAGCTCCGTCGAAGTCCTGCAGTTGTAATCCACACTCATACTCAAGCGCGTGCGGTTTTCCTAGATTCGCCGGAGATCCACCCTTCGTCCCCGGCGAATTCAAGTTGAGATTTCGATTTAATTCCAATTCGTTCTCCAAGGCGAGCATTTCTTCTCTAGGTATTCGCAAAGTCGGCAATATCTCTCGGCGGGAAGAGTTTCCGCCGCTCCTATCGGCGGCGAACCAGATGAATGTCAATGGATTGTGCTGCCGGAGCTACGCCAGTGCAGCGGAGGCGGTGGAAGTGGCGCACACTGATGCAGAGGAGGACAACAATGGCGGAGACTCTGTAAGTAAAGAGGTTCAAAAGCTACTAAAGGAGGCGAAAATAGATGAAATAAGGCAGAACCGTACGCACTGGAGGGAACCTAACCGTAGAGGATTATGGAGTTCAAAGTACAGAGAACTGAAGAGGAGACAGGTTAAGATCGAGACAGAGGCATGGGAGCAAGCAGTGAAGGAGTACAGGGAGCTTTTGAATGATATGTGTAAGCAGAAATTGGCCCCAAATTTGCCATACATGAAGAGTTTATTCCTCGGGTGGTTCGAGCCTCTAAGGAACAAGATTTTGGAAGATCAGGAGCTGATTAGGGCAGGGAAGAACAAGATGGGATATGCTAAGTACTTTGATCACTTGCCGGCGGATATGATGGCTGTTATAACCATGCATAAGTTAACGGCTATGTTGATGACCGGGGGTGAACATGGATCTGCTAATGTGTTACAGGCTGCTTGCGCAATTGGTTCGGCAATTGAACAGGAGGTGAGTCAGATATGATATGAGACGATTTATTACGAAGTAGTTTTTTAATTTCTGAATTAGCGTTTAATGTAAGAGATGTGAATTACTGCATTGTCTTAGAATATTGAATGACTGATTCTTAAGTGCTTTATGTCGGAAGATCAGAATTACTGTCCACCAAAAAGTTTAAGCTATTAGGAAAACACATCATTAATTTATCTATCCGCAAACGGGAGTTCCCTACATGCCCTCAGGTGCAAGGAGAGATACGCGAAACTTGCATATGCATATACCGAAATGGGGACGGTGGGACTTGAACTCGAAATCTAGGTTTTCATATTATGTCGATGTTAAGAAGAGATCCAGACTTTCAATCTAAAACCACTATGTCGATGTTAAGAAGAGCTCGGATTCTTTTTTAACAATTGATTTTAGGTTGAAAGCCCGGGTCCCTTCTTAACATAGTATCAGAGCCTTAGTGCTCGTATTGGGTATTGATTTTGTTTGAATTTTCAAGATTATCATCTCGAGTGGGAGTGATAAATATGTTACACATTGAAAAAAAATGTGAGAACTCCCTTGGCTTATAAGGATGAAGGGTCATTCCACCTAATACCTATTAGTTTTAGGTTGAAAGGCCCGATCCCTTATTAACACTTTCGTTTAGTTTTTTCAGAAACATACTTCTCATTATGATTATATTGCTAATTGTAATACACTCTGTTGCTGAAAATTCTTTTGCCGTGTGTTTTTTTTGGTGCTCCATTTTGGAGGAACAAAGTATCGCTTTGGGTGTGTTTGTTTGTGGGTTTGGATTTGGATTTATGAATGGTAAAAAATTGAATTTGAATAGCTGTTTGATGTGATATAAATAGATATTGATGCGATGTCTTGAATGTAAAATAAATTTGTAGTATATAAAAAAACAAAAGTAATTATTTGATTTGATATTTTTGGAGGAAAAAAGAATCTGAATAGTAAAAACCTACGATAAAACCCACAAAAGAACACAACCTGATGTTTTGCCTCTACACTTCCCTTTTCTATTTGTAGTCAATGTTTACGATCCTGTAATCATTGTTCCTTTTGTTTCGTCATTTTTTTGCTATATTTGTCAAGGAACCAATTTATGACTCCAAAACAGTTCTTTTATGGGTATGGTTGTATTTTAGTTTTGAAACAGTTATAACTTTCATATACCTTTTCATTCTTGACTAATGCTATTTGGATATATAACCCATGAAATAGATTAATCGGCTTCCTAAGGATGTATTTTATTAAACTTCAAGTTATTTCCCAGACCCAGATTTTTTTAGTTAAACAGTCTTAGCGGTCATATATATTTTCATTATTGACTTATGTTATGGTATTTGGATATTAAACCCATGAAAAGGGATATAATAGCTTCTTAAAGCTATACATTTTATCGATCTTCAAGTTATTTTTCAGACCCACTTATTGTTTAACATTGAACGGTTTCTCCTTTTATGATATTGTGATAATGAGAGTGAATTTTTATGAAGCCTGATTGTGAAGTGCGTGCCAAGTTGATGGTCCTGCACAATATGGTGATGTTGATGACGAAAATATTTGTGAACCCATTCTGTGGAGTATGACTTCCAAGTTGTGACATAGCAAATTTGTGATATGTTTGAACTGCATTGACGTATAGATTGGCTATATGTAGCTAATGCATTCTCTATTATGCAAATTAGTTCTCCCTTGCTTATTTTGTTGAAGAATTTGCAATCATATTAAGGAGATTCATGAAATATATAAGGTGAGAATACACCATTTGCTGGAGAACGCAAAGAAGAAAAAAGCCAACAAAGATACAGTGATGGAAGGAGATGACTCTAATGTAGATAACGAGGAACAAGATAAATTGCGACGAAAGGTAACAACTTTGATAAAAAAGCAAAAGCTGAAAGCAGTTAGGCAGTTGGTGGACAGACAGCTTGTGCATCATTCGTGGGGACAAGAGGCTGCAGTAAAAGTATGATTTGCTGAAGTCTGAACAATCCTTGTTGGCAATTGGTTTAAGATTAGTAATTTTTAGAGTTCTATATGTTTTCTTCACTCTCAGGTTGGAAGCCGCCTCATTGAATTGATTCTACAAACAGCCTATATACAACCTCCCGTTAATCAGTCAGCAAATGGTACTCCAGATGTTCGGCCTGCATTTATACACACAGTTAGAACTGTGACAAAGGCAATGAAGTAAATGATACACCCCACTATATAGCCACCTTATATTTTTAGCTAACACATAGTGAAATCTTTGAAATGCTCTACTTTCAGCAGGAGTCATGTCAGAAGATATGGGATTATCCAATGCGATCCTCTTGTTCGTAAAGGCCTTGAGAGAAACGTATGTTAATTAACCATTTTCCACTGCCTCATTGCAAACTTCAGATTATGGAATACCACTTAAACACGTGTTCTTGAAATTTGAAGTCTGATTTGAGATATTGTTTGAGATATGTAGTAAGCTTTTAAATCTGACGGGCATGAAGATGCTTATAAGCACATGTTATGGCTTCAAGTTGAAAACATATTTGTTGCCTTAACTGTTCTCATTCTTTATCACTACTTTGTAGATCTAAGAGTTATATTTAATTCCAGGCCAAGCACATGGTGATTCCATATATGCCAATGTTAGTGCCTCCAGTCAAGTGGACAGGGTAATAATACTTTTTCCTCCATCCCAATTTTTTTTTATTTTCCTCCTTCATCCCTAATTTTTTTTTTCTTCGGTTAGAGATATTTAAAGTTTGTAGTTTGTTAGAAATGTATTTATTTTTTCTGGTTTGCTTAAATTAATATATGATCGCTTGACAAATAAAATGCAGTTTACTGTAGCAGCAGTGAAAAACAGAAAATAGATCATAAATTGTTGAAGTGACCAGTACTAGTGTGTAATGTTGTTCGACTACTATATCTTTCTTCATTGATATGTGAAGATCATATGTTCGTATAGGTGTATATATGGAAATTAGTGAAGAAATCATCCATAATCTTATGAAATAAATCTATAACAACAATGAAATAGACATGCTGTCATTTGTAATCTTCAGAAGCATTGTTGGGGCCTAACTTTTGTTTTGCCAACTGGAACTGTGTGTGTTGTTTGCATATTTGGACTAAAAGATGAATCTTTTGATCTTCTTTTATGGTTATGCATTGTTGTATCATAGGTATGAAAAAGGGGCACATTTCTATTTACCTTCATATGTGATGCGTACACATGGAGCCCGGCAACAACGTGAAGCAATTAAGAGGACTGACAGGAGACAACTAAAGACAGTTTTTGAGGTTTGAATTTGTATTTTCTTTGTTGTTTTTTTCCACTAGAGGGTGTAAGATTGGCTAACGCTTGAAATTCAAGTTGCACCACTTCTTGCCAGGCATTGAATACTCTTGGAAGCACCAGGTGGAGAGTGAATCAGAGAGTGCTTGTTGTGATTGACAGAATATGGGCTAGTGGTGGCCGGCTTGCAGATTTAGTTGACCGGAATGATGTATATGCTACATGCATCTTATTTTTTACTATTTTCATAATATTTGATAAAGTTTACAAATTGTCATGAGCAACCCTTTTCAGATTGTTTCGTTTTATTACGCCAACATATGTTATGTTCGTATTGCTTCTTGCAGATCCCTCTGCCAGAGCAGCCCGATACAGAAGACGAAACTTCAATTAAGAAGTGGAAATGGAAAGTTAAATTAATCAAAAAAGAGAACAGGGAGAGACATTCACAGCGTTGTGACACAGAGCTCAAACTAGCTGTAGGATTAACATTTTGTTATTTTAAAAAATCAATGTATATTGTATTCTGCAGAGATAACCAAGTGCCATCTTCTCCATATTGACCAGGTTGCGCGGAAATTGAAGGAGGAAGAAGGATTTTTTTATCCACACAACCTTGATTTTCGAGGCCGTGCATATCCCATGCACCCACACTTGAATCATTTGGGATCTGACATTTGTAGAGGAATTCTAGAATTCCAAGAGGGAAGACCTCTTGGACATTCAGGCTTGCGATGGCTTAAAATACATATCGCAAATTTATATGCCAATGGTGTAGATAAGTTGTCACTAGAAGGCAGAATAGCATTTACTGAGAACCACTTGGATGATATATTTGATTCGGCAGATAGACCACTTGAAGGAAAGCGCTGGTGGTTAAATGCTGAAGATCCCTTTCAGTGTTTGGCTGCAAGCATAAATCTTACTGAAGCCCTGAGAAGTCCATCGCCTGAGACAACAATTTCACATATTCCCGTGCACCAGGTATTATTTAAATGGAGCATGCAGTATTGTGAAAACAATTGAACTTCTGTGTGTTAGGCATCTGAATCAAATAAACTCTTAGTATTTACTCTATGTCTGGTCTTTATATAGTAAAATAGCCTCTCATTTTATTGTTAGCTTTCCAGAATAGTATTATGGATTTACTTTTGTTGTTATACTGGGGTGATTTTCCTTGTGATGTAAAATATTATGTTGAAATTTTTGTATGGTGGATCACATTCTTGCCTTTTAGCTTAAGAATATTGTGACTGCCATTGCAGCGTGATTTTTTAATGCTTTTGGTTATCAGCTTGTAATTTGTATGACTGCCAATGATCTCAATTTTTTCTTCTTTGATCTTCTTTCTTTTATAGGATGGTTCATGCAATGGCTTGCAGCATTATGCTGCCCTTGGTAGGGACAAGGTGATGCTTCTGACTGTCTTGTCAGTGATAATCTTATTAAGACTCTATCAAAAGCATTGAATGATTTTGTTAGTCGTTGAAAAATGCTGTACTTTTTTATCACTTTACGTTAGCCAACATTTGAACTTATTATTGTTGCTCGTATTGGAAGAAACTTTCTAGCAAGAACACAACGGCAGTTTATATATAGATAATAGATAAAGATAAGTGAAGTGAAGTGATTTTGTCTTGTTAGATTGCTACTTTGTGAAGTCTAAATGAGGTTTTGTGAATAGTGATGCGTCGGTTAGTTAACACTGCATCCACTTCTAGTTGTTTGGGGGTTCAATTTTTTCATGTGTAATATTTTCTACTAATCCTATATGACAGCATTCTAGTATTTACCTATGCTATCAGTTACCTTGTTTTCACTTTGTTTTGTTTATACATTATTTATTTTTCCTCAAACTTTTCTGATTGTGTCCCATTGAATTACTGATTTAGCTTGGGGCAGCTGCTGTTAATTTGGTTGCTGGGGAAAAGCCTGCCGATGTCTACTCAGGAATTGCTGCCAGGTGCATTTTCATTCACATCCTTCATTGGTGATTATAATTTATGTTTTCCTTGAGGCATTTGTGTTGAAGGCAGTTTCGGAAATCCTGTTTCATCAATGCCATCAAGAAATGAAGCTTGTGCAATATTTATGTCAGTAGATTATATAGTATTATTTCATATTCTAAAATGTGAGGCCTTCAAGACGGTCTTGTAAGTGCTTTTAAAGTGTTACACATATACATGGAAACATTGAAAATTTCTTGATTCCAATGTGATATTCGTTAAAGCTATATAGTGAGATGGGACCTCTTTGTTTCTTTTATTCACTTTTATATGGTGATTTGAACCTCCAATGTGCTTGCACCAATTTTCTTGTGAGGGAGTTGAATTGCATTCGTCATTCATGTAGTGATCCGAGTGAATTAGGAAATTCACAAGTTACTTTCTTGATTATGCTTCTGCAGGGTTCATGCTATCATGAAGGATGATGCTCAAAAGGATCCTGCAATATTTCCAGATGCCCTGCATGCAAGACTATTGATCAATCAGGTCTATTCATTGGTTAACACTTCTATTGTGTTATATACAACTCGAGATTCTTAAAATGTGATTGACATTGAAGATAGCATTCTCGGTTATCGGTATAATAATTTGTTACTCAGATACTAACCTTATCCGAAGTCATTGTGGGATCTTATATTTGTATGCCTGAAATTTGTTCTTCCATTCTTGTTTCCTTCCATTGTCTATCTTCTTGTGTGTTTCTTATAATATGCTTGCTACATTGAAATGCTCAGGTGGACCGAAAACTGGTCAAACAGACTGTGATGACATCAGTATATGGTGTTACTTATATTGGTGCTCGAGATCAAATTAAGAAAAGATTAAAAGAACGTGCCACAATTGCGGATGATGCACAGATCTTTGGTGGAGCTTGTTATGCAGCAAAAGTATGGAAAAACCGACTCTTTATATCTTTATGCGAATCAATTATATTCATCATGTGGAGGCATCTTATCGGTTTTTATCAAAATGCTTATAATTACAAATTATCGTTCTTATCTGATTGGTGCATATGCATCTGTTTATGGCACTTGCGGCAGTGAGATCATGTCAAACATTAGGTGTTTGTTTCACAATCCTTACACTTCTGATGGTACAAAATACGGCATTTGAAGAATATCTGATAAGGAAAGCAAATTAATGAATCCGTGTATTAGTACTTCACAGAGAATCTGTTTCTGTGTTACTTTTAGTTAAATTTGACTCTTATTTGTTTGGTTGTTATGAGTAGGTTACCTTGACGGCTTTGGGACAGATGTTTGAAGCTGCTCGGAGTATCATGAACTGGCTCAGTGACTGCGCAAAGGTGCACTGTAATTTTTACACAACCAGTTAGTTTCTATATGCTACGGAAAACCTGCCCATAATAACCATAATTAATTACTGCAACGAACCACCTGAAATAGTTTTAATATACAACATTGTTGCAACTTCATTATGATGCATTTTGCATTGATCATGTTTAGATTCATTTTTAGTTTTTCAGAAATTTATTGGATGCCAGCATGATTGAGATTATCGAAATACACGACCACGTATCTTTCTTTAAAAAATATACTAATTATATTTATTCTATTTTTCGTAATTTCGCTTGCATTCTTCCGATGTGCTCTTATTGGTTCATCTATCTTTCATGCTATTCTCATTTTTATCATTTTTCTAGTGATGAAATTGTGACATGTTTTATGTCCCTCCCTATTAAAATGTTGAAATGACATAATGTAGAATAACTATGGCTCATCGTAATCATTATGCGATATTTTAGTTTTTATCACAATAACTTTGGCTTATAAGCTAAATCTTTATGTGTAATCTACTCATACAAAACATTAACTAAATCATATGCAATTTCTTTATCTAGCAGTAATTAAATTTTGCATTTGCTAACAACAGTCCTCCAACAGATCATTGCATTAGAAAACAAACCTGTTTGTTGGACAACTCCACTCGGACTGCCCGTGGTTCAGCCTTACCGTAAAACAAGAAAACAATGTGTAAGTGTTACCGAATCTCAACAAAAATAGTTTGTCGACTTTCTAGTTCCTCTGCTTTTGTTACAGTTTGTACATTAAAAATGTCATATATCCGGGTTTTGAGCACTTGTTCTTGTTATTGTAGGTTAAAACATCTCTCCAGGTTTTGACCCTGCATTGTGAGATGGAAAAGGTAACTCGAGATCCTCGATTTGTTGGACTATTAGATCACGAAATGAGTTAATCGATCCCAAAGGGCAGCGACGAATCTTTCTTTTTCTTGGAAGCCAATCGTAAACTTGTTTTTCTTGTTGTTTCTCGAATTGGTTTTCTGATCAGCAATCCGCTGCAGGTTATGGTCAAGAAGCAGAGAACGGCTTTCCCGCCAAATTTTGTCCATTCCCTCGATGGTTCACACATGATGATGACGGCAATCGCCTGCAAGAGGGCCGGCTTGAATTTTGCAGGTCTTTCTTAGATCAACATCACCCAAGATCCCGACATATATCATAACATCTCATAAATCGATTCATTTTTTTCTTTTTATCTGATTTTGCAGGCGTCCATGATTCATATTGGACTCACGCGTGCAATGTCGATGACTTGAACCGGATATTGAGAGAGAAGTTTGTCGAACTATACAGCCAGCCGATTCTAGAGAATGTAAGTTCCCTCAAACACCCTCGACTCCATTCATTTCGACAATCAAGTACTCGCTAGCTTTTATTCACAAAATCTACACCACACACATCCTAATGCTTTCACTTATATACAGTTATTGGAAGGCTTCGAAAATTCGTTCCCTTCACTGGCCTTCCCTCCATTGCCAGATCGTGGCGACTTTGACCTTAAGGATGTACTCGACTCTCCCTATTTCTTCAACTGAACCATACAGCCTTCTTCCCAAATCCTTCCTGCCGACAATTTTATAATGATTGTCTCAGCATTCCTACAGCATAGAGATCGGTGTAGAGTTGTAGCTGTATGTGTATATCTATGTTTTTGTGCTTACAGCTAAGTTTAGATTCCACTCCAATTTCTAAGTTCAGATCCAATGAAGAAGATTAGGGATTGTAAATTTGTACCTAGACTCGTAAAAAGGCTAAATTTGGACATCGCTATGCCAAATTTGAGCCGAGACAGTTTGTAGAATCCATAAGCTATAGATGATTTTGGGATTCCACCATATCAACAGCAAAGAGATATTGCAAAATCGGATATCGAAGGTTGATGAAAAATTGGAGTAATGTATTTATTGAGGAGGCATGTGGTAAACAGATTGCATTTTCGATTCTAAAAGAGAGACATACTTGTCGAGCATAGAAATCATAGCTTCGAATTCGGTGACTTGCTGTTCTATGGTGTCGAGCTGTTGGACGTAGACGTCGAAATTGCTGCTTTTCAACTTTAATTGCTCCACAAAAACTCTTAGCCCCGATGCAACATCACCGAAGCCTTTGTATTCTTCTGCTACCCTCACATTCATTTTCTCGAGAAGCTCAAGGACGTTATTTGTTCCCTGGGACATCAAATAAGTCGTCGTTACCAAATGCCCAAGAAAAAAATAAAAATAAAATCATCGGATGGTTCAAATCATCTATTCAATACAAGGATTTCTCCCTTGCAAACCTCTCACTAGATGGATGGTAAAGGTTAATGTTAAACACCACATTAACTTTAGAGAATATTGTATTTTTACAGGAAATTGCAATTATTACCGGAGTAAAAATACTGAAAGCAAATTCCAAAAGAACAAACGGTGTATTTTTGTTCTTTTTGTAATTTTAATCGACCGTGATGAGAGAACCAAAACAATTGCATATCACTGCTGCACAATACCACAACTAACAATGGCCCATGCTACTATAGGAGAGTAAAATAAATTTATAAAAAAAAAATAATAATAATTGTTTGATATAATATTTTTGGAGGAAAAAAAGAATTTAGATAGTAAAAAACTGTGGTAAAATTCACAAAAGAACAAAACCATAATAGTGTGAAGCATATTAATATCTTTTAAAGGAACAAAAAGAAGGGCGCGGTTACAAAAGAGATTTATTAAGACCCCGGCCCCTTGGCAGTTAGCCGAAAGCATCATATATGATATTACCTCCGTCCGGCTCTAAGGGTCTATTTACTTTTTTGCACGTTGATTTTTGAATATTAATTATTATATCAAAACATAGTACAAATTAAAAAAAAAAATTGCAAAAATACTTCTATTAGTGTCTTATAATACTAATAGAAGCGCACTCGGTATTCACATGAATATGTTTATTCTAATCCTCTTATAAACTCTCGAAATCCAGGGTATTGCAGATTTAGTCCACAAAATTATCTGATTATAGTTTGAGTATCAAGATCACAACTTAAGCTAACTTTATCCAATCCACCATGTATTCAAATCAAATTCTACCAAAATAACATCATTCAAATGTCGAATTACCTGGAGCTCGCCTTTGACCATGTCAGAGACACTGCTGAATAGATCACTCAGAGATGCAGTTAGTTGATCATCTTGCTCTTTCTCTTTCTCAGAAGCCATTATCATACAGATCCACCAAGCTTTCCTCAATGACCTATGCCAGTCAATGTCAGAAGGAAATTCCTAACAATGATTTCTAAACGAAGAATTGCTGGTACATGATTAGTCTTATAATGATACTGCTCACATGAAAAGGAGGCCATTTCAACCGTAAATGGAAGCTTGGATACTGCATTCTATGCAGTATTCCATTATGCAATACAATCAAATGAAGAATTTAACAATTTCCAGAATAATCCTTCCTGTGAGTACTCCAAAACCCTAAATTGGCATCCCCAAAAGGCAGAAATAGTTGCAATCAATACATCAAATAACCTCATCGCTCACAACTCCGAAAATCAGACCAACAAATAATAGCACTAAATCGCCACAAAAATCTTACTCAAAATCCAAACACAACTAAACTACAAATCCCTTCGACAAAATTTACCTTGAAAAGAGTCAAAACCACACCAATGAAGCTCCGCGATTAATTTCTTGCACAAGCCGCTCCAGATCCACACATTCATCAATCAAATCGCCCCAAATTTTTGTCAGAATCACCCCGCGAAAGAGAGCAAACAATGCTCCAGAGAAAAAGTGACGAAAGCTGAGCAGAGAGAAAACAAAGTAAAAGTCGTGTTTATAAATATTGCGCTTTCAACTTTTTTTATCACTTTCGTGCAAGGCTTGAGATTAATGTATGATATATATTTTTTGAAAAAATGAAAAAATTATTAATTATGTAATAATAATTATTATTATAATAATAATAATAATAAAAAAAGAAAATATTTTTTTTAAAAAAAAAAAAGAAAATTCTAAAATATTAGTAAATTTTATGTATTCAGCACCTTACTGTCAGCATAGAATCCTTGCAGATCATATATAATTAGTTTTTCTTATAACACGAATAATTAAATATTAATAAATATATTTATAGAAAAATTAATTTAAACATAATCTCCAAGAAAAGTAAATACAAATATTTTCTATTTTTATATATACAAAGAAATATATTTAAATGTTATAGATCAATTTTAAAATATATATAAAAAATGATTAGTACAATTGTATTTCAAAATATATTAATATTCTTTATATAAAATTTAATCTAAATATCTTTTATTTTACTCTATTAATTATCTATAGTTTTAAAAAATAACATGCACTCATTGAAAGCAAAATAAACAAAAATAACAATAAAAAATGCATTAATTATTTTTATTTTGTATTATCTAACTCGTAAAAAAACGTAATTTTCTTTCATGAATTAATTTTTTTTCAAACAAAGGATCCTATAATTATTATGTCTTAATATAAAAGTAAATTTTAATAAAAATAAATTTAATTGTGTTATGTAAAATAAATATAATATGGTTATATAATAGAATTAATAAATTTGATATTGTTGATAATAGAATTAATAAGTTTAATTAATATAGTAGAATAAATAGTTATATTTATTATGTTTTTAGGTTTAGGGATATAGATGAAAATAAAAACTTAAGAGAAGGGTATTCATGTAGTTTTAAGTAGTCACTTTTTGTTAAGGCATATACAGAGCTGTTAAACGAATCGAGTAGCTCGCGAGCCAAGCTCGACTCGGCTCGTTAACAACTCGACTCGGTTCATTTATAGAGATAAACGATCCGAGCTCGAGCTCGAAAATTATCTTTTCTACAAACAATCCGAGCTCGCGAGTAGCTCATTTGAGCTCGTTAGTGATAATATATTTATATTATTTATATATTAATATAATATATATATACATACTTTTTTATATCAAAATTTATATTTATTATTAGAATTTAAATATTTTATTATAAAAAATAGGAATAAAATTAAATATATTTAATTTATATATTAAAAAATATACATAATATGTATACAATTCAAATCGAGCTCGAATTCGAGCCTTACGAACCGAGCTCGAACTCGAATTTGAGCCTAACGAGCCATGCTCGAGGCACTATTTTGACTCAAATTCTTAACGAGCCAAGCCGAGCCTGTACCGCTAACAAGTTCAAGTTGAACTCGAACAACAGATACTCGAGCTCGCTTAGCTCGTTTAATAGCTCTAGGCATATATATAGTATTGATATTGATATATGTCGCTTCATCCCGATGACTCTTGTTTGATACATAGAAATATGTTGTGTTTATTTTTGTTGAGTTTGAAAAAATTTAATTGAGTTTGATATTAAAATAATATTTAATGAGATATTTTGTGAAAAGAAAAAAATGTATATTTTTTTTTTTCGAGAAATGTAGATAGACTCCAAGTAGTAAAATTTGGAGAAATTGGTGTAAATAAACACTCTTAGACTCACTCATTCGGTTTTGAACCGTTGGTTCGCCAATTTTTGAACCGGCGGTTACAGTTCAAATTGAAATCGAGTACAAACCGAACGAAAACCGTCATCTCGACGGTTCTTTTTCGGTTTGTAATTTTTTCAAACCATAAAACGGCACACTTTGGATTTTTTAAAATTTAGAAAAAATATAATTAGTATATAATTAAAAATATGTTAAATTTAAATTAAAAATAACATAACCAATTAGTCTAATTGAAAATAAAAAAAAACCAATTAATCTAATTAAAAATTAAAAAATTATAAATTAAAAATTTTAATACTCCCGCCATCCCAATACATGGTCTTGTTTACCATTTTTTTTTAATTCTAAAACAATAGTCTCATTTTCATAAATGCTCATATCATTATAAATTTATCCATACTTTTTTATTATTATTCTTACACAAACTCATATATATATATATATATGTATATTTATCAATTATCAGTATATTCTTTAAATTTTGTGTACAATTCAAAGAAAATTATAATTTTGGAACGCAGGGAGTATGTCATTAAAATGTATAATTATTTTTTAAAGAAGAAAAGTGATAAGTGTGACAAAATTGGCAAGATATACACTAGTGAACGGAGGAAGTACAATTTTTTTTTTTTTTTAAAAAAAACTCTAAATACTTTTTAAAAAAGTGAAAATTAAAATATTCAACGTATTTTATTCTTTTAAGTTTTAACACAAATTTGCAAAAATCAATCCATTTGTTATTAATGTAATTTATGTGCAATTTTGGGTTGTTTAAGATAGAAATATTTGGAGATTTTTGAAACTTTGAAATTTTGTAAAAAATAAAAAATTAGTATTTAATTTGATATATGTGAAAAAAATGTATTTAAGGTAATAATTTTTGAAAAATAATGGCAAATAAGTGAGATGTGCTATATAGACAGAGCCTTCATCGTTGTATCAACCGGTCCAACTGCACCTAAAGTCGTGTTTAATTACCCAAACCCGGTTTGACCCATATGGCAAGTATCCGACCCGTATTGTCCGCCCCTTTAATTCGCACAAAACAGGGGAGCGAGACAGCCCAGCGTTGCAATAAAAATAGACCAGAGAGAATCCATGTCGCGGTTGCTCTGTCGGTCCCCAATCTAAGGTGAGCACAATTCGCGACCTGTAAATGAAGAAATGATTGATTGCTCATTGCGTCGATTCCCGTAAGGTACATCATGAGCTGCGCACTTCTTTCTCCCAATTTTGGATTAATGATTCCAGTCTGATTGTTGTAATTGGTGTAGTTATTTATTTATTTTTGGAAAATGTAGCGTGTAGGTTATCCTCTCTCTAATCTATGATGATGCTGAAGCAGTTGTGATTGGGTGAGTCATGAGAGGACTTGCTTCCGATTTTTATTTTGCTTGAATTTTGCAGTTTGTACTGAATTTGGATCGTAGCTGGGGAGAACGATAAATGTTAGGGCTGAGTTGAATTCTTGGAGTTGGGAGGTGTGTGTGGTTTATTGTTGGAAGAAAGCGTATTTTGAGAAGGAATGAAGGCTGGGAGTGCGGCGAAGCTGATTGTTGATGCGCTGCTGCAGCGGTTTCTTCCTCTGGCCAGGCGTCGAATTGAAACTGCTCAAGTTCAGGTAAGGTTACTTGTTTGTTAAATTTATTTTGGTTCTGTTGAGTGGGTGTGATTAATTGTTCTTCAATGTGGTTGAGTTCTTGTGTTTGGAGTACAGTTGTTGGTGTAATTGAGCTTTTTTGTAAGGATGTTATCGATACATTTCCACATAAAATTTATGATCTGGAGTGCTGTAGCATGGACAAAGGTTTGTTCAGAGAGTTGGTAGTTCATAGGAAGTAATAAGTACTATGTTGTATTGCATGTGGATAGGCTTGGTGTTGGTTGTAGATAATGGAAAGATAGGAGGGTTTATGTTGTATGAGGAAGTGGTTGGGCAAACCTTAGGAAATTCAGAAGAAAAAAGGCCGTTCGGCGCTTGGTGGGAAAAATTGGCGGCTAGTTTAAGATTCAGATTCGATTTTTGTGTCGTAAGGCTTTTGACGTCATGCCGTACTTGTTTGAAGTTGACTTGTGTTTAATTATGAATTTTTGTCGTTATTTGCAATGTTTGTGGACTACCTGTAGGATGGGCAATATCTTCGGCCATCGGATCCAGCTTATGAGCAAGTATTAGATTCTTTAGCTATGGTGGCACGCCATACGCCTGTGCCTTTATTGGAAGCTCTTTCAAGATGGAGAGAAAGGTTTTTCACTTTTTATCAAAAAATATCACTTAATAATTGCTGCAATTTTGTTGATTTCTGTAATGGCTCTCGCTTGGGTTTTTATGCTATATAAATTCTTCTTAATGCATGCTTTTGGTCAATGATTTTTAAGGTAAATATCTATTTTCCTTTAATATTTCTCTTTAAACGACATGATTAACTCCTACAAATGTTGTCTTATGATTGTGATTGGGTTACTATGCAGTGAATCTCCGAAAGGCGCACATGATGCATCAACTTTTCAACGAAAGGTTTCTTTCTTTTCCACCTGATATATTATTTTCCCCTGGACCATCTTTCGAAATTTTATAATAGAGAAAGTTCTTTCCTTGGAACTTCTTACATGCACTCATAGACACACTTGTATGCCAATTTCATGTGACTAATAAAATGTTAAGATGCTATAACTACAAATTGAGTTTCGATATAATTTGCACGGTCATGGCTAACGGCTTATAAGTAAATACTTGAAATCTATTATGTTTGTGATACGAGCTTCATTCGACTGCATTTTTATTTTTATTTCCATGAGATATCATCCTACTGAAATTTATTCTGTTTGTGATACCTAGCTTCATTCTCCCTTCATTGGTTGTTTCTACCTCGTTGTTTGCAATCTATGGAAAACTAAAAGATATACTGAAATCATATGGCATGATGATTCCAGGAGTTATCAGTTATATTTTCATAATCATGTGAGCGAAAAAAGGGAATCATGCCTGAATTGTTGGGATGGATGAATATTTGAGTGACGAAACACTATAACTGAAAGGCTTAACTCTAGATGATTTTAGTGCTGGAAGAAGTGGGATTACTAGGATAACAAATTGTTATGATCATCCCTATTGAAAACCATTTTATTCTAAGTTAAAGCAATAAGTTACAAGTTATCATGCTTAATCATCAATTGTGATGAAAAATGTATTCTGAGCTATTGTAGTTAAATTTATTTAATGGTGGATGGTCCCGATTGGATTTGCAATTTGTTTTGAATAGTCGAGGTGCGGGTTTATATAATGAATACTACTTAATTTGAAAGGATCTATATTTTCAAAAGTTTTGATGCTGAAAGAGGTGAGATTTCTGGAAGAATGCTATAAGGGAAAATCATTTTTACAATTAATGTGAGTTGCTTTCCAAACCAACACAAGTATCAATGACACCTTTTATTTACAGCTGGCAGTAGAATGCATATTTTGTTCAGCATGTATTCGATTTGTGGAGTGCTGCCCACAAGAAGGACTTACAGGTTAGTTTGCGCTACAGTTTCACTTAATTCCTTGACTTTCCGAGAAATGTATTAATCTATTCATTTAGCTGTTTACATGCCTTCCATCCAGAGTTGGGAATTAAATAATAATAAAAAATGATCATCTGAAAATTAACATGCTGTTCTGTATTGCCAGAAAAACTGTGGATTGGACTTGAGAATTTTGTCTTCGACTGGCTAATAAATGCAGACAGGTAATTATGAGAAGCTCAGAATATAAGTTGCATATCTGATGCCTGTTTGTTCAAGAAAAGTTTATATTTTATCCCTAGTTGCAAAAGTCTATGCTATCAAACTGCTTGCATCTAGTTTTGAAATGAGGGAACTAGCATGTTTCATCTTATAAAAAATGAAATGATGCTGATTGCTGATAACTTCATGCTTCTAGAAGCTGCCAGTATTGCTTGTTGTGACAGTTGAACTAGACTAGATTCAAAGCATTAGCTGGGTTTCTTTAAAATGATTATCTATAGCTTCGTTGGGCTGAAAGCTTGATGTTTATCAATTTCAGGGTTGTTAGCCAAGTTGAATATCCATCCCTTGTTGATTTGAGAGGCCTTCTTTTGGACCTAGTAGCACAGCTTCTTGGGGCTCTGTCAAGCATCAGGTAAATTTAATTCTTTTATACCATTTTGTATAGCAATATAAAGGTTTTATGCTCTGATACTAAATTGTATGGCCACATCCGCAGTCACCCTATCAAAATTTTCTTTAGTTGCTTTGAACTACACTGATATCTGAATATCTGAGTTGCTAATATTAGATATTTATTTGCATTTTTACATTAAAAGCAACCTTACTTCTACAATTTTACATTTTAAAATCTATCCATATTATAATGAACCTTGTTGCAAGGATGTTAAGATATGACTAAATATTTGCACGTTATTCTTTTGACTGAACAGATTTAGCTCTGTCACCGAGCGCTTCTTCATGGAGCTCAATACTCGCCGAATTGATACGAGTGGTGCACGAAGTGAAACACTCAGCATTATCAATGGGATGCGCTACCTCAAGCTTGGGGTAAGTAGGGAATGAAGCTGCCGTTTAACATAGGGAAACATTGTTTGATTTACAGTTGTTTTGCAGGTTAAAACAGAAGGTAGTCTGAATGCTTCTGCCTCCTTTGTTGCTAAAGCCAACCCTCTAAATCGTGCTCCCCACAAGCGTAAAAGTGAACTTCACCATGCACTATGCAACATGCTTTCAAATGTATTAGCTCCACTTGCGGATGGTGGAAAAAGTCTGTGGCCTCCTTCTGGTGTTGAACCTGCACTTACCTTTTGGTATGAAGCTGTTGCACGTATAAGGGGACAACTGATGCACTGGATGGATAAGCAGAATAAACATATAGTTGTAAGTACCACTATTTCAGGTTAAACAGACAAAGTTTCTGTTTTTTTTTTTTTTTTTTTTTTTTTTTTTTAAATGATAACCTCTATGCTACACTTGTGAACCTGGTCTGAAATCTGAAGCATCTTGTATTATGTTTCCCATTGTGTTGAAGTGTTGTTCCTGCTATTACCGCTGCTTGTTAAAGTGCATTTACTACTCTGAGATGAGATCCAACACTGATCTGGAGTCCCTTATTTCTGAAATCGGAATACAATCTGCTGGCATCTTGATGATATTGTTGCTCAGCAGTGCTTTTTTTGTACAATTTTAAGGAGACATATGCTGTTTCATCATTCATGCTAGTCATTTCTTCACCTTTCTCATTGTGAGTTCCTTTTGTCCTGCATAATTTAGAATAGAGTTCCAACTTTTCCTCAAAGATTCACCCACCTTTGTGTTTATTGCTGTTGACTTCAGTGTAAGGATAGATTATGGAATTTGAATCCCCCTGATTCCTGTTCCTAGATCTTATGTTGTTTGGTAGTTTTGAAGCTCTAATCGTAAAAAAAGAAAAAGCATAAATATGTTTTCTTTCATGATATGGATCTCTCTGGTTTGTAAGTCTAATTTGACATAAAATTTTAGGTGAAAGTTGGAAAATAGAATTTTATGTGGTTCGCCATTGTTATTAGTTAGTGATGGTTCTTAGTTACTGACTAATTACATTTTTAATCTCCCTGTCAGCCTTGTTTTTGTATGGGTTTCAAACATATCTATTTTTTAATATAGTCACCTTGAATACTTTGCTTGATGCAAACATTTCTTCTTTTCTAGGTTGGCTACCCATTGGTGACTCTTCTCCTATGTCTTGGGGACCCTAATGTTTTCCTCAGTAATTTCGGTCCTCATATGGAGCAATTGTACAAACATCTGCGAGTAAGTTGATGAACGTAATGTCCACTATTGTGCTTTCGAACACTCAAATAAACATGCTTGGCTTGATTGTTGCATTCCTTTGAGATTTTGGGGCTTTCTAGTGTTTTCATTTTAGTTTGTTTCAGGATAAGAACCACCGCTTCATGGCCTTAGATTGTCTACACCGAGTTCTGAAATTTTACTTGAGTGTCCATGGTGAAAGACAGCCACCAAATCGTGTATGGGATTACCTAGACAGTGTTACCTCTCAACTTCTGACATTCCTTAGGAAAGGAATGCTCACTCAAGATGTTCAGCATGACAAACTAGTGGAATTTTGTGTGACAATTGCGGAGCATAATCTTGATTTTGCAATGAACCACACGATACTGGAACTGCTGAAGCAAGATAGTCCAGAAGCAAAGGTCATCGGTCTTCGTGCATTGCTTGCCATTGTTATGTCTCCTACTAGCGAGCATGTTGGCTTGGAAATTCTTCATGGTGGTTATTAGTTTGTTTCCTTTATTTAATGATCTTTTTTAGTTTGATATTCTAGATGATGGAGTTTATGTTGTGCTTGCAGCTCATAACCTTGGTCATTACATTCCAAAAGTTAAGGCAGCAATTGAAGCTATTTTGAGATCTTGTCATAGAACCTACAGTCTGGCTCTTCTTACTTCATCAAGGACCACTATAGGTAACATTTTTGGTACTTGCAGTTTTCTAGGTTCGTTGTGTGGATAATGTCTTGAAATTGTAATTCTTAAAATGTCATTTAAGTACCTATGTGTGGCAAATGCAATTTGCTAGGTTTTCCAGTTTATCATTATATTAGTTTGGAAAAAAAGCACACGAAAAGTCAAGGGTTCTTGTAAGGTTTGGATTTGGATTTGGAGTTTGAGAATAGTAAATTTTTTTAAATGAATTAAGGTTTGATATAATATTTTGAATGAAAAATTGATTTTTTGTGTAACATATCAAATAACTAATAGGCATTTTTTTACCGGAAAGATCAAAGGAGGTATATTAATACCGAAAGAATTAAGGAACAAAAACACTGGGTGTACCAGGGGGAGCAACATGTAAATCAATGTAAACTAATAGGTATTTGATTTGATGATTTTTTTATTTTCTTTCTGGGTGGGGATGGGTGGGTTGATTTTTATTTAAGTGTGAGACCAAAACCTAACTTTAAAGAAACAGACCCTTAAATGTTCTAATGTTTTTTAGTGCTTGGTTTTTACTGGTCATGATAATATAGTGCCATTGTATTTCTTCTCCAAGAGATGCATCAGCATTAGATGACATGCTCTGTTACATTTGATCATTTTCTGTAGAAATCATTGTTGGGAATCAATTTTCTATGTATACTCACACTCAGCCAACCTTATACACTGTTCTTGGGTGAAACGTGATTTAGTGTTTACTCAATTGCCTGGTTTATATGATTCCTAAACTGCCTCTTACAAGTTGGTTAGATCTTCTGAAGATTAAAACCTTGTTCTCCAGATTCTATTACAAAAGAAAAGTCTCAAGGGTATCTTTTTCGCTCGGTGCTGAAGTGCATCCCATATCTGATTGAAGAAGTAGGCCGGAGTGATAAGATTACTGAAATAATCCCCCAACATTGTATTAGCATTGATCCTGGTGTTCGTGAGGAAGCTGTGCAGGTTCTGAACCGCATTGTCAGATATCTTCCTCATCGCCGCTTTGCAGTTATGAGAGGCATGGCGAATTTCATTTTACGTCTTCCAGATGAATTCCCACTTCTCATTCAAACTTCACTGGTACGCCTTCTGGATCTCATGAGGTTTTGGAGAGCTTGTCTAACTGAGGAAAAGTTAGAACGTGATGCTCTGGACTCGAAGCGCTTACAAAGAAATGAGGGGTTAAAGAGATCATCCTTTCGTCAGTCTCAAGAGGCAATTGAATTTCGTGCTTCAGAGATAGATGCAGTTGGTCTTATATTCCTCAGCTCTGTTGATAGTCAGATACGGCATACTGCTTTGGAGTTGCTGCGTTACGTGCGTGCATTGCGTCATGATATACGGGAGCTTTCCATGCCGGAGCGACCTGATCATATCTTGAAAAGTGAAGCTGAACCAATATTTATAATTGATGTTCTGGAAGAGAATGGGGTGGGTTACATATTTTATTGTGGTGTTTGCTTGTTAGATTTTACTCCACGAGCTTGCGCCTTTTCTTCTGGTATGACACCAAAGTTTAACTTATGATGCACCGTTCTGCAGGATGATATTGTGCAGAGCTGTTATTGGGACTCTGGTCGTCCTTTTGATCTGAAACGAGAGTCTGATGTTGTACCTCCGGATGCAACTCTGCAGTCTATATTATTTGAGAGTCCTGACAAAAACAGATGGGCTCGATGCCTAAGCGAGATTGTCAAATATGCTGCTGAACTATGTCCTAGCTCTGTTCAGGAAGCAAAGTAAATATTTCTATAATTTAAATATGCATTCTGCTTCATTGTTATTCTTTCTTTTCTTTTTTTTTTTTTTTTTGTTTTTGTTTTATCGGGAAAAAAAATGATGAATTCTTGTGATTTCATATACTGTTACCTAACAAGGGTGTTAAATGGTATGTAGGAGTTCCACACTAAATAACCTACGCTTGATTTATAGTATCAATGCATGATAGAATGCTATTCTGTCAACCGAATCCTTGTTTTTTTGGTAACCCTTATGTCCTAATTTTCTGCATTATATAAAACCTGCCCTTTATATGCAGATTAGAGGTAATCCAACGCCTGGCTTATATCACACCAGCAGAGTTGGGTGGAAAGGCTCATCAGTCACAAGATACAGACAATAAGTTGGATCAATGGCTCATGTATGCTATGTTTGCATGCTCATGTCCACTTGATGGTCGGGAAGGCGGTGGCTCAGCAGCAACGAAAGAATTGTTCCATCTGATCTTTCCTTCCCTCAAATCTGGTTCTGAATCAAATGTAGTAAGTAATTTCTGCCTGCTAAGGGGAATCCTGATCTTGCAATTTGGTTGTGACCCTCTTCCCCTATCCCTTAGCCTTCTGTCAGTGCCTGTGTATACTTATCTTAAAGCTATAAAATCCTCTTCTCCTTCTGAAAAAAGAAAAGTCTGCTTGCTGAAAACTTCAATCATGTTACTTAGTAGCTGAGTTTTGATGGTTTTTTATTTTATTTTATATTATTTGGCATCTTTGCAATTTTTAACAAATGGACACTGCTTAGCAGTTAATTTTATTACTCAAGTGTTGTTTAGTATAGGATGATTATACAAGTAGATTTAGGATTCATAACATCATTTTTTAGCCCTTTATTAATTCCTCTGATATATTTCTAAGGTTCATAACTCTGACCAAGACACTTGTTTAACATGTTCACTACAGCATGCGGCTACCATGGCACTTGGCCACTCACACTTGGATATATGCGAAATAATGTTTAGTGAGCTTGCTTCTTTTATAGATGAGGTGTCTATGGAAACGGAGGGAAAACCAAAGTGGAAGGTAAACTTCATTATAACTCTAAAACATTGCAAAATTATTTTTCTATTTTCCAGCTTACTTTTCCTTTCTATAATTTCATACTATGTGCTTTTATTTTTATGTTTTAGGCTCTTTTTTATTTTTTATTTTATGTGTGGGTGTGGGTGTGGGGCCCTGGTAGCAAATATTGCTTAATTGAGAATCCTCTTGGCAAGCAAACAAAGTTGGATTTTATTTCTGGAAAATTAGTGCAATTCATTGTTTGCCTGTTTTAACTGAAAGAAGCTGATTTTACTGTGTCTACTTGGTCCAAATATGAATGACACTTGCAGAGTCAAAAGTCCCGCCGAGAAGAGCTTCGAATCCATATTTCAAACATATACCGCACAGTTGCTGAAAAGATATGGCCAGGAATGTTAGGTCGCAAACCAGTTTTTCGTCTTCATTACTTGAAGTTCATTGAAGAAACAACAAGACAGATTTTGACGGCATCTACTGAGAATTTTCAAGAAACGCAGCCTCTCCGATATGCACTTGCTACTGTTCTGAGATTTTTAGCTCCTGAATTTGTTGATTCAAAGTCAGAGAAATTTGATATTAGAACTAGAAAGAGACTATTTGACCTCCTACTCAGCTGGGGTGATGACACTGGTGGCACTTGGAACCAGGATGGTGTTAGTGATTATCGACGTGAAGTTGAACGCTACAAGTCCAATCAGCACTCACGTTCCAAAGACTCGGTTGATAAGATTTCATTTGATAAAGAATTGAGTGAACAAGTTGAAGCCATACAATGGGCTTCTATGAATGCGATGGCCTCTCTGTTGTATGGGCCTTGCTTTGATGATAATGCGAGAAAGATGAGTGGCAGGGTAATTTCCTGGATTAACAGCTTATTTAATGAGCCTGCACCCAGAGCACCATTCGGCTTTTCCCCTTCTGATCCTAGAACCCCATCTTATTCAAAGTATACTGGGGATGGTATGCGTGGAGCAAATACCCGTGATCGACATAGAGGTGGTCATCATCGAGTTTCCCTGGCAAAACTTGCTCTGAAAAATCTTCTCCTCACCAATTTAGACCTATTTCCTGCCTGCATTGATCAGGTGTATTCTTTTGTTCAGTTTCTTTTCATCGTTGAAGTCCTGTTTTTTGAAAAATTGATGTTATCCAGAATAACTAATACTCTTTTTTGTTCCCTTAACTCCAGTGCTACTATTCTGATGCGTCGATAGCTGACGGCTACTTCAGTGTTCTAGCTGAAGTCTACATGCGTCAAGAGATACCAAAATGTGAAATCCAGAGGCTTCTGAGTCTGATTCTATACAAAGTAGTGGATCCATCACGACAAATTCGTGATGATGCACTTCAAATGCTTGAGACATTATCTGTCCGCGAGTGGGCCGAGGATGGTGTTGAATCCTCAGGAAGCTATCGGGCTGCTGTTGTTGGAAACCTTCCCGACTCTTATCAACAGTTCCAGTACAAACTTTCTTGCAAACTTGCCAAAGATCATCCTGAGCTGAGTCAACTTCTTTGTGAAGAGATAATGCAGAGGCAACTTGACGCCGTAGACATCATTGCACAGCATCAAGTTTTGACGTGCATGGCTCCATGGATCGAGAATCTCAATTTCTGGAAGCTGAAGGATTCTGGATGGAGCGAAAGATTGTTGAAAAGCCTTTACTATGTAACATGGCGCCATGGAGACCAATTTCCCGATGAAATTGAGAAGTTGTGGAGCACAATAGCTAGCAAGCCGAGGAACATTAGTCCCGTACTGGATTTCTTGATAACTAAAGGAATTGAAGATTGCGATTCGAATGCATCAGCAGAAATAAGTGGAGCATTTGCGACATACTTCTCTGTCGCCAAAAGGGTCAGTTTATATTTAGCTCGAATCTGCCCACAACGAACGATTGATCACTTGGTTTACCAATTAGCTCAGCGAATGCTTGAAGATACTGCTGAACTGTTGAGACCTACCGCCAGTAAGGGCGACCCTGGAGGCGGCCTTGTCTTGGAATTTTCTCAGGCACCTGCAATCGCCCAAATTGCATCTATCGTGGACAGCCAGCCTCACATGTCTCCTTTACTAGTCCGAGGATCGCTTGACGGACCATTGCGGAACACCAGTGGGAGCTTAAGCTGGAGAACAGCTGCCGTTGGCGGGAGAAGTGCTTCGGGTCCGCTGACTCCTATGGCTCCAGAACTTAACATCGTTCCTGTGTCTGCCGGTCGCTCTGGCCAGCTTTTACCAGCGTTGGTTAACATGTCTGGCCCGTTAATGGGGGTGCGGAGTTCGACTGGAAGCTTGCGAAGCCGCCATGTATCTCGAGACAGTGGAGATTACCTTATCGACACTCCTAATTCTGGGGAAGAGGGGCTGCACGTAGGGATTGGAACTCACGGTATCAACGCCAAAGAGCTTCAGTCGGCTTTGCAGGGCCATCAGCAGCACTCGTTGACGCAAGCAGACATTGCCCTGATTCTACTCGCTGAAATTGCGTACGAGAACGATGAGGATTTCCGGGAGCACTTGCCGCTGCTATTTCATGTCACGTTTGTCTCAATGGACAGTTCGGAGGATATTGTGCTCGAACACTGCCAGCACCTATTGGTTAATCTTCTCTATTCGCTCGCCGGTCGGCACTTAGAGCTGTATGACGTTGAGAATAGCGACGGAGAGAATAAACAGCAGGTTGTGAGTCTGATCAAATATGTCCAGTCGAAAAGAGGCAGTATGATGTGGGAGAATGAGGACCCTTCACTCTTCCGGCCAGAGCTGCCGAGTGCGGCACTTTTATCTGCTCTTGTGCAGAGCATGGTCGATGCCATCTTTTTCCAGGGCGATCTTAGAGAAACCTGGGGAGCCGAGGCACTTAAATGGGCTATGGAATGCACGTCGAGACACCTCGCATGTCGATCCCACCAAATATACCGTGCGCTTAGGCCCCGTGTAACCAACGACGCGTGCGTATCTCTCCTCCGATGCCTGCATAGATGCCTCGGTAATCCCGTGCCTTCGGTTTTGGGTTTCGTTATGGAAATTCTGTTGACGTTGCAGGTGATGGTGGAAAATATGGAACCGGAGAAAGTAATACTCTATCCGCAGCTCTTCTGGGGCTGTATAGCGATGATGCACACCGATTTCATCCATGTGTACTGCCAGGTGCTCGAGCTTTTCTCTAGAGTCATCGATCGACTATCGTTCCGCGATACTACGACGGAGAATGTCCTCCTTTCTAGCATGCCGAGGGACGAGCTTGACACGCATGGTTCGGATAGTTCTGAATATCATCATATCAGTACCAGGAGCATTGCTGAAACGTCGACGTCGTCTTCGAAGGTACCTACATTCGAAGGAGTGCAGCCTCTTGTGCTTAAAGGGCTTATGTCGACGGTCAGTCACGGAGTTTCGATCGAGGTTCTTTCGCGGATAACCGTACCTTCCTGCGATTCGATATTCGGGGCTGCCGACACGCGTCTCTTGATGCACATCACGGGATTACTCCCCTGGCTTTGCCTACAGCTTTGCCAGGAGTCGGGTTTGTTACCGACGTCCCCTCTAGAACTGCAGTACCAGAAAGCGTGTACCGTTGCGACAAACATCGCGATCTGGTGCCGAGCGAAATCCCTCGACGAGCTCGCGACGGTATTCATCGCCTACTCTAATGGAGAGATCAAAACCATCGAGAATCTCCTCGCCTGCGTCTCCCCGTTGTTGTGCAACGAGTGGTTCCCGAAACACTCGGCGCTGGCGTTCGGTCACCTCCTCCGGCTTCTCGAAAGAGGCCCGGTCGAATACCAGCGCGTCATTCTCCTCATGCTGAAAGCTCTTCTTCAGCACACCCCCGTCGACGCAGCTCAGAGTCCGCACATGTACGCCATCGTCTCCCAGCTCGTCGAGAGCACCCTCTGCTGGGAAGCTCTCAGCGTCCTCGAAGCACTCCTGCAAAGCTGCAGCCCGTTGCCTGGTTCCCACCCGCTCGACCCCGGATCTTTCGAGAACGGATTCAGTGCGACGGACGATAAGATTCTCGCCGCTCAGACCTCCTTCAAGGCTCGAAGCGGGCCTCTGCAGTTTGCAGCCGCACTTGGGTATGTAACGGGGTTTAACACACCCGGGCCGGCCAATCCGGTCGAGTCTGGCGCGTCGCAGAAAGAGGTAGCTCTGCAGAACACTCGGCTGATGCTGGGGCGAGTTCTTGACAATTGCGTGCTTGGCAGGCGACGGGATTATCGGAGGCTGGTTCCCTTTGTGACGACCATCGGAAACCCGTAAAAACGGTACCTTCCCTCCTCCTCTTCCGGTTAGTTTTACAGTTTTTTTTTACCTGTCTGATAGATAGTTTTATTTGATAATCTACTGGAGGCTTGGCTGTTGAATGTGTAAATAGGTATATTACATTTTATAGGTTTGTGGTGTTATTGTTATTATCAAAAAATTTTTGATCAAGTGTTCTTTTTTTTTTTTTTTGAAGTACCTGTTAAATTTTGATATGTATGTGTATGTTTCTTGTGTAGATCTTTGTCATTCATAGATGTTGCTGCAATTTTCTGTTGAGTTGTTTTTGTCACAGGCCTTTGCTAGTTGCTGCATTAGATTTACGTACTGATTGATATGTTCTGCTCACTTTGTTAGGATAGAATAAATATTGTAATGTTAAATTGTTTATTTTGGTCTTAGGTTTTTTTTAGTGAATGTGATTTAATTTAGGTGTAAAAAGGAGTGGGCTTTTATGTAATAATATTGAAAAAATAATGTAGTTTTTATAGTGACGGGGATTATTTAATTTAGGTGTAAATACTATTATTTTTTAAATATCGTGTTAAAAGTAAATGTTTACTTTCTACATGGACGGAAGAAAGAGTATTAAGTAATATTTTTTTCGTCTCACTTACTATGTCTATCATCAATTTTTGTTTGTTACATTTATTTAGTCATTTTTTTTGGAATAAAATTATATATTACTTTAATCTCATTGTAAATTTTTTTATTTATATATTTTTTATTTTAATTAGACTAATCAATTATTTTAATATGAATCTATAATTATAATTATTTTCACTAATATATTTTTAACTATTTATTAATTATATTACTCCTATGTCTGCAATAAGTAACACCGTAGCCGGAACAGAAGGAATAATATTTTTTCTATTTAATAAAAATAATACATACATAAAAAACACACAAAGTGAGCACATGGAAGAGAGTTCACTAAAACTATTATTCACCATTATTTTCTATTTAATGTTAGTGTTTTAACTATCGATGTTTCACATTAAAAAAATTTATACCAAAATACAAAATAGATACACTATATTATTTGAAATGATTTTCTTTTTTTAATGAAAATTTAATAATTAGTTTATGATTTTTCTAAAATAATAAAAAAAAGATATTTAAACTAAAATAGACTAAAATGATAAAAAAAAATAAAATTAGAAGGTAAAGTACTCCGTCCGTCCAACTAAAAATATTTATATTTTGAGACGTCTAATTACAAAAATAAATATTTTATTAAATAATTTATTTTTTTTAAAAAATATTTTTACTTTACGTCACATCATTAAAGGAATAATAAAAATATTATTTTATTACTTTTAACTATTCAAATAATACAAATAATACTTTTATTAAATTTTTTCACAAATAATACAATATTATATTTATAATTGTTTTCAATAATACATTTACAAATTAATTTGGACTAAGGGAGTAATTTTGTTTTTTTTATTAATAACCAATGATTATATATATCCTATAAAATTATTCGCACGTTTTAATCATATTATTATTAAGTGGGTTCTCAGCAGGTTTGGAGTCCAGATCTCTCTCGTCCATCGTCTCTTTTGCATCTGAAATTGAGCTGTAATAACTGCCGATTACGCAGATTCATCCCTAATTCTGTGATTTATGGACTCACTCATTGCTCTACGTTAGTAGGATTTGCAGAATCGACATTTTTCCAAGGAACAATTAAGAGGATTGATTGTTTCTTGCCTGAAGATCTGTCCTGGAGTTTTCGCTATGGCGGTGGTGGTCCGGGGCGCTCGTGTCGGATCTAGTGGCGGATCCCTGCTTCGTAGCTTCTTCAGCTACCGGATCTTTGTTTCCGCCATGTTCACGCTCCTCTTCCTCGCCACTGTCTCTGTCCTCCTCTCCTCTGATCCGTCTCGCAACGATTCCGTAAGCCTTCTCATCCCTCTCTGTTTTTTAGGTAAACATTTGCTGAAATCAATCTAAATTTCGTGTCGATATTCTGCTTGTAGATGAATTAATTTTGAGTTTTCGCTGTTAGTTTATAAGGATCGATTTCGCGAGTGAAATCGCTGTGTTTAAACCACAATTCCTAGAGTAGGAAAGAAGGATTTGAATTTGATTCAATGATGCACCAAACATGATGCGATTAAGCTGTTGGATTGATGTTGTTACTGATTGTAGATAATCAATTTGCTCTTAATTTTCAAATGGCACTTGATTTGCAAACCATGAACAGGTTTTAGACTGATGTTCTTACTGATTGTAGAGAATAAATTTGCTCTGATTTTTCGAATGGTACTTGATTTGCAAACCATGAACAGGTTTTAGACTGATGTTCTTACTGATTGTAGAGAATAAATTTGCTCTGATTTTTCAAATGTCACTTGATTTGCAAACTATGAACAGGTTTTGGAAACGATGGGAAACGTCCATGTTCGTCGAACATTTCTAGCGTGGCAATCAGATCCATTAAAGACTAGGTTGAATCTGATACATAATCAGGCAAATAATCACATTGCTTTAGTTAATGCCTACGCTACTTACGCAAGAAAGCTGAAGCTCGAAACATCGAAGCTGCTCAAGACTTATGATGATTTGGCTAAGAATTTCTCAGATCTTCAACTGAAGCCTACTTATCGAACTGCATTGTTCGAATCCGAAGGACCAATAGATGAGGAAGTGTTGAGACAATTCGAGAAAGAGGTTAAGGATAAAGTCAAGATCGCAAGATTAATGATTTCGGAGTCGAAGGAGTCCTACGACAATCAGTTAAAGATTCAGAAGCTAAAAGATACGATTTTCGCTGTCCACGAATCCCATTTGAAGGCAAAGAAGAACGGAGCCTTTACAAGCTTAATTGCTGCAAAATCGACTCCAAAAAGTCTGCATTGTCTAGCAATGCGTCTGATGGAGGAGAGAATCGCGCATCCGGAAAAGTACAAGGATGATGAGCCCGAGGCTGAGTTCGAGGACCCGAATTTATACCATTACGCCCTGTTTTCTGACAATGTGATTGCGATCTCGGTTGTGGTGAACTCGGTCGTTAGAAATGCAGAGGAGCCATGGAAACACGTCTTCCACGTCGTCACCGACAGGATGAATTATGCGGCTACTAAGGTTTGGTTTAAGATGAGGCCAATACAAGGAGGAGCTCACATCGAGATCAAACCCGTGGACAGCTTCAAGTTCTTGAATCCGTCGTATGCGCCGGTGCTTAGGCAGCTCGAATCGATCAATGTGAGGAAATTCTACTTCGAAACCAGACCGGAGAACGCCACCAAAGATGTTAACAACATGAAGTTTCGAAACCCCAAGTTCCTCTCGGTGCTCAACCATCTCCGGTTCTACTTACCCGAAATGTACCCCAAGTTACAGAAGATTCTCTTCCTAGACGACGACGTTGTAGTTCAAAAGGACCTGACAGCCATGTGGAAAATCGACATGGACGGCAAAGTGAACGCCGCAGTCCATACCTGCTTCGGTCTGTTCCACCGCTACTCAGAATACTTGAACTTCTCCCAGCCTCTCATCAAGGAGAAGTTCAACCCCCAAGCCTGCGCCTGGGCGTACGGGATGAACATGTTCGATCTTGACGCTTGGCGACGCGAGAAGTGCACGGATCAATACCATTATTGGCAAAACCTGGTAAATCCACTTGATATTTGTTGGTTGATTATATAATGTGATTAATGATGCATTTTTTTACTGGATTAAATTTTTAGGTAAGATGATTAATACGATACTCTTGGTTAACTATATAACATGTGATTAATGATGTGTTTTTCTACTATATTAAGCTTTTAGGTGAGATTGATCATATTATATATTTGTTGGTTGACTATATAGTTATACTCCCTCCATCACTAAAAATATGTTCGAAAATTTGGCCACAAGTTTTAATGTGAATGTATAATTTTTTGCTACTTAGTAAAAGAAGACAAAAAGTAGTACTAACTCCTTTCTATAAGAATGGTACCATATGCTTTTTGCATCATTAAAGATATTTTTATATTTGTATAAGTTACTCTACAAATGTCATTGTATTTGTATTATTAAAGACTCTAGAGGTATTTTTGTATTTTTCTTTTGATTTGTACTACATATTAATATAATAATTAATATTCAAATATCAATACGCAAAAAGTCAATGGTACCCCTTTTATAGGACGGAGCTAGTATGATCTTTTACTTTAGGAGAATATTTTCATATGACAGACGAAAAAAAGAAGTGAACACATTTTTAGATGACAGAGGGAGTATGTAATTAATGATTTATTTTCCTATTAGTTTAAATTTTTAAGTGATATAGTCGTTTTAACATTATATTTATTGTGCGTTTAAACTTTTAGGTGAGAATCTGGTATAATGTCATGCTTAGATTAATTTTTTTTTAGTAAGATGATCATTTAATGATATTTAAATCTCTGTTAGAATAAATGTAGCTTATTATTTCTAACGTGCCGATGAATATTGATGGAGAGCAGAATGAGGATCGGTCGTTGTGGAAGCTGGGGACACTTCCGGCGGGGCTTGTTACGTTCCACGGGACCACGAAGGCTCTGGACAAGTCGTGGCACGTATTGGGGCTGGGGATCAATCCGAGCATCAGCATGGAGGAAATTGACAAGGCTGCGGTGATCCATTTCAGCGGGGACATGAAGCCGTGGCTGGATATCGCCATGAACAGATACAAACCTCTCTGGACAAAGTATGTCGACAATGAAATGGAGTTCGTGCAGATGTGCAATTTTGGAATGTGACAAAGGTAACATCACCCTCTTGTTATTATTCTTATTAGTATTAAATTATTATTATTTTTATTATTATGTGTATGTTGTAGCTCCTTGCAGAACGAAGGTTCTTCTAAAATGGCTACTTCTTTAAGTCATCACACAAAAAAAAGTTTTGGGTTTTTTTTTTTGGGGGGGGGGGGGGGTGGTGCTAATTTTTTAAGTAATACTATATGGAGATGAAAATTGAAGGTAGCAACAATCTTGGAATATAGTACTCCATTTCAATATTTTGAGGTGTTATATTTGCTATTTTGATATGATGCATTTTTTTTTTGTGTGGTTTGTGAGATAAATATAGATATGGATCAAAGAAATACAGTATTTAAATAAGACTAGATAGAATTTCTTAAGGTTTTTGGAAGTTTGAAAAAAAAAAGGTACTATTTGATGTGATGTTTTGTGAGAGAAAAAAAATGTATTTGATAGTAATATTTTTGGAAAAATGAATAGTTCAAAATGAACGAAAATATGTGAAGTAAACAAAGTTGTATGAAAATGGGCAATTTGGGAGACTTTTGTTAGCTAGCACCATACTCAATCATTTAAATTGGACCAATCACTGTTACATTACATTATGTTAGAAAAACCAATGAAGTGACAATAGATGTAACCAAGAACAATATTTAATTGGGCCATTAATCAATCAATTAAGAGGATGGAGATTACGTTGTCGGGCTTAGTTTGTTGGCTATTATATTCGGTCGAGGTTTACCTAGATGGCACCTGAAGAGTAGTGGCTACGAATTATCATGTTATTAAAAGAACAAAGAAAAAATGACGGAGATTGCGAGTAATACAAATTGGCATAGGACCAGCCATTCATTCATATCTGTTTTTTGCATTATTTTCTTGTTTTTCTATTAGATAACAATATGATTCGATATTGAATAAATTATAATTCAGTTTGTGCCGTTTTTTCTTTGATTACCTGCATTATCTTTTTTTTTTAAAAAAAAGAAAAGAAATAAAAATTATCATATACCACCGGAGTTCGCATTGAATCGTCCGAGAATCTACCAATCCTCTCGACGAGAAGTTTTGGATCGAAAGTTAAATTTTCAAGCTAAAAAATTGTACATTTTATTATTAAATGGAGTACTTCCTCCCCATACTTACTCAATTTTCATTTCAATAGATCTTATTTTATTTGACTAAAAAATCCTTTTATTTATATATTTTTAGTTAATAAATACATATTTTTATCTATATTTAAAATATATTATTTTTTATAAAATTAATTTATATGAATTATACATAAATATATTTTTATTAATTTATATTATATAAATTTTTATTATCAACAAAATGATATCTATATTAATACATTTATTAAAATATAATTTTTAAAGTATTTAATTACATATTCTAAATTTATGGTTTCACTACTAAAATATTCTTTTGGCAAAATAGCTGGTTTCTGAATTTGCTAAAAATTTCATTGGTTCTCAAATTTCAAAAAATCTTCTAGTTTCCAAAATGTTGTAAAAAATTCATTCAGTTATGCGATTTTTTGTCTGATATATTTATGTATAAAATTACTAAAAATATCCTAGTCAATATTTCTACATTATCTTCTTCCTTATTCTTCTCTTTTTTCTCAATACTTTTAAAATTTAATCTCAATTTTTTTTTTTCATTTTAAATCCATTAAATATAACCAAATTTGAAATCGATTCCAAATTTATTGTTTACTATCGATTTCTTCTTCTGTTTTACAGAATCCATAAATCTAAGAAATTAATTTGACATCCAAATTTAAAATCAAGAAGTTAAATAATTTGGTATTGTTGGTTGCAGAAGAAAATTGAGAAATAAAGAAGAAATAAAATTGAAAAAAAGAGAAAAAATAAATAAATAAAATTGGAAAAAAAAAAACAAAAAAAAACCTTCAGGTCAATCTACATAAGATAATGCATATCAGTGGGAAATAGAATGGGAAAAAGTGGACAACAACAAAACCTTAACTAGATGATGTTAGCTCTATTTCAGCAATATATGTTATGTTTCACTTCTCTTTATAATATAAGGTTTTGCAAGGTTAAAAAACAATCAATAACTATAAAAAATGTCATAAAAAAGAAAAGGATAAAAGGATTCATACAGATTACTAGGGCTCGCAAATGGATCAGGTCGGTTCGGGTTTGGGTTCGGGTTTGGGTCAGCTTAAACGGGTTACAAAACTCTTGAGTTTGAACTTAGACCTGTTTAATTAAATGAGTTGATATTTGTAACCTTAACATGATTTTTTATTAATCGGATCAACCTGAATCTGACTCGTATAACTCTTATTCATATAGCACACAACACAATCTTTTATTCTTTATTGTTTATTTTTATAAAATTGGTCATAAATATTGAATTGTATTGATATAAAATTTAAAAAATATATTTAAATTTAAAAAAATATTAATTAAACAGATAAGACGGGTTCTTTTCATGTCGAAAATGTAGACCTTAACCTAACCCATTTAATTAAATAGGTTAAACGAGTTTGATCAAATTATTAATTGGGTCGAAAATCTCAACCCAAACCCAACTATTTCAGATCATATTCGGATCGGGTTATCACATTACCGGCTGGACTTTCGTGGGTTTACTACTAGCAGGGCCTCCAGCTTTGGCACCTGTATTCTTGGGGATAGCAGAGAAAAGAGTTTCAATTTCTTTTATATCAAAGTCTGTTCCCCTGTAAATAAAGGGAGATATATCAGGAATAAAAAAACAGAGAAGCAAAGAAAGGATACATATATATATATATATATATCCTAGAAAGAAAAACATTGGTGAAATAAAATAATAGATTTAAAATAAAAAGCATAAGCATTATTCTAAATTTAATGGAAGATCTCAACACTGGAAAGATCAATACACAAGAAAAGAAAATTAGAGAAAATAAATATTTTCATAGATATATATTCCCAGAGAAATAAAATAAAAGCTTTAAATATAAATTAAGGGTGTGTTTGTTTGAAGGATTTTGAAGGATTTCTACTATTCATCCAATTTTTTCCCCCCAAAAACATCACATCAAACACCTATTTTTCATTTTTTATATTATACTAAAAATCAATTTTACATTCAAAACATCACATCAAACCCTATTTATATCACATCATACAACTATTCAAATTCAAAATTTTTACTATTCAAATCCCAATCCAAAATCCAAACCCCCAAACAAACACACCCTAAGTTGTTCAGGAGAGAAAGATGAATACCCTTGTAGCTCTTGATGCCTTTGCAATTCTTCCCACAAGCTTCCTTGTAATGCTCTGGTAACTTTGCTCCATTGCACTGGCTTCACGTTAGATATTCGAGCCGTACCATAAGAACGTATTAATCCACGTCCTCTTCGAACACCTCCAGGAGGTGGCGGTGGCCCAGGGGCACGACATCCAGGAGGGGGCGGTGGAGGTGGTGGAGGTGGTGGAGGTCCCCCTGCCATAGGAGGAGGTGGCGGAGGTGGTGCTCCTCCCATGGGTGGAGGAGGTGGCAGAGGTGCCATTCCTCCCATAAAAGGTGGAGGTGGTGGTGGTGGTGGTGCTCCTCCCAATGGTGGAGGGGGTGGTAGAGGTGCCATTTCTTCTATGAAAGGTGGAGGTGGTGCTCTTCCCATGGATGAAGGGGGTGGTGTAGGTTCAATAAAAGGTGGAGGTGGTGCTCCTCCCATCGAAGAAGGCGGTGGTGAAGAAGGAAAAAAAATTGAAAAAAAAGAAGAAAAGAAACAATACGTAAAAAACATTGGGGAAGAAGAAGAAAAAAATTTGAGAAAAACATGCAAGAAGGAAAAAGAAAATAGAGAAGAGAGATAAATAAATAAAAAAATATATATAAATAGAGTATAGCGGTCAAATGTGATAAAATTCAGAGATGGGATAGAGCGTGCAATATTTTGGAAATCACTGAATTTTTTAGAATTTTAAAACCACATAATTTTTAGCTAATTCGAAAAGTTTCAGGAGAATTTTTTACCTATTCTTTCTCTATAAGATTGACTTCTTATTTTTGTCTTCCCTATTATTAGAAATATATAAAAATTGTGTTTAATATAAATAGCAATTCCATTAAGAGACTAGCGTGTTTACTCCGCATTTTTAATAAATATGTTAATATTAGATATAAATAATTGTATCGATAATATAATAAAAAAAATATTATTTTATATTAAATTGTTATTTTTTTATAAATAAATAATATATATTTTTGAATAAATTGAATAAATAAATCCTATAGTTGTTGTAAAAGCCAAAGGCTTTAGAAGTTGGTATGTATGTATTCAATTTAAACTTTTGTCATAAATTTTATCTATTATGAATTATAATATAATATGTGATGAATGTTTAGAAGAATTAATAGCACTTTGTTCTTTTATTTTTATACAATATTCAATAAAAATATATAATTATTTTTTTATAAAATATTTAGCAAATAATAAAAATTATTTTATCTAAATAATACTCTATTCGTCCCATGAAAAAATATTTATTTTTTTATTTTAGTCCGTCCTATAATTTACAATATATTACACAAATGTCATTATTTTTATATAACACAGGTTATTTTAGTCATTTCTACTTTATTTCTACTATATCTAAAACTACGTGCAAAAAACAAATTTACTTATGGTCGGATGGAGCATTAATTTTTTTCAAATATATATATATATTTATCAATTTCTAATAATTAACAATAAATAAAGAAATAATCCACCAATTCTAAAATAATAAAAGTGCTACAGCACAGTATTGCAATATTATCTTTCAAGTCTTAAATACGAAATTTATTTTTGCCATGAAACATAAACCCATTTAGTTGACCACATAACATGGATGTATTTATTTTGTATTTTTTTTAAATAGAAATTAGAATGTACTACTCCTATTTTATTAGTGATATCTCTAAAAAAACCATAACGATAACATAATAAATAAAATAAATTATCTTAGAATATTGAAGTAAACAAAACGTTTATTAAAAGAAAAAAACAAAAACACAAGCTGAAATTATTCCATCAATTTATTACATTTAATAGGAAAAAAAAAAGAAGAAGAAAAAATACGACAAGTTGATCAAGAACACAAACATACTGAATGAAGCTGCATCCCATCCCATCCCATCCTACATTAATTAATTTATCTAACCAAATAATAATAATAATACTAATAATTAATTAATTAACTAATTAAGACGAGCCCGTCGAGTCGATGAAGAAATGGTTCATTTGTTGGCGCCGGTGGAGTCCTTGACGGCGTCGACAGCGCCCTGTGCCTTGGCCTGCATCTGCTGCCCGGCCTGCTGCATCGACTCCTTCGCCGACTGGGCCGCGTCGGCTGCCCTGTCCATCATCTGGCTGCCCTTTTCCTGATTATATTATAGATGATGATGTTTGATTATATAAATGACCGTCTTATTTAAAAAAAATTAAACTTTTAAAAATATGCATAATTTATTTATTTATCTACAAACGAGAGTCAATCAGTAAATGATACCTGTGCTTGGCCCTTAGCCTGGCCGGCTTGGTAGCTTAGGTTCTGAGAATTGTCCATATCTTGTTATAGATAAATTAAATGAAAACTCAAAAAATAATGATAATGATAAGGAGGATTGTATTATGGAAATATTATTGTTGATGTTTGAAGAAGAAGTGAAATTAAATTGGTATTTATAGATGATTTGGGATCCTAATTGTTGGAGATTTGAAAGGGGAGCCATCCAAATGTGTGTGTATTAATTACCTATTTGTAGCTTCTTTTATAGCCAAGTTTCTTCTTAAATGGTTACCTCTTAATTTTAGTTGTCACACAAAAGTTGTTTTTATTTTATTTATTATTTTTATTATATATATATATAATCAAAGTATTGAGTTGATACTTTTACCACCCGTTGAATCATTTTCGTAAGTTCAAACTAATCTTTTTACCGCTGATTGTCACTTATTCAATACAAAGTATTACGATCATTCATATTGAAGTCTAGAGTCTATAATGAGAGTAATATACTAATATATCTAATTCTTCGAAGAGTTGTGAGTGAATCTAGGGCCTCTCACTTTGTTCGAAAAACTACATGCCCTTGACAAACTAGTTCAAGTTTTTCGCGATTCTATAATGGCATGACTATGTTGTTATTAGGATTACCCGATGGCCAAAGGTTCATCAAGATCGGATCAAAGCAATTCTAAACATGAAAATATAATAACATATTTTTTATTAATGTCTGCAATCATGTACTATCTATATTTCTATTGCTGACTAAATATTAATAAAATATTATTTGTATCTATATTAATAAAATAAAATTATCTAAATATTTTAAATTGTTTTACAATATGGTGTTGAACGAATGTAAATTATGCATTATCTATATATATATATCTTAATTATGGACATAATTTTCTATATTTTATATAAAAAATTTCAAATCAAAACAATAAACAAACAAAATCAATTGTTTGCATGTATATATAAGATTGTAAAAATATTATACTCTTTCTGTCCAGCCACGGATGACCTATTTTTTTTTTCGTACATGATTTTTTTTTTTGGTAACTTTATCAATAAACATACTTAACAAATATAAATCAATTTAATTAAACTTCTAACATCTAACATCTTACACATAGGAACCACCGCTCAAAACCCTTTTATTTATATCTTTCTCCTCAATTAACATAATTTTTTTTATCTATATTTAAAACTTCTCATTTTTTATAAAACTAATTTATGGTAATGACAAATAAATAAAAATTTGATTTATATAAAATTTTATTATCTACGAAATGATATCCATATTGCATATATTTTTTCGAGATATAATCTTAACAATTTTTAAAATACCAATAATATTATTCATATAAAATATAATAAACTAATATCATAACTTATTATTAATAACTTACTAATCTACACTACCTAAAAAATCGTGTCCCTAATAAAAAAGTTCATCCCTCGCGGGACGGAGGGAGTATTTTTTTTAAAAAAATCCTCGTCTCTAGGACGAGGGATTAAGGTGGGATCCTCGACCTGTATATATAAAGAATGACATATACAAAAAGATTATATATGAAATGTCGATCCCACTGCGAATTGAACCTAATCTAGCAAAATAATCTATACCAATAGTAGCAAAATAATCTATACCAAAAGTGTACTAGCTATACACGAGAATAGACACTACCTGAAAATCCAAATATCTATACTATTCCAAAAATCATGAGAATCGAAAGTTGAGAACTCCACCGGTATCGACCTATATAATACCTCTAAGCATTCCTAGAATTCAAGTGGAGTTAACATTTTAGACAATCGAAATATGCAAAACCTAATTTCATATATTTATCGCAAAGGTAACCGAACAAGTTGATGGAAGATTTCACATGTGCTCGACGACCTATTTACCTACTTGCGATAAATATGTGAAATCTTCCATGTCGAGGGATCATACAAAGCTTAGAAAATTGCAAATCGCCAACTAAAAAGCCACGATAGTGGAGCCGTGGTGATCTCGAATGATCCCATCCACTCTAAGGTTGTTTTTCGACGCACTGTCTGTATTAAGCTTAAACCATCTCAAACTCGATTTCTTGTAAAGTATCGGCTTTGTTCTTACTATTTTTTTTTTTACATTTTTCAAAAATATTAATACACTACACATTCATTATTTTTATATTCTTCACACAATTTTCTATACTTCATATAAAATAATTTCTATTTCAACATTCTCACAAAACAAAAACCCGAAAATACCACGACTTCATTTCCATTAGAATATAGTGTATTTTCCAAAATGGTCCTTTCTGGCACGAAAAGTTAGTTTCTTTTGATTTTGGATTATTTCTCCAAACTTCTTGGAATGAATAGCGTTAAGTAGATTCTAACTATATAATATTTATATTTATATATTGATGACTAAATATTAATGGTGTATTTTTATTTTTATTTTGATATTTGGGTATAAAATTGCAAATATTTTAATTATTTGTCAAATCAATGTTAATATTGTCCTATTTGTATTTTTATATGTATTGTTAATAAATATTCCATCCGATCACAAACTAATGTCCTACTTTCTTATTTGAGACGTTCAACACCTGTTGTCCTATTTCTTTTTTTAAACACAAATTTTACATTTTTACTTTTCATCCATTTATTACTTTTAATTTCTACCGTACACTTAAGAGCAAATTTGTCCATTCATAACAAAAAAACAATCACCTAAAAAATCGTGTAAATATACTTCAAGACAATAGAAAATAGACAGAGGAAATATTAAATAAAAAAATAGGAAAATTACGTTTATACTCTCAATTAAATACTAGTGTTTAAATTAAAAGCTAATCTATCTGTCATTATAATCAATTTGCTTAACACTAAATATCATTTATATATAATATATTGGCAAGAGTTCACACAGAGCACTTATGGAGTAGGTAGAGCGCATTCATACAATAGCTGATGCGGGTTCTTCAGTTATAAATAAATAAATAATATATTTTTAAAAGAGAAAAAATTATTTTTGGTTCCATTCAATTTTATAATTATCAATTTTGGTATCATTCAATTTTTTTTCTTAATTTTGGTTTCACTCAAATAAAAATTTATCAATTTTGGTCAAAAAAATGGTTGATTGGAACTGAGCACGCCGTGTTGGATGATTGACTGGGAGGCAGCCAACACGGCCGTGTTGATTACCCTACACTTTTGAACACGGCCGTGTTCCTATCCGTGTTCTGAACAGCATGTTCTCAACACACAGTAAATTCTAGGCCATGTTCACAATTCTGTTCTTAACAACGGCATGTTCTAGGACATGTTCACAACCTGTTCTCAACGTAGTCATGTTTTAGATCATGTTTACGACCATATTTTCAATATAATTATATTGTAAATCATGTTTATTATTAATTTCACTTATTGGTTAAAATTATTTGATATATATATTTATAATTTAACAAAAATATTTTTTATAATTATTTTATAATATAAAAAATAATTACAAAAAAAATATATATATAAATAATAGTAATATATTAACATCTATTTTTAAAATCATCAAATAATTTTAACCAATTGAAAATAATAATAAATGACGTATTATAATAAGTCATGAATTTGATCTAAAATATGGTTGTGTTGAGAACAAGGTTGTGAACAATGACCATAACTGTGTTAAGAACACGGGTAGAAACACGGTTGTGTTGGCCGTATTCAAAAGTGCAGGGTAATCAGTCCAACACGGCCTTGTTGGCTGCGGGACGCAAGTCACCTTATGAGTCATCCAACCTGGCCGTGTTCAGTTTCAGTCAATCATTTTGAGACCAAAATTGATAAATTTTAATTTGAATAAAACCAAAATGCATAAAATTTTTTGAATGAGACAAAAATTAATAATTATAATATTGAATTAGATCAAAAATAATTTTTGCTCTGTTTAAAACTACACTAAAAACTCTATATATCTTGTCGTTATCCGAAATTGTGCACCGGGTAAACCCTCGATAAAATTTAATATCCTGCAAATTAAATCCGACAAAATAAGTCACATCAGATGATAGCTGAACCTGAAGGTGTCGGTTTGAACTCGTGATCTCCAAGTTCACACCCCACACTATTAATCTTGATATGCCTCATTTAATCTATTTATTAATTACTCCAAATTTATTTGTTCATATATGTAATCCAAATTCAACTAGATATATATTACACAGAGGGATGAGCTGATATCAACGTACGGTAAGATCTTGATTCATCTACTTTATTTATTCAAGAGTCTCAATCATATTGGGTCCGAGTCGGATATCGCTCCTCACAGCCCAATTTGTGCATTTGTGAACTTCGGCTGCCCTTGTCTTTGCGCTTGCCCTTGACCTTGCCCTACACCCTATTTATTATATATATATATATATGAATAAAAAGAATAGAAAATTAAGAAATTATTAATTAATTAACAGTTGAGGTCGAAGCTGACCTGCTGTTCAGATTGATCATCTTTTGCAGCAGGAGGACTAGTCTTTTGGGTATCCTTCTCTTGCGGCTATATATATATATATATATATATATATACATACATGTCACAAATCAATTAATTAAATAATTACCTATTTAATTATATATATATATGTGTGGAATTGATTTAATTAATTAAATTTGTAGAATGAATATATGTTACCTGAATATCAATATGTGGCTGGCCTCGTCCCTTGGCCTGCCCTGCTGCTGCTGCCTGTTGCTGAGTGCTCTTGCTATCCATATTATTATTATTATTATTATTAATGTTATTTTATATGTTTATTTTGATTTTGGGGGACATGTATTTATAGTAGTAGGAGGAGGAGGTGGTGGAGGAGGAGGATGATGATGATGATGGGCGCATTGAAACACACACGACATTAATTATTAATTAATGTTACGTTGCGGTGGAATGGAGTTCACATTAATTGCCACGTGCCTCTTGCATGATATATGAGTGTCACCGCTTCGATTAGGAGTGGACAAAAAATTCGAATTGAATTGAATCGAATTAAATTTTTGGTTAATCGAATAAATTCGATTCGAATATCAATACTGCATATTTGATATTTGTTCGGTTCAATTCGATTTTAATTTCTGATTTTTTTTTTTCAATTTGATGAACCGAACCAAATGTATTTATATATTTATATTATTATATGTTAAAATTTATATTAATAATTATATTCGATTCGATTTCGATTTGATATTTGAAATATTTGCAAATATTTGTATTTAATTAGAATTTTAATTATTTTTTAATATATATATATATTTTTTAATTCCTATTCGATTCAAATTATTTGCAAATATTAAAAGTATTTTCGGTTCAAAATACAATTCGTGGTTCGGGCATTTGTTCGATTTGGTTCGAATATCAAACCCGTAGCTTCGATTGTTTAGCGTGTTTTCCTGAAATGTATCAATATTTATTGCCCATGAGATCCTTTGACTCAAATTCTATTATATATATATATATATATTATAAATATAAATTTATTTACAATGTGTTTATTTGATATATATTTGTACTATCAGTACTAGTACCCACCGTAAGTATCACTAACAATTTTTATTTATTTTAAAATTAGAGTGTGATCACTGTGTTTTTAATTTGATATATTTTTTATCTAATAAATATGGAAAAATATATTGTTAATATAAAAATAATATTTCATTATTCTCATGTACCGTCTCTGTTGTACTATATTAAGAGAAGTGTAATTAGTAGATAATTAAAAATATATTAGTGGAAATAATTATCATATAATATAAATAATTATAAATTAAGATTAAGATAACTAATTAGTTTAATTAAAAATTTTAAAATGAGATTAAAGTGTGTAATCATTTTCCAAAAAAAAAAAAGTGACATGAAACATGGGACGAACAGAAACGACAACGTGGACATGGTACGTGGGACGAAGGGAGTATTATTATATATTATATCTATTATTATGTTTAATTGTTGATTTTTATTTTTTTTTTGTAAATAAATAAAATATATATTATACTATTTATATATTAAGTGAATGCGTGTATATATATATTGTAAATTTGGTAATATCCATAAAAAGAAAATTATTTTACCAAAAATATTAGTTGAACAATTATGGTTTGAAGTTTTAAAACAAAAATTAAAATAGTAAAATTTTAAATATTGTATTTAATATTTCATAAGAAAAAAAAAATTAATTTAATATATATTTTTAAAAATAATATTGCGAATGAATAGGACAAAAAAATTCAAATACATATATAAACAAAGCTAAACTGTAATTTGATTTTAATTTTGTATTTAAATAATAATATCAGTTTGATATTTTTGAAAAATAATATAATATTTTTTTTAATATAAAATAACAATAATTCTACAGTAAGAGAAAATAACATTACAATCAATATGATTTCTGATTTTTTTTTTTCTTTAATATGTAAAATTATAACTCAAAACATGAATTTAATTGTTCACCCCATCAAAATTTTTGATATGTTTAAATATAATATATATATATATATATATTATTAAAAAAATCAATAATTCAATATAAAATAATGCTTAAAACACATTTTAATTTTATGGCGTGTTTGACAATTAGCCGATAGCTGTTAGCTGTTAGCTAATTCAATTAGCTGATAGTTGTTAGTTGATTCAATTAGCTGGTTTGACTAGCTGATTCGATTAGGTGTTTGTGTTAAAATATTTGGAAAAACAACTGTTTGATATTAGCTGTTTATACGTAAAATGACAATTGAGGACATTTCTATTTTATTTTTGTTTCTAATATATTCAATTATGTTCTTTTGAGTTTAGAATGTTTAAAAATTTTTGTTATTAGTTATTGAAAATTGTAAAAGTGTTATAAAAGTATTTATTTTTATTACAATTAGATTTAAAAAATAATATATTTTTATTAAAATATATAAATAGATTTTTCTATTGAAAATGATGTAAAATATAAAATAATAAATTTTTCGTGTATATATTTATTATGTTAATTATCGATTAGTTCACTATATTTATAATTTTCAATAAATTTAATTTATTTTATAATAAAAATTTATATAATGTAATTTTAATATAAAAATAAATTATTAATATTTATATTTTCTATTTTATATTGATTTTAATAAATTTATATATTTTACGATTAAAATAATTTTTATATAAAAATTAATTATTTTAAATTTATAAAAGTAAAACTATAATATAATAAAATATTCTAATATAATTAATAAATAATCAAAATATATTTATTTGTGTAAAATGCATAATAAATTTTGAAGGGCATATAAGAAACAAAAAAATTTTTACAGAAAAAGCTATTTCAAAACGTTGGGTAAGTTAGCTTTTCAGAAATTAGCTTTTTGGGTCCAAAAAGTTTTTCCAAAAAACTAATTTACCAAATACCTAAATTAACTTTTTGACTGGTCAAACAGCCGAAAGCTGTTCAATAAGTTAAAGCTCTTCAAAAAAACTATTTGCGAAAACACCCCCTTAATGTCAAGTGCTATTTTTTCATGCAACTTTGTTTATGTGTGAGTTTTATTTTTATTTTACTACTTAATATTTAATATATATATATATATAAATATATATATATCATTTATTGATGAAACTTTCTTTCCATTCGTTTTTTTATTAGATTGAGAAATTTATTTTATTAAAATAAATATGGCAAGTGATTCTAGTATCAATAAACAATGCTATTGGATTCTTTACATGATTAGTTTCGTACACCATAACGACGATATCGTCATCGTTATGTATTTGTATCGTACATATTCATCAGAAGATATATACACATGTAAGGATTTTTATTATATTAAAAAAAAAAAAAATCAATATTCAAAAGTTAAAATTATTCCATCAATTTATTACATTTATTAGAAAAAAAAAAAAAAACAAAAAAAAACCCCACAAGATTGAAGAAAAACACAACATACTGAAGCTGCATTCCCAGCCTACATGAATTCATCTAACCAAAAACAAAAAAAAAAGAAGAAAAAAGCTCATAATTAATTAAGCCGAGGCCCGTCGAAGAAACGGGGTGTTTGGACGAAGAAATGGTTCATTTGTTGGCGCCGGTGGAGTCCTTGACGGCGTCAACAGCGCCCTGTGCCTTGGCCTGCATCTGCTGCCCGGCCTGCTGCATCGACTCCTTCGCCGACTGGGCCGCGTCGGCTGCCCTGTCCATCATCTGGCTGCCCTTTTCCTGATTATATTATAGATGATGATGTTTGATTATATAAATGACCGTCTCACTTAAAAAGTTTAAAAATTTTAAAAATATACATAATATTTTTATTTATCTACGAAGGAGAGTCAATTAACAGATGATACCTGTGCTTGGCCCTTGGCCTGGCCTGCTTGGTAGCTTAAGTTCTGGGAGTTGTCCATATCTTTTTATATGTAAATTAAATGAAAACTCAGACAAGTAATGATATAGAGGATTGTGTTATGGTAATATTATTGTCGATGTTTGAAGAAGAAGTGAAATTAAATTGGTATTTATAGATGATTTGGGATCCTAATTGTTGGAGATTTGAAAGGGGAGCCATCCAAATGTGTGTGTATTATTTTCCCAACTTGTTTATGTGATCCCACAATTTTGCCAACAGCTAAGCTTACAGTTGAGGGGGGAGAGAGATTTTCAAACAATTTATAATTATTTGTTCCTTAGAATATTAAATTTAAAACTTGTAATAATAATAATAATAATAATAATAATAATAATAATAATAATCTAATGTACTCAACTATTAAAAACACATTTCAAAATAATACAGTAACACATAACACATGTATAGGTCTTCCAATTTGATACAATTAGATCATGCATAGTTTACTTTACTAATCTTTTTTTTTTTTTTCTTTCTTTCTACTTCTTCTTTTTTTTTTATTTATTTTTTATTTTTTAAATAATGTGGGAACCCGCACGGATGTGCTCCGGGTAAATCCTCGGCTAAACCTAACCTAATAGTTTGTAAATTAAATTCGATAAAATAAGTCACACTAAGTTAATCATGTGTGACATAGCGTCAAAATTTGAATCCATTACCTCACAGTCACAAGTTCATTTCTAGGTTACAAGGACATCCCTTACGGACCACCTCTTTACTAGTCTTATTAATCATGCATAGTTTAGTAGTATTTTAGCTTTGTATGGAAGTTTTAAATTTTAATATTTTGAAAAGATAGAATATATATATATATATATATATTTATATATAAATAAATGTAATACACTGTTAATTTTTTAGAAAACTACATAGATCGAATAATGCAAGTTTTAAAACACAAATTTCCATGTGTTTGTTTTAGAGTTTGGAAGTTCAATTTTAAATTTTAAATAATAAAATTTTAAATTAAAATTATTATTAAATATGATATAAATATACATTTGAATTAATATTTTAAATATAAAATTTATTTTTTTATCCTATAAAATTATGTATCTAATACAAATGAGTATTCAAATTTTCGATTCAAATTTGACAGATCGAAACAGATCAAAAAATTCAAATTTATTGAGAATTACTTCGTCCTTCCAAAGGACGGAAGGTTTTACCGAAGGTTGAAAAATCAGATATTTTTATCATTGATAGTAAAAAATTATATTTTGACGTATTCAATAATATAAATGATCAATTTAGCAAGAATTGTATCCAACTAGACAAACGGTCCATATAATCAAACAACATAATCGATGATCTGCCACACATGATTCGCTTAATGTAACTACCATATCCGACCTTGTTTGCAGGATATCAAATTCAACCGAGAGTTTACCCGGTGCGTAGCAGCTACAATGTCATAAAAAAAAAAAAAACAACATAATCGACGTACACAACAAAAATAACAACTTGGGGGGACTCGAGTCGCCCCAAGCCTCTGTGTGGCTCCGCCACTGCTTTCCTCGCCGCTATTTAGATTCAATCCTCGCCGAGGAATTCATTCATAGAGAGACGACAACATCAAAGAGACGAGTAAATAAAGACCGGCAGCATCGGCGCATCGCCATCCCCAACCTTGTCGACAATCCGAAGTCTTTTCTTTTCACTTTCGCTTTGAATAATCGACTTCAGAGAACTGTAGATCCCGCTGCAAGTAAAGCTGCTATAAATCATCGACCCTCCATTCCTGAGCGCCGCGAAGCTTTTATCTCCGCAGGCATACCCCTTCACATCCAGATCGAGCACAGAGTCGACACATTTTTCAGTAGCGCCAGAAACGTGCAGAGCCACGGAGAATTTTTCCGGTCGAAAGCATGCCAAGACCCTCTCCAAAACCGAAGATAAATCCGTTCGCGCGTAATCATACCCAGCAGTTTCGAAGCTCGCGTAGCTGAACCCATCTTCTGGAGTAATGTGGATGTTAGAGATTGCGCACCCTTCGACAGCGTTCATCGAGTAGCCACACGGGTCGAAGCTGTAGTTGCAGATCTCAGATTCGGGGAGGATTTTGCGGATCCCGGAAGCCTCGGTCATGAAATTTGCGGAGCTCGAGCGATTCTTGAAGAACACCGATGCCTTATTCTTATCCAAATGCGTCATGCACATTTCCAACGTGTAAACACGGGACTCGACGCTATCCGATTTAGCACAGGCAGAGTAGACGTGCCATTTATTACGCCTGTTGTTGCCGCACATCACGTGAACTTCGCTGATGAGGCCGAGTTTGGCAAAATGGCGATCGAGAACAGCGACTTCGTCAGAAAAGCTTCCATGTGGATACGGTTGAGCACCCGGGAACATAAAGCATCCGCGAGTGTATCTAACAGAGCACACCGTGAGCCCGATCGTTCCAGCGAGATTAACGATGGGCGGGATCGAGAGAAGTAATTTAGTAGTCCCGCAAGTTTTGAGGATCATCCTGTACGGGTACACGAAAAGGCTAGACTCCGACAGCACATAGGAGTCGACTTCATCGTTGCATAATGATGCAACAATCGTGCATTCTGCTGGCGCCAGAATTTCATCCAACTGCGCTTTAGAAAGAGCTCGGAGGCCACGGTTCTCAGGATCAGCAAATATTCCAGGATTGAAAAACGATATCTCAAGCCTTTTCTCATAACCTTCAAAACCGATTGCCGAGGGCGCCATAGCCATTTTGAATCAGTAGGAAAAGGCGCAAGGAAATTATACGAAAGCAGAGTTCGAAAGCTGAAGAACTGGTTATGATCACAGAGCTTGACGAATATCAGGATGGCTTCCGAGCACACTGAGGTTCAAAAAGTTAACAATTAAAATGCATATAACAGCACAAGATTAATCGTAAACCGGATAAATATTACAGGGTAACAAGTAAAGCTCACGTTGGAGTATGCAGCAGATCGGAACTTCTTGATTCCTCCGTTAGGGCGAACATATTCAATTGTGTATTCGAGAGGAGCTTCATATGATAAGTTTTTACTACTAGACTTGTTCTTCCCTCCCTTTAACTCCATTATGTCATTCGGTTCTTCCCTTGTAAACAGTTAAATGCAATTCAGAAAGACAAGAATTCGATGAATTCGATAAATTCGAAAGGTAATAACAGATCTCTTTTGAAGTAAAACTTTTAACAGAGCTCACAACAACTAATCTGGATCAATTACATACAAATATAGACCAGTTTTCCAGATGACATGAAAGAGGTTTATCGATTCTACTAATGAACAAATGGTATACTTCACATATAATTCATGATTCTCAGTGTCAATCGACAAACTAGATCCAGCAAATCACTGTAAATATTCGCAGAATCCAACTATAATCGGAAAATTCATACTGCATAAAAACACAACAATATCGATTACAATCACAAATTCAAATTCCAACACGTAGCACCAGGAAAATAAATAAATCGCGAATCACGTTGTACATCGAAAGACAAATCGCCATAGCATACTCGTCGAATAAAACAGAAACTAAAAATTGAGATGGTTCGATTCGCCTCGCGCTTACAATTAAACGTGTTCGATGTGCGCAATAAACTCCGATCAGATGCAAGTGAAGAACTATGCTGTTTTCTTTTTCGCGGTCGTCTCGCGAATAACAATCCTAGAAATTCAAATGAAACCGCTAACATTAACAAGGAAGGGGATCAAACAGATTTCTCAAAAGAAATGAATAAATTGATGGAAAACTTACCAAGAGTGAAGAGTTCTACCGATGAATCGCAAAGCAAACCCTAGAAGAAATGTGAAAATGATCGAAGACGATGACTTTCGCAGGAGCATATCTTATTTTATTACCTATGATTGTCTCATTACCTCTAAAAAAACAAATACAGTTATATAGTATTTATTGCTTGGTTCGTGTCCATTTTTTATTTCGGTATGATCCACTTATTCCGCTATTCTTTTTTTTTTAAAAAAAATTACACACTTTAATCGTATTATTATTATAAAAAAAAAAATTCAACAATTATTTTAAATTATAATAAAAAATTATTTAATAATAATATATTTTTAATTATTTATTAATTATACTTTTATTATATTATTATATCTCTTTACATAGCACACTATAGTTAGGATGAAAAAGCATCTTTCCGAAAAATGTTAAAATATATTAATTAAATATTATTTAAATTTTTAAAATTTATTTAAAATTTAAATTTAACCAAAAATATTTATAAATATATATACATATTAATTTATTTGAATAATTTAATTTTTAAAATAATAAATCAGTCTATTAAAATTTATATAAATTAATATTTAATATTTAAATATTTTATATAAAAATATTATTAAATAATAAAATTAATATATTGAAAATAATTATTATAATATAATAAAAATAATAATTTAAATATTAAAATAAATATGATATGGACAAAAGAAATAAATATAATAATAAAATTGGATACGGTGGCGGCAGTATCTGCCACGCAGCTCACGCGTATTTAAGATCGTGCCCTTCGTCCATATCTACTTCTTTATCTAAAATATTACTCCCTTTTCCACATAATTCGTCTCTATTTTTTATTTTCGTTTATTTCACATAATTTGTCATTTCTATTTTTGAAAATATAATTATGCACTTTAATCGTATTTTAAATTTTAAATTTTATAATTTTTTTAATTTTAATTAAACTATTTATTTATCTTAATTTTAATCTATAATTATTTTTATTAAATAATAATTATTTTTACTAATATATTTTTTAATTACTTAATAATTATATTTTACCTAAATTCTCGTATCTATGGTAATACACTCATATTACATGGCACGGAGAGAGTAACTAAAATATACAGAGTAAAATATAGGTATATGGAATCTGTCTATAAATCTTATCCATTAATAATAAAATAATATATATATGTATGATAGGCAAGAGGGAGACGTGAGGTTTCGACCACGATCTTATTATTTACAAATTCAATTCCACACTATCGGGTGTCTTACAAGACAATAATATAATTTATAAATTGTATTTATAATTATATATATATATATATTTTATGACTTGGAAATACGCAATCGCTACGACGATGAATCTAATACCATCGGTCATAAGTTCAATTCCACACTATCAGACCATTTTTTACGGGACAATAATTTTATAAAATTAATACATATATAAAAGACAGAATGAGTTCTAAAGTTTTTTTCCTATTTTTTAAATAATTTTAAAATTAATTTAATATTTTCAAATTCTTATTTTAAATTCATAATTAACCGTGGTTATAATTATTTGAACTAATTGATCATCATCAAACATTTTAATTACTTATTTTGTATTAATTAAGGTTTGTTTGTTATGTAACTTTTTTTTTTTTTTTTTTATATTAGATATAAAAATTATGTATTCTTTAATTTAACACAAAAAATAATAAAATACTACTATAAAATATTTTAGGCATTTTTAGTAGAATGCAAAAATGTGTTATATATCTTACTTTATAGTTTTAAGTGTTTTAAATATTTCCATAGCATTATGATATTTTATGTATATATATATATATATATATTTCTTTTATGTGTTACTAGTGATACATAATTTTCATATCATTTATTATTATTATTATTATTATTATTATTATTATTATTATTATTATTATTATTATTATTATTATGTATATATATATTGTATATAATAAAACAAATAACAATTATTTGCACTTGTATCTATTGTTAGATAAACCCTTTTTAATTCCAATAGTGACAAGAGCTCATTAACCCTTTCAATGCCAATCATTTCTTTCTAAGGGATGTTAGTTTAGAGATTTTGGTTTTGAGTTTAAATATTAAATTTTAAAATAAAATAGTTGTTTAATGTGATATTAGAACTGCTAACGAATTCAGTTCAGTTAAAGCTCTTAACGAGACAAATTGAACAACATACACAGACTCGCGAACGTTCGTTTAAATAATATATTTATTATAAATATTATATATATAATTATAATTTATAAATAAATAAAATATTAATTTAAAATATATAAATAAAATAATTATAAATTTCCTTTATAATTTATATATAAATTTTAAAACATAAGACAAATGAGCTCGAACGAACTTAATCGAGCCTAAACGAGCCGAACACGAGCTCAAACAATAAAAATTCTTAACGAGTCGAACTCGAACACTACGAACGAGCTCAAAAGCTTAACGAACGAACACGAGCTTGTTCACGCGTTAACGAACCCTTAAACCCTGGCTCGGCTAGCTCGCCTCAGATCATTAACAACTCTATGTGATATAAGCATATATTAACGTGATATTTTAAATATAAAATTATATTTTAATATAATAAAATAAATAAAAATTTGATATTTAATTTAATAATTTTTTTAAAAAAAATAAAATTGAAATAGTAAAATAGTAAATCGAGCCTAGGTGCTTTTAACACATTCAAAGAAACAATAACCCATAGGAAATAATCGCCAAAAAGTATTAAAGAATGGAACCAAAAACCAACAACAATCCAAAAAAATATATATCCAAAATCCATTAATCACCACATAAAATACAGAAATTTGTCTCAAGCAAGAAGACATGGCAGAAGAACAAACACAATTTATTATCGAAAAGAAACAAGAAAAGCTTCCTTAGTATTGTTGTTTCCTTACAAAAAAAAAAAAAAAAAAAAGAGAGAATTCTTCAGACACTTCTTTATCGATCTCTTCTTTCAGGCAGTGATAGATTTTCAAAGCAGAGCCAATCAAAACTAAAACGATTTTACCCTCCTTTTCACTTCGTCCCTACACAAAAAAAAAAAAAGTTCGATCGATCATTTCAAATGCCAAAAAATACCAATCCAAGAACTATAAATTACCAGATCCTCAAAAGTTTCATGTTCTTACCACATAAGTGTTCTGTCCGAAGTTGATGCACCTAACAAGCTCTCGTTCTCCTCGGCCCGTCTTAAAAGATACGGCATGATCTGCTCGACCGGCCCGAATGGTAAATACTTGCTAACCTTAAATCCGGCGTTGCTGAGGCCGTAGGACAGAGCTTCCGCCATTCCATAAAGCTGCGCGAAATGTAGATTCGGATTGTCTTTCTTGATGCCTAATCCGATAGCTTTCACCGCGGCCTTTTTCCCTGCAATCATATGTTATTACAGAAGATCGTTAGAAATCCCGGGTTCGATGTTGTAAAAGAAAGGTTTTTTGTTGAAGTTTATTATCAATCACCACAGAGATTCACTTCCCAGACCACCATTTTTCGTCGGGATCGGGCATTTCTTGGCACGAACTCAACTAAGCGATTACGAAGAACAATCCAATCCAATCCAATCCAATCCTGTTTAATGTTTTTATCATCAATACACACAATCGTCATCATTTTTTTGTTTCGCCTCGGAACCACGAGACAGATCCTTTTCGAATATCCACTAAGCTCCATCAACAAAGTCATTATTATTATTGTTATCATCATCATCGCAGAAAATGTAAGAGCGCAGTTCGAAAGGGTATTACCTGAGACGACATTGTGAGTAGCCATGACAACTGAGCCTGAGCCATCCGCGACAGCCTGCAGCATCAAGGCCGCGCATTTATTGAAGCATTTATGAGTCTCCGTTGCCGTGTCATGGATCGGGGATATCGCCCCGAGCGATTCAGCCAATCGTCTTTCGCTCGACATGTAAGCGCCTCTCACTAATTTAATCCCCAGAATCATTCCCCTTTCTTCCGCAGCCTTCCTCGCCATTTCCAGCCGTTCTTCGGCGTCTATCCTGTAAGCCTGCATTGTGTTGAAAACCAGAGGGCCGGTTTCCCGGCGATATCTAATGGCTGCTGTATAAGCGAAATAATCGATTGCAGGTTGAATTGAAGTATCCTCTGCATCAATTAGCAGAGGAATGTCTGCTTCCAAGCTGTTCTCGCAGATTTTGATTAATCTTTTGTAAGCTTTTTCCAGGCTACGTTCTTCTTCGAATGTTAATGGATTAGGCTCTGTTAGTGTGTGGTAAAAAGGACTCGAATCGGCGAAAATTGGAAGGCAATCGAGTTTCCATGGAAGATTTAGGGATTTGGTTTTGTATTCCCAACGCAAGAGATCGCTTACTCTTTCTAACAGAGAAGGAGGACAAATCGCAGTGATCTTCACCACAATGTAGCTAATCTGTTCGTGCAATTAGGGCAAAATTGACAGATCAACAATGGCGGAATTCCGTTTCCCCCAAAATAAACAAACAGATCGACGGAATTGAAGAAACTTACAGGAGAATCGGAGGTCGCGGTTTTCGCAGATTCGATTGTGCGAAGAAACTCTTCCAAATTGCTGTCGCAGGAGGCCTCATCGACGGCGTGCTCCAGACCGTAATCCAACATAGCTTTGAGTCCGGATTTCGCTAGACGTTTCACTGTAAGGTCAGCCTCCTTGAGATTTTCACCGCCGCAGAAATGATCGTAGAAGGTATGTTTGATAACTCCCAACACAATCCCCTTCGAGATTCGATTTTCCATTAGCTTCGAATTCATGACGTGCGTGCCCAGAGTGACCATATAACTCTTCGAGCACAACGCGAGAGTTGCCGTCGATTTAATCAATTTCTTCGTCGGAACGGAGGCGAAGAGCTTCTTCGTATCATTGAGATTGACAATGGAATAGAACTGCGTGGTGGTCCGTCGCTCGCTGAAATTGAGACTATCAAATTCTAGGGCAAAATACGCCTGCTGCGCGGCGGAGGTGAACGGCGGAACGGAGGAGCTGAGACGACGGAAAAAATGGGGCAAATCAGTGAAAAGTTTAGGGTGAACAGATCGGCGAGTGGCCATCAAATGAGGAGCGCTTTCGGTGTAGTGCTCTCACGAATGAATATTTCCTTAGAATGCAGCCATGGACGGCTGGGAGGCTATATATAGAGAAAGAAAAACAGAGATCCGACATAGTTGGAAGGCATGAATATGATGGAATAACTGTGAGCCGCAGAAATTTCTGCAACAATGGATAGAGATTGGACGAATTCCATCCATGGCAGATTGATATATATATATATATATATATGGCTATTAATTTGGAGCTAGAAAGTTGGCTCAATTGCAGAAGCCCTAATTGAGCGGGAAGGTAGGTGAGGCTTTGTCCTTTAAAAAAAAAATAAAAATTCATACATTTTTTTTTAAAAAAATTAATATATTATATATATTCTTTATTTTTATACTCTCCCGTCCCAATACCATATCCACGTTGCCGTTTCTGTCCATACCACGTCACTTTCTTTTTTAAAAAAAATGATTACATTTAATCTTATTTTAAATTTTTTAATATTAATTATTTTCACTGATACATTCTTAATTATCTACTAATTTCATCTCTCCTAAAATACCGTGTCTATAGTGTAGCAGATACGGTACCAGGGACTAAGGAAGTATTATTTAAATAATTTTTTATATTTTACGTAAAAAAAAAAAAAAATCAAAATTCAAAATATTTTTTTTTTTGTTAATAAAATTCTTTTAATATATTTTACGTAATTTTTGGATAAGAGTACGTAATTTTTCGTACTTAATATGAAAAAATATTCGTAAAACACAAAACAAACACATTGCATTCAAGTATAATTGTACGAAGTTAGTACGTTCTTGTTTTTATATGGACCGTTAACCAGATTTTCGGTGTATTTATTTATTTTATTTGAAATAATTACGTTTATAATCACTTTTGAGTGTTTATATTTTGTATAAATATGTTTTTAAATAATTATTATTAATATAAAAAAATAATTTTTTTATAATTTTTTTTTTTTATAAATAGATAAATTATATATATTTTTTATATGTACTTGTATTAGGAGTATATATTTTTAATAATATTCATAAAAACAGTTTTTTAGTTTTTTCCTTTGTTTTTTGAATAAATTTTTATTTAAATAATAATTTAATATAATATTTTATTATAAAAATAATACTCTTTCCGATTCATTTAAATTGTTCACTTTCGGTTAAGTACTCAATTTTAAGTATTGAATAATTAATAAGTAATTAATAAATATATTAGTTAAAATAATTATAAGTTAAATAAAAATAATTATATATTAAGATTAACAAACTAAAAACTTTAATTAAAATAAAATAAAATTTAAAATATAATTAAAATTTATAAGTCAGAGCAAATTAAATGGGACGAAAAAAAATATATTTTTAATGTAAATTGAGATAAATATTTAAAAAAAAATTCAAATAAAAAACAAACACTTTTTATTTTTCTGCAACTACATTATGGGTGTGTTTGTTTTGGGGATTGGATTAGATTTCTATTATTCATCTCATTTTTTCTCCCAAAAAAAATCAAATCAAACATCTATTTTTTATTTTTTATATTATACCAAAAAGCAATTTTACATTCAAAACATCACATCAACATCTATTTATATTACATCATACAACTATTCAAATTCAAAATTTTTATTATTCAAATCCCAACTCAAAATCCAAACTCTCAAACAAACACACCCTATATGTTACTCCCCCGTCCCAATGAATGTACTCTTGGAATTTATAATAAATTTAAATATAATAAAATTTTATTAATTAGTAGAAATGTGTAATATTTTATATTTTTGTTATTTGTATTATATATATATATATATAATAGTATATTTGTAATTTATGTAAAATTGAAGATATTTTGATTTTAATATATAATTACTTTTAAAAACTAAATACTACTCCCTCCGTCCCAATACAATAGTCTTGTTTAATATTTGTGTCTGTCTCAAAACAACAGTCTCATTTCCATAAATAATTATATCACTATAAAACTACAATGACTTTTTCATTATTATTACACAATTGCCACTACTTTTTACACTAATACACTCACAAGGGCAAAAAAGTCTTTTACTCGTACTTTTTATTCACTACCAATATAATATCAATATATTTTTTATTTGAAGGTATATATATATATTTTTTTACGTGAGATATATAGAATTGTATAGGTAATATAAAATAATGAGTCTATAATATATTATTTCCTCCGCCTTACATTTTTTTAGATAAAATTAGATTAGTAAATAATTAAGAAATTTATTAGTAAAAATAATTGTTATATAATATAAATAGCTATAAATTAAGGTTAAGATAAATAAGTGTTTGTAATGAACAGTAAAATTTTTGAATTTAAATAGTTGTATGATGTGATATAAATAAATATTGATATGATGTTTTGAATATAAAATTGATTTTTTAGTATAATATAAAAAAATGAAAAAAAATTAATTTTGGTTACAATATAAAAAAACAATCAATTTTAATCAATTTTGGTTCCATCGTTAAAAAACTAACGGAAATGGCTGACGTGGAAGTAACGGGGTTGACGTGACAACGGACTTGAAAAATACACGGTCATGTACAATCATACAAGGCCATGTATAATTTTACGCCGTATACATTTCTGTTTTGGTCTAAAATTTTATTTTTTTGTTTTATATTTAAAAAAATAAATAAATTTATATTTAGAATAATTGATATATGTAAAATGAAAAAAAAAAATCAGTAGTAATCATAATATAATTAAAATGTATCAATTTTAGTTCAAATATAAAAATCTATCGAATATGTCTTCTTCAAGATTTTGTCTAAAATTCTAGTATTTACAAAAAAAAATTCACTTAAAAACTTTCATTACACTACTATTTTTTATTTTTTTATATTATCGTATTAAAAATTAATTTTATATTCCAATACAATTATATATGTCTAAGTTGAAATTGTTTGAAATTTTATTAAAATGTAAATAAAATTTTAATATAATATAAATAAAAAAATTTAAAAAAAAGTTGTGTAATTGAATAATAAGAGGAAAATTTTTTATAAATAGTAAAATTTTAGACAAAATTTTTTAAAAAACAACGTATCCTATACATTTTTATATTTAAATTAAAATTGATATATTTTAATTATCTTAGGATTACTATTAATTTTTTCAATTTTAACTATATCAACTATTTTAAATTCAAAATATCGTCTTTTAAAGAAAAAGTACAACAAAAAATAAAATAAAATTTTAGACCAAAAAAGAAAAGTATACGGCCGTGTAGAATTAAACATGACCGTGTAATAACATGGCTGTGTATAATTGTACGTGACAGTGTACGTTGTAGGTCTGCTGCCAAGTCAACTCCGTTATGTCCACGTCAGTAGTTTCCGTTAATTTTTTAACTGTTGGAATAAAATTGATTGAAATTGTTTATAATGGAACTAAAATTGACGAGTTTTTTTTTTTTTTTTAATATTAGGACCAAAATTGATTTTTTCACTATAAAAAATAAAAATTAAGTGTTTGATTTGATATATTTTTTTAATTTTATTTTCTTTTTTATTAGTAGTAGATTTAGGAGAGAATCTCATAAATGAATATATGTAAGCGTATTTTGATATTAATGTATGATTACTTTTTTAAAATAAGAACGATGTACTTTTAAATGGAACAAACGAAGATGATAAAAAATATACTTTATGTTGAAACGAAAAGTGTATTACACTACAAAAAAATACTATATTTGTAACGGAATTCCGTTCCTAAAGTTCACGTAGCTAACGTAATTTCATCTCTAATTCCGTCTCTAATATCATTAGTAACGGAAAAAGTGGATTTAGGAACGAAAAATCATCGTTACAAATTTGATATTTTCTTGTAGTGTTATTATTTTTTTTTTACTTTTTTTCCACAGTAATTTTCTTTTTTTTTTTACTTATTTTTTTAAAACTCGTATTTGATCAAATGAACGCAGACGGGGAGAGTATCAAGTCTATGGTATATTATCTTAGCCAAATATTGATTTTTATCTCATGTGTTAGTGCTTGAGTTCTTCATGTCTTCCTAAAGGTAGAGATGTAAGCATCATTGTGCTGTGACTTTTATTTTTAGAAAAAATAAATGTTATTTTATTTTTATTTTTTATTGGGAATTGTTTGTAAGATGTATCGAGAATAATAGAAATTCAAATTCAAACATAACTATCTTTATTTCATAAGATTTATGTATGCATAATTTTCTTTACAAACTATTAAATATATTCTAATATAATAAAAATTTAAAATATTGAATATCAAATAAATATAAAATATATTTATCACATAGTTGATAATATATATATTCAATTATAGTGACATCAATATAGCAAACTATGGATAAGTGAAAAAATTGCAAGCTGAAAATATATAGCGGCATTGAAATTATATAAAATTTTAAATTTGACATGATGCATGATGATATAAAATTTAATACTTTATTCGTCACATAATAAAGTATCAATTTTTTTTTTTTATTTTAGTACGTCCCATAATCAAATATTTATTTCATTTTTAGAGTAATTGTACTGTTTACTAACATTACAAATACCCTTACAACTTACAATATATTACACAAATGTCGTTACTTTTATATCACACAATACTAATAAGGTTATTTTAATCATTTCTGCTTTATTCCTACTACATTCCAATATAATATTAATATTTTTAAAACGCCGTGCAAAAAGCAAATTGATACATAATTATGGGACGAAAGGGAATATTAATTTTTAAAATTATTAGTTTAAGCAAATACTCCCTCCGTCCCACCACATTTGACACTATTTTCATTTTTGTCTGTCTCGTAACAATTGACACATTTCTATTTTCGGTAAAAAATTATTAAAATCAAAACATATTTAATTAACTATATAATATACAACATCATAAATGACGTAAGACCCACCCAAAACACCTTTATTTCTACCTCTCTCTCCTAAAAAAAAATATTTTTATCTATATTTAAAACTACACATCTTTTATAAAATTGATTTATATTAATTATAAATAAACTAATATATTTTTTTATTTACTTGTATTATAGAATATTTTATTATCTACAAAATAATATTCATATTGCATATATTTTTTAATTGCTATGTAATATTTAAATATTTAAACATATATACTCCCTTCGTCCCAACTAGAAAGTATACATATTTCTATTTTGAAACGTCCAATTATAAAGTAAACATTTTATTAAATACTTTATTTTTTCTCACAAATACTTTTACTTTATATCACATCATTACTTCTACACAAAAAAGCAAAGGCAAGAATATCATTACACTATTTTTAACTACCCACTATAATTAAAATACTATTATTTCTTAAACACCGCCCCAAAAGTAAATGTTTACTTTGTTTGTGGACAGAGGGAGTATTAAATTTACTTTAAAACTATAAATAATATTAATTATATAAAAAATAATATAATAATATCATAATTAATTAATATTAACTAATTAAACATCATCACCTTAAATACTGTATTTTTAATAATAAAATGGGTCAATTTCGATGGGACGAAGTGAGTACGAAGAGAGGTATTATTATTATTATTTCGCCCAAATTATAGTCTCTAACCACAACTTTCAAAAAGAATTCTGTATGGTGCATGATTTGATTTGATGCCACTAAAACATGGAGTACAAGAAAAGCGACGACGATGGCGACATTGTTGTCGAATTTAAAGGTACATATATAAATACTATTTGCTTTGTAGATAAAAATATCGTAAAAATAATTTTATTTCATCTTATTGTTTATAAAAAAAATAATAATTTAATAAATAAAATAAAGTTATTTGAAAAAAAAAAGTGAGGTCTATAATTACTAAAAAAGATAATTTTTTTTATAATCCTATAAAAAGAAATTCTTTATTAGTTAAAAATTGGGTTTAACTCCCTTTGCAATTTTAAAAATTCTACACATTTAATTTTATTTTCGTCGTTAGGCAACGGTGATTGTTTGGACGCGATCTATTTGTAAATACAATAATTCCGAAACTCCATTACAAAGTCACATTTAATTACTGATGGACGAGAATTTAAACGCAAAATTTCTTAAATTATAAGGAGCTGTTTTGTTCAAGAATTGAATGAGATTTAACGGGATTTGAATTTTGAAATCTCATGAAATTCATTTTGTTTAAAATAAAAAAAAAAATGTAATTTAAGTTCCGTAAAGAATGGTATGGTGGTATAGGGGTTGAACTTGTTTAAGTCACACATGGTTATAATATTGTATTTTTTTAAATTTAGATAAAAAAAAATAAAAATTATTAAAAAATAATATTTTCTTTGACGATGCAACAGAAGAAAAATGGAAGATAGCAAAATGTAAATTTGCATCGTATATAATCTCTATAACAAGCCGACCCCGCAAAAATAGGACATTTTGTTGAACTTCCCGACCAACAACACATATCCTGAAATTCCTGTCTCCGCTATTGTCCAAAAATCCAAACACGCCCTTATATATATATATATATATATATACACACACAATTAATGAGGGGCAGCCGGCGCCGGCGGCGATAAAATAAGATGAGTTCAATTCCGGTGATCGACTTAATTTCCGGCGCCGGAAAAGATCTGATCGGCGCGTGCGAAGAGTGGGGGTGTTTCAGGATCGTGAATTTCCAGGAGATTCTGGAGGATTCCTTGCTGCGGGAAATGAAGGCGGTGGTCCGATCGCTGCTGGACCTTCCGGCCGCCGTGAAGTCCCGGAACCGTGACGTCATCGCCGGAAGTGGGTACATGGCCCCGTCGGAGACTAACCCTCACTACGAGGCCCTCGGCCTTTTCGACATGGCTTCTCCGCCGGACGTCCAGGCCTTCTGCTCCAACCTCGAAGCCACCCCTTACCAAAGGTAAATAGTCTTTGTGATTTTTTAATACTCCCTCAGTTCCACATACTTTATTTTTATTTTTTATTTTTGTATGTTAATTTATCTATTTTTTTAAAAAAATATAATTATACACTTTAATGTCATGTTAAATTTTATAATTTTTTAAATTTTAATTAAATTATTTTATTATCTTAACGTTAATTCACAATTATTTTTACTATACAATAATTATTTTTAGTAATACACATCATAATTACTTATTAATTAAACTCTACCTAAATTATTGTATCTACAGTAACACGTACATAATACATGGGACAGAGGGAGTACTTAAATTTTAAAAATATTAATATTATATATGTTGTTACTTTTCGTTCGCAAATAAATAAATAATGCGTACTCTAAAAATTTAAACTTTTAACTGAGATGAATATTTACATTATCTAATATAGTATCAAAGTTTGGTATCAAATTTGAGTTCCACCGTCGTCCCCTAACTTTTTAGATAGACAATCTAACAATATTTATAGAAAATCTTTTCCATTACTTTCACTAAATTTTTTATCTATATTTTTCAATAAAATATATTAATTTTTTTTCAAAAAATAATAAAGTTAATTAGCCCAAAATTCTTTCACAATTTTCAAAACATTTTCACTATAATCAATAACTAACAATAACCATTAAACATGTTTTTTTATTTTATTTTACATATACTAAAAAGAATACAACATTTGAATTCATGAAAAAATTATTAACCCTATAAGAAAGGGAAGTATTTTAATATATAATATTTTTATTTATAAATATATTATATAAAAATAAAATATTTTATTCTAATTATTAGTATTGTAGTAGTTCTATATCATTTTTTTTTCGCTCTTTTTATTCTTTTTCTTTCTTTATCACCCTATTATAGAGTCAATGAGAATTAGAAAAAAATAGTTCTTGACAGTCCGGATAATGTTGCCTCCCCAGAGCCTCAGAGCTAGTTCCGTCGCTTGTACACATGTATAAAAATTAAAAAAACAACTTACAAAATCTATTAAACCAAATAATTCTTTGGTAAAAATTTTGGATTGTTATTGATTATTATCACTCTATCTAGGGATACAATATTGAAGTATGCTAAAAAAGTGAATCAAGTGATGAGGGAGATTGTGCTCAAAATAGGACAAGGGCTTGGGATTAATGATGTTCCAAACTTAGATGATTGGAGTTGCCAATTTAGGATCAACAAATATAATTTCAGTTCCGAAACCATGGGTTGTCGGGGAGTCCAATTACACACGGATTCTAGTTTTCTTACACTTCTTCAAGACGATGAAAAATTCGGAGGACTTGAGATCATGAAGAGAAATGGTGAATTCCACGCCGTGGAGCCGTGCCCCGGCACTCTTCTCGTTAATCTTGGAGATTTGGCAACGGTGAGTAACTATTATGTAGAAAAAATTATAAATTTTATTTTTTTATTTACGACTAATTATTACTTTTTGAAGATAAAAATAAATGATTTTTTGTGGGATAAATATTTTTTTAAAAAAAAATCTTATATGTGACATTTTAAAAAAATAATCATTCTAGTCCTTTTACTTAAACTCGTGTATAAATAATCTTATATCTATATGATAATTTTCAATACCAAGTGTTTATATAAATTCAATTTTGTATATTTATTAAACAAATATATATATATATATATATCTATACATTTGTAAATATGTCTAAAAAACAAAATCTACTAGGATATTTGGTGCTAGAATTAAATTTTGTTACATTCCTAGTTTATGTTAGCTTTAGCAATGCTATGTCAGTACATCTGTTAATATTCCAATATTAGAAAATCTTTTCAATGATTATAAATTAAATATATGACTATTTTTATATAAATTTTACTTAAAATACTAAGTATAAACAATACTCCTACATATGAGACTAGAAAATTATTTCTCTTTTTCTTTGTGGATGAACTCACATTACTTGTTAATAATAAGACTATATATATATATATATTAATTCGCTAAAATTATATAGATTTGGTTGAACACAAAAATTAAAAAAATAATAATAATATTTTAATATTAAAGTGGAGTAAGTAAAAAGTAAAGTCATATATTATAAAAAAAATATTAAATGATTGATAAAAAATTGTGGAATAAATAGAAAAAACGGTAACAAATTGATTATTATTTGCTAAAATAGGGATAATAAAATTATGAATGAATGAAATTATATTTATTATAAATAAATTATGCATAAATTTAGGGAACAATTAAAAAATAGTAATATAATTTTAACGAACATAAATACTATAAATTAAGGCGTATTATTAAAATACAACCATAACATATATATATATATATATAGAGAGAGAGAACAAATGTGATAATTGATCATACATCTATAAGCCTTAATGGTCGTTTTATGTATTTGATTTTGATGTTTTTAAAGTTAAAATGATTGTTTAGCATGATATTTTATATCAAAGTAAATATTTGATATAATATTTTTTTTTTCAAAAAAAAAATAAAGATGCTATAGTAAAAATAAAAAGAAAAAGAGTGAAAATTAAAAAAAAAAAAAAAACACTAAAGATTTAATTATATATTTTAAAAGTACGACGACGATATTTCAAGTGCTTTTTGAACTTAGTAATTTTTTTTTATATTTGAAAGGTATGGAGCAATGGAAAATTTTTAAATGTGAAGCACCGGGTGATATGCAAAGAAGTCGGCATCAGAGTCTCGATTGCTTCGTTCTTGTTAGGGCCGAATGACGAGAAGATAGTGGCGCCGCCGGAGTTGGTTGATCTCGAGCATCCTCGAATGTATGTCCCTTTTACATTCCGAGAACTTAGAAACTTGAGAATGTCTGAAAAATTACATATCGGAGAGGCTCTTCGCTACTACTTATGCAAATAAATAAATAAATGGATAAAACTATTTCAATGAAAAAAAATAAAAAATTTGTACTTATTTAATTTTAGAACGACAATATATATCGGTATTAAATATATGTTGGTATATTGTTATTGTACCATTGGGCATATACTATATCGATACATATGAAATATGTCGTATAAAATATATATCGGTATACCAAATCAACTAAAAGAATTAATGTATTTGTATTGTTATTTTTAATTATATTTTGATAATGTTTACATTTTTAATTATTGTTTGTATTTTGATATTTTCAATATATCACTAATTTTGCGGTATACTGTTACAGTACATTAATATTTCATATGATATACGTATTTATGGTAAATCAATATATCAAAAAACCAATACGATGTCGCTATGAAAATTTTTATATCGATGAAGTGGTCATAAACTATAATTCCAAGTCCGGCCTATTGGTCCTTATATTTACAAAAACATTCACGGTGTGTTTACTTATAAGATTTTGATTGTGAATTTTGATTGCATAATTTCCGACTAATATTATGAAAAAGTAATATATATATATATATACACACATTTATATATTACTTCCTCCATTGCGAAATAGATGTGACCCATTTATTTCGGGACGGTTATTTAAGTAGTATAGATTACTAGGATATTAATAATAAATTATGATATTATTTTTATACGAACTGTTGTTGATATTTTAAATATACTTCCTCCGTCCCAAATCAAAGAGGTCTTTTGGGATTTATAGTAAATTAAGAAATAATAGTACTTTATTAGTTAGTGGAAGTATGTATAAATTTTTGACATTTTGCCTTTTGACTTTATGTATAAAAGTAATTTATTGTGTAATGATATGTTCGTAATTTAAGTAAAAATTAAAAGTATTTTGGTATTAGTGTATCATTACTTTTTATAAAATAAGAAATGAATACTTTGAAATGTGATAGACAACAATGATAAAAATGTATTTTAAATTAGAAGGGAGGGAGTCAATAAAAATATATGAAGCACAAAAAATATTTCTATTAATAGTATGTAATATAAAGATAATGACTTCTATGTAATATATTATAGATTATAAAAATATTTTTAATATTAGATAGGTAGTATACACTTATTAAAAAAATAGATACTTACTTTTGGAATGAACGAGATAGAAAAATTGATATCTTCTTTTGGACGGAGAAAATATTAAAAAAATTATTTCTTAAAAAATAATTATTATAAGAAATAATAAATTTATTAACATATGAGAGAAAAAAAAATGAAAAACATTGATAGAACTTCTACATTATAGTATTTCTTTTATTCATATAATTGTATTTTATATTTTCGTCCATCTTATATAATTTATTTATTTTATTTATTTTTTAAAAATAATTATACATTTTAATAAAATTTTAAATTTAATAATTTATAATTTTTTAATTTTAATTTATAATTATTTGTATTATACAATAATTATTTTTATTAATATATTTTTTTATTATTTGTTAATTATACTCTTAATAGGTTCCCGTATTTACATAAAATCGGACAATTAATTAGGTGAAACAGAGGAAACATATAAATAACAAAATAGCATATGTTTGTTCTTTTAATATTTTTTCCCGACACGATTCCAAAATATGTATACTCTATTACTCCGTCTGTTCCACATAATTTGTCATTATTTTTTATTTTCGTCCGTCACACATAACTTGTCCTTTCTATTTTTGGAAATATAATTATGCATTTTAATCACATTTTAAATTTTAAATTTTAAATTTTATAATTTTCTTAATTTTAATTAAACTTATTTTAATCTTAATCTATAATTATTTTTACTAAATAATAATTATTTTTACTAATATACTTCTTAATTATTTGCTAATTATATTTTACTTAAATTTCTGTGTCTACAGTAATACACCCATATTACATGGGATGGAGGGAGTATATTTTATCTTTTCACAATTCATCCTGAATTTTTTTTTTCTTTTTGTTATTTTATGAATTCTTAGATCCATAGAAAGAGAAATTTAATTCTGTATTGCACATGGTTTAACGACGACTTTAGAAAGAATTTTGCATGATGCATCATTTAATTTGATTTGATTTAATTTGTAAAATACTATTCACTCATTTCCACAAAATTGGACTATGCAGTTTAGATACAAAGTTTTAGGTATCGGGCAATTACTAAATAATTAAAAAGTGTAATAGTAAAAATAATTTTGATTTAATAAAAATAATTATAAATTAAGATTAAAATGACTAAATAATTTAATTAAAATAAAAAAAATAATATTATATTTTTTAAGAAAAAAAAAAGACAAATCATATGGTACAGATGAAATAAAAATAGTTGACAAATTAAGTGGGACAAAATGAGCACTATCAATAATTGAGAATGGTATATGATAGTACTTCCTCCATCATATCTATTGTATCATAGTTACGGTTGATATTAGAATTTAAAAACAATATAATTAGCGTATAATTAAAAATTTATTAATAAAATAAATATAGTACAATATAAATCATTATAAATTAAGACTAAAATCATTTAGTCTAATTTAAATTATAAAATTATAAATTAGTATAATTTAAAATACAATTGAAATATGTAATCTTTTTCTAAAAAAAAAATGACATGATACGTGAGATGAACATATAGAACAATATGAAAACAATACATGGGACAAAGGAAGTAACTAATACTCTATCCGTCCCATATAATTTGTCAATATTTTTCACTTCTGTCTGTCATACATAATTTGTTCATTTTTTAAAATTATATTTTAAATTTTATAATCTATATTTGTAATCTTAATTAAATTAATTAATTAATTTAATACTCTATTAATCTATAATTATATGTATTATAAGATAAATTATTTTTACTCATAATTTTCTTAAATTGTATTTTAAATTTTATAATCTATATTTGTAATCTTAATTAAATTAATTAATTATTTTAATACTCTATTAATCTATAATTATATGTATTATAAGATAAATTATTTTTACTCATAATTTTTTTTTTTTTAAATTATTAACTAATTATACTATTGTAAAAACTTTGTACATCTACAAAGAACAAAACAAATAAAATAAGATAGAAAGAGTATAATATACCACTGCGGTCCCTTAACTAAGTATGTATTTGCTTTTCGCATATCGAACTTTGAATACTAATATTATATTCGTACGTAATACATATGTAATAATATTTGTATAAAATATTATTCAAATGCAACTATATTTTAAATGTTAAATATATTGACGTAAAAAATAAATGAATATTTTGTTAAAGGAGAAATAGAGTATATTGCATTAATTTAAATTAAAAAATAATAAATTTATATTTATATATTATTTAGAGCTAAGAAGTATTTACTAATTAGTGCTAATCCACTTAGTAACCATTTCTTATCTTTTAAAATCAATAAATAAATACTTAAGAGCATCACATGTCACATGGCCACACTTAGAGCATATAATATTGCTTTAATTTGGGCTAATTATGCATGTATATAAAATTTAAAAATAATAATATTTTAATATAAAAATAAACTGTAAAAAAAATAATTATTATAAAAAATTTATTAAAGAATTAATAATAAAATATATAGAAAAATAATTACTATGGTTCATTAAAATAAATATAATAAGAGTATGTTTTTTACCTTAAATTTCCCAAATTTTTTCTGCTACAACTCTTTTTCATGGAAGGAAAGAGAATATTTATTATTATTATTATTTTATATAATTTTGTACTAATTACATATAAATTATAAGTATAGTATTAGTTTTAATATCCATTAAATATATATAATTAAATAAAATAATTAATGTAATATTTTATTTGAAAAAAAAATAATGAGTTTATTTTGTTTGACTTAAATCGCTGATTGTAATCAATATTATTTTATTCATATGATTATCGATATAAATATATTGTTTTTATAATAATAAAATAAAATTAAAATGAAAAATTGAAATTCAAACCAAAAGAAAAATCTAAACACATTCAATATATATAATGGATTTTATTCAACATTATAGACATAAGAAAATAAGCTTCACCACCAATCTGCACGTTCATTCACTGGTATAAACAAATGTATTGAACATAAAAAAAATAACATATAGATATTTGACTTGATTTGTTTGAACAAAATTTTATAATTTAAAACTTACAAACAAAAATTATAATATAAAATACTCTTTCCATTCACAAAATTATTTTATTTGGAATTGACGCGGAGATTAAAAAAAAAATATTTTATTAAAAAATAAAAAAGATTAAAAGTAGTTGGAGGTTTTTTTATAAATTTAATTAGTAATTAAAGAAATAAAGGGAGAAAATATAATAAAATTGAGGCTAAATTGCACAAAAATTTACTTGTGGTTTTATGAAATTGCGCCAAATCCCTTGTATTTTTAAAATTACGTCAAACTCTCTCGTGGTTTCATAAACTCTGCGTCTAACCTTCACGGTGGTCCTTATTTAACGGTATTTAATCTAATTATGTCCAAACTGCGAATAAATTTTGGAATAATAATTTCTAAACCACTAAAATTACAAATATATTCATTTATGTTATATTTATCCACAAAAAATAATAAATATACTAAAAAATAGTTATTTCTTTCGGGTTTTAAGAGTTTACTTTTACTGTTTTTTTAGGTTAAATATAAGAAAAATAAATATATTTGTAATTTTTAGGTGTTTAGAAATTGAGATTTTAAAACTCATTCGCAGTTTGGGCGCATTTAGATTAAATACCGTTAAATAAGAACCGACGAGGGAGTTAGACACAGAGTTTTTTATGAAACCATTAGGCGTTGATTAGCCGTAGAGAACCGGGGCTCGCACACATGGGACGGACTATGGCCGAGAACCTGGGCAGAAATATCAGTTCGTGACATTCTCCCTCACTCAAAGTCGCTATGCCACTTAAGTGCACCGACGTTGTTTCTTGCACGTTGGGCTTGCTTTCCGGCGTCGCTCCATTGACCCTTTCACGCGTAGCCCGTTGTGCTCACCAACCGCCAGCGTGGTTTGCCATAGCCGACCCACAACTCGCCTACTCCGCCGCTCGTCTACAACACACATAGTTTGACGCAGTTTTAGAAATAGAAAAAATTTGACGCAATTTTGTGAAATCACAGATGGATTTGGAACAATTTAGCCTAAAATTGATGGCATTTGTTGTAAATAAATATTAAATAGAAATAATAATTAAATATTAAATTTCTTATTAAATAGAAATAAGAATTAAGTATTAATTTTTTATTAAATTTGGAGACGGATGGAATAATAAATTTATTTTCATGAAAAATAAAAATATTAAAATCTGAAATATGAATTTTTACTTAACTGGCGTAGCACTAGTTAGCACGACGTGACCTTCATATACATATATATATACACACGCACACTTGATGAGGGGCTGCCGGCGGCGATAAGATAATTAAGATGAGTTCGATTCCGGTGATCGACTTAATTTCCGGCGCCGGAAAAGATCTGATCGGCGCGTGCGAAGAGTGGGGGTGTTTCAGGATCGTGAATTTCCAGGAGATTCTGGAGGATTCCTTGCTGCGGGAAATGAAGGCGGTGGTCCGATCGCTCCTGGACCTTCCGGCCGCCGTGAAGGCCCGGAACCGCGACATCATCGCTGGAAGTGGCTACATGCCGCCGTCGGAGATGAACCCTAACTACGAGGCCTTCAGCTTTCACGATGCGGACATCGAGGCCTTCTGCTCTAACCTCGAAGCCACCCCTCACCAAAGGTGATATATACTTTATTCATTCATTCACAAAAATTATGTTTCTATAACTTACATAAATAAAATATTTCAATATATAAGTTGAAATTATGAAATATTTCACAAAAATATATATATATATATATTAGTTGATAATATATATTGAATTAATTATATTAATATAATACAAATACAATATATTTCCTTTTCACCTAAAAAGTTAACACAAAGTAAACGTTTTATTAAATATCTTATTTTTTTTTCAAATACCCCTATTTTACATAACATCATTAATTTTACATAAAAAAAAGAGCAAAAATGTCATTAGAATAATTTTAACTATTCACTATACTTAAAATATCATTATTTTTTAAACACCGCGCTTAAAGTAAATATTTACTTTGTATGTGGACGGAGGAAGTATAAATCATACCATATGGCGATAATTTACATAATGCATAATATGATTAATTTCAGCATAAAATAAAATATTAACCGTCAGCATATGATAATACTATATACAATATAAAATATTAGTTAAAACACGTAATAAAAATTATCGAATCACTTGCAATATATAAAATACATAATGAATAATGAAAATGTTTTATTTAACCCTATAAATAATTTGTAAAAGAACCTACAAAATCTATTAAACCAAATAATTCATTGGTAATATTTAATTTGGGATTACTATTAATTATTTTTATTATTACATATTGTAGGGCTACAATATTGAAGTATACTAAAAAAGTGACCGAGGTGATGAGGGAGATTGTGCTCAAAATAGGACAAGGGTTTGGGATTAATGATGTCCCAAACTTAGATGATTGGAATTGCCAATTTAGAATCAACAAATATAATTTTAGTTCTGAAATCGTCGGCGATTGCGGAATCCCATGGCATACAGACGCGGGTTTTCTTACACTTCTCCATGAGGATGAAACCATCGGAGGCCTCGAGGTAATGAAGAGGAATGGTGAATCCCACGCCGTCGAGCCATGCCCCGGCGCTATCCTCTTCAATCTTGGAGATACGGCAACGGTAAGTAATTAAAATTTAATCTTTTATTTATGACCAATTTTTACTTCTTGAAGATAAAAAAGACAACTTTTTATAGGATAAGTGATTTTTAAGTTTGTATGTGGTATCTCTTATTGTTTTGATCATTTATTGTAATGTGCATATAAATAGTTATATATCTAATACTTAATTGTCAAATTAGTTTCTCTAGTCGGAATATTATCACTTGTATTGACATGGATTAGTCAAGTGACAATTTTTAATACCAAATGTCGATTTGGATTTAATTTTGTACATTTTTCTTAAAAAAATAAATCGATATTTGGTGGTGAAATTGTCATATGACTAGTACATGTTACTTCTGATAGTTCATGTTAGTTCATTTGATAATATTTCGATATTAGAGAAAATTTTCAACAATTACATATAAGATTATTTTTATACAAATTTTACTTAAAATACTAAAATGATAAACGAGTGCCATATATAAAACTAAAACAATATTTATTATTCCTTTTTTTAGGTGAATTCACATTATTTTTGAGTAAGATGGCAAAAAGATAATCTTTTGTAATTAAGGTGTATTATTAAAACACAACTTAATATATATATACATAATAAAATTGATCATATATCTATAAGACTAAGGGTGTGTTGTTTTATGTATTTAGTTTTGATGTTTAAAATAATTATTTGATATGATATTTTATATCAAAATAAATATTTAATATGCTATTTTTAAAGAAAAAAAATTAAATAGTAAAAAAAAATGAATCTGAAAAAACACATAGATATTATATTTTAAATGAAAAATAAATATAAATTTTTTATCATTGAAAATATTAAGCATGTTTTAAATTTGTAATTTCCTCTACATAAAATCTAGTAAGGGTATGTCAAGCGCGCTCTTTTAGAACTTAATAATTTTTTCGATCCTTGAAAGGCATGGAGCAACGGAAAATTTTTGAATGTGAAGCACCGGGTGATGTGCAAAGAAGCCGGCATCAGAGTGACAATTGCTTCGTTCTTGTTAGGGCCAAAGGAGACGAGGATAGAAGCTCCGCCAGAGTTGATTGATCTCGGGCATCCTCGGATGTTTGTCCCTTTTACTTACGAAGAACTTAGAAACCTAAGAGTGTCTGATTACTTATACAGCGGAGAGGCTCTTAACTACTACTTAAATAAATAATAGATACATAAAATCATTTTAACAATATATATATATATTTATTTATGTATACTTGTTTAACATTGTCACATTTAATTTTCATCATGTTGGATGTTTTTGGTATCGTTGGTTTTATATCATATTGTTTGCTTGGATTTTATTTTGAATATAGTTGATGGGTATTTTGGAATAAGTTGTTTTTGTTGATGAGAGATCCTTTGCTATAGATTGGTTAGATGTATAATTATATTAATTATGTTATTTAATTGAATTTAGTTATCCTACCCTTTTCTTCTAATTTTCCAATTACAATTAAAACAATACCCAAGATTTGAACTCAATTTGAAATGCACTGCAGCGTATTAGGTTCGGACGAAAGTTTACCTAATATATACTTTCGGATAGCGGTGGCGGTTTTTCACATTATAAAAAAAAAAAAAAAAAAATTAAAATTCGCTATCCGAACAATTAGTCGTCCCTATAAATATATGTGTAATATATATATATATATGTATATCCCCAAATTTAATTTAAACCATCCTTCACATTAATTCTCAACCACAAAACATTGTGCAAAATTTCCTCGACCATCTCTACGTTGTTCATTCCTTTCCACATTGTCATTTCCATGAAAATTCTCCATGTCTTCTTTCCATTGAAGAAGAAGAACAAAAAGACCAATGAAGTCCGAGCTTCCGACAGGGCGGCCGACGCAATCGCGGCGAAGGCCGTCGAGGCTCGCTCCTCTCGTCGCCCTAACCATACTCCTCGCAATCCCTTTATATTACGTCGCCTTTCGCGACTACTCTTCGGAGAAAGTATACGCGACGTTGCATGGCCTAATCGAGACCTCGGGTGATGTCGGCGAGAATGTCGATCGAACTTGCACCCTCGGATCAAACTCATGCACAAACGAAAATGAAAATAGTGATCAAAATAGAGAACCCGATAAGCCCGAATTCGATGCCCTAGAAGAAATGCATGACTTCGAACATGGCACGACGACGAAACGCGAAAATCCGGAGGACGAGGCTCGTCGAGAATCTAAGTACAATGATTCGAGCAATGACAAAAAAGAAGACACAAACATTGATACAAGCGAAGCGAAGGAGCCCGAAAACGATGTGAACGATTCTAAGGTATACTTACGACAAAATTTTAAACTACGAGGGAGGGTGATTCGTTTCTACTTATTGTGAAAAATAGTTTATTGAAATTGAAAAATTGGATCGTTAAAATAAGTGGTCTATATATAAACAATATAAAACAGACTCGATAGACTCATATCTAAATAATTTAATCTATGAATAAGACCAAACCTAAAATTAAATATCTAAAATATCTTTAACACTTTTTTCAAACTTTTGTATTTTGAAAAGATACAGAAAGATCGAAGGAGACCGGTTACGACATTCAAAGGCAACCCCGATCGTCTCATAGTTCGATCGAGACTATTGGAAGACGATCAATGTGACATATTTACGGGGGAATGGGTGCCGGACCCGAATGGGCCGTACTACACGAACCATACGTGCAATGCGATTCAAGAACATCAAAATTGCATGAAGTTCGGGCGACCCGACCTCGAGTTCTTGAAGTGGAGGTGGAAGCCCGACGGCTGCGAGCTCCCTGAGTTCGACCCGGAACACTTTTTTAAGAGTGTTAAGGGGAAATCAATAGCTTTTGTTGGAGACTCGGTTGCTAGGAATCATATGCAGTCTTTGATTTGCCTCTTGTCAAAGGTAACAAGTCTACAATTATATATATATATATTCCCTATGTCTAGTATACCTATTGATAAGACATATTTTGTTACTTAAATATACTATATGAACTATTATTATGTGTTAGTAGAATTTGTGTTATGTCTAAGTGATGGCATGCTGACGCAGAGTTGAATTCGTGACCATGAGATCGTAGATTCAAACTCCCGATATCTTCAGATTTTTCCTGTGCCACACATGATTTGCTTAATGTGATTTATCTTTCTCGGGCCTAGTTTAGCTTCATTTAAATCATATATATTTAGGTAGCTTACCCGGAGGACCTATCGGACCCGATCGACCAAAATCGGCAGTATGAATACCGGAAGCACGACTTCAACATATCGATGTTTTGGTCACCCTACTTGGTTCGAACCGAACGAACCGCACCCGACGACGAAAAGCGCCCTTTCAAACTATACCTCGATGAATTCGACAACCACTGGACGACCAAAATCGCACTTTTTGACTACGTAATCATCTCTGCCGGCCACTGGTTCTTCCGGCCAACGTATTTCCACGTCAACAGCCGCCTCGTCGGCTGCCTCTACTGCCCGGAGCCAAACATCAGCCACCTGACAGCCTACTTCAGCTACCGCCGCGCATTCCGGACAGCGCTCCGGGCAGTCAACGACGCTGCCGGCTACACCGGGGTGACGTTTCTGAGGACATTCGCGCCGTCGCACTTCGAGGGCGCGGCGTGGGATAAGGGCGGGGATTGCCGGCGGACGAGGCCGTTCCGGCGAGGGGAGACAGCGATGGAGGATTACAGCGGGGAGATGTATTTGGTTCAGCTGGAGGAGCTGCGGATCGCGCAGAAAGCCGGGCGGCGGAAGCGGCGAAAGTTTGTTCTTTTCGACGCCACGGAGGCGATGCAGTTGCGGCCAGACGGGCATCCGAGTAAGTACGGGAGATGGCTGACGGCGGATCAGACGGCGCCGAACGACTGCGTGCACTGGTGCTTGCCCGGCCCAATCGACTCCTGGAGCGATTTCTTGCAGGAGCTCCTGAAAAGGGAAATACAAGGGAGGGGGAGGTGATGATATCGACGCACCTCGTTCGATAGCTCCCAGTGGTCGCGGTCTAACGACTACACTATTCCCGTCGCAAAATCGGAATTCGACTCCATGATAGATGGATAGAAATTGGGAATGAAATGTGAATGTAATGTATAAAGTAAATAGTGTTCTTTTCAGAATTCGAAACTCCGAAATCGAGTTTTACTAAATATGCGGGTTTAAAGTGCGTAATCGAACTGCAGTAGCGAAATTTGTTTAGACATAGACGACGTAAAAAGGTTCAAACCGGCGACAGAAATGAGTACATGCTCACATGAAAGTGGGGCATGGAGGTCCTTTCGACAGCCCGAGACGCACTTCCATAGCATGATGCATGTCGACAGGACGAAGTGATTCAGACTCCCGCGGATCTGAGAGGGTGTAACAAACAAGTGAGTATAGGAATTAACATATGCTGAAAATAATCGTTAATCATTGATAGAAAACATAAAAGAAAATGCGACATCCAACATAATGTTTTATGTGCATATTGGATCGAATCCTTCAGTTACTCAAAACGTAATCATGGATTAAGCATTTATATATTACTGCTCGACTTTTTCTATAGATTATATTTGACTTTTCGCAATCTTACGTTAAAAGTTCAGAAATCGTTACGAAATTTTGAAGTGTAATCAATTTGTCTCTGGGTAATTGAATAGAACAAAATCGAAGCTAAGAAAATATTAGAAAAACTTGCAGTTGGGACAATAGGTACAGTGTTTGTAAGACATTACCATTGAGATAATCTTCAAAGCCGAAATCTTCCAAAGTTCCAGTCATCGCTTCCAACCCCACGAAAGAAGACGGTATTGCTCCAGGAGGCCTTTGGAATCTGCATAGAAAGATAGGCAACAATTGGAAGATAAATCGATGATTAACAAACAGAAAGCTAATTATAAGCGACAAATTTCAGTGGGGTAAGCTTTATAGAATTGTTAGTTGTTAAAAGCAGTTATCTAACAAGAAAAATATTTGATCTACACTACACACTTAAAATTGTGATTCAGAGTTCCAACTGTATATAATTTTTTCGAAACGATCTATCGAGAAAATTGAAATACAATTTTGCTTGTGATCCTATAATTCGAACCAACATAATCTTCACATCGTTATAGAACTATTCTTCGAATTTATCAGAAACATTTTAGCCAACTTTGAATCTAAATTATAGGAAAACAAGGAGTTCGAAAGCTTTCACTAGAGGGACTATATGCAATATAATATAAATTCAAAAAATACATGTCCAAGACCAATATTTATAACTTTCTATATCTTCAAAATTGATTACAGTTTCTCAGAGGAGCAACGAGCATAAAATTACGGAACACATTACTAATTGCTATATGCTCAGAGACATAGAAATGAAAGCTCGGTACGAACACCAACTCTGGTATTATAGAATCAAAGCCACAAATTTTATTAGAATCTAATTATATACACATATCTTGAACATTTCCAGAAAAACATATAATAAAACAATTACATAATTTAGCATCCAATTCACAATACCTGATAATATGTACAGATTAAAGTAGATATTGCCAGACCCAACATATCATCAGAGCCTTAGAATTAGAATACATGTGAAAGCTAATTTCATTTCAATAGTTTTTTAACAACGAATCAAAGCATCAGGAACTTAGATGAGTAATGTAAAGTATTAGCTTACTTCTTCAGCGACTCATCAAAATTATTAAGGAAAAATCTCTCTCTCAATCAAACGCAAGCTAATTCGAAAGACAAATTGTAACCCTAATCCAACCAAAATAAAATTCCAGCAAATTAACGAAACCACAAAATGACTTCAAGCAGGGGAAATAATGCAGTGACTAAATAAATAATTAAAAAAACAAAAACAACACGAACTTGGACAGAATCTGGCGATCGAGATCCATCTTCAACGGAAACGCCGCTCCGTAAGTATTCTCCAGGATTTTCTTCTTCATTTCCTGCTGCCTCACTTTAGCCTACACAAAATCATTAAAGATATATAGATATTCAGCTTCAAGCAACAACCAAAACAAACAAACACTCAATACTGAGCAAACAAAATTCAAAAAAAAAAATTACAGAGCTATAGGCAGATTCAAGCGGGTGAGGCTCAATAATATCGCTCTTAACACCATGGATCCCGAATCGCAGCGGATCCTCCGCACGTCCATCGAGTAGTATCGTCTTCGATGCATCCATAGCAACCTCCTGATCGAAAATTCCCTTTCGCTTGTGATTGAAACAGAAGCTACTGCCGACGAAGAAATCGAAAATTAATCTGAAGTATAAAGGGAATTCTGAGAAATCTTTTCCCACAAGAAAAATGATGGGCCGATAAGGCCCATATAATAATTATTTAAATTAAAAGAGACTGAAGACATTGGACTGGGCCCTTTCGGAAATAAAGTGAGCCCACCAAATACTTTGAGTAGTGTTTTTTCTTTTCTTATTTTCTCATGAAAACTCTCAAATTTTACTATTTGAATTTTTGAAAAAAATAAAAAAAATACGTCAATCTATCTATTTAATTTTTGCAATGTTAATATTTGAATATTAATTATTATATATCAAAATATAGTACAAATAAAACAAAATGATAAAAATATTTTTATTAATATTTTATAATACTAATATAATGACATTTATACAAAAATTTTAAAAATATTAAAATATTTTTAATGTTAAAAAATGATTCCAAATACAAAAAGATAGATTGTCGGTGGACATAGGTAATATATATTTTTTACGAAATATCTAATCAAATATTATAATTTTTTTTTTTACTATAATATGAAATAACTATTTTTTAGTAAAATATACGTAAATGATAAAAAAAAATAATAATAATTATATTGAGTTGAGAAGGAAATAGTATATAATACTAAATGCTTCTCAAAATATAAAATCAAATTCAAAATATTAATTTTTTATGTCCACAAATATATATATATATTTATATCTTTAAATCGATTAACAACAAAATACACTATATATATTCTATGTCCATTATATTTATTTATTTATTATTTATTCATTAAATTTGTCTGATTATTAATTTAATAAAAATAAATAAATAAATAAATCTAACATTTAACAATTATTTTTATTCGATATTTATTTATTAAATTATTAATATCATTATTAAACATTGGATTTGTTTATTCTGTGTTTTTTTTTAAATAAATATTTTTTTTATATTAAATATGAGAAATTATGTTGGTAATATAAATAATAATATTTTGTATTGAATTGTTGATATTTTGTAAATAGTAAATTTTATATTAATGTATGTATATACTCCCTCCGTCCCTTAACAATCTATCCATTTTTCCATTTTTGTTCGTCCTATAATAAAGTATTCATTTTATTTTTTAATAACTGTACCATCTACTTAACATTACAAATACCCTTCAAATTTACAATATATTGCACAAATATCATTACTTTTATATCATACAATACTAATAAGGACAATTTAGTCTTTTTACCTTTATTTCTACTATTTTATAAAAATATATTATTCTATTTTACAAAATATTACTCTCTCCGTCCCATAACAAAGTATCCATTTTTCTTTAATAACTGTACTATGTACCTAACATTACAAATATCCTTACAATTTACAATATATTACACAAATGTCATTACCTTTATATCACACGTACTAATAAGGTTATTTTAGTCATTTCTACTTCATTCCCACTGCATCTCAATATAATACTAATAATTCTAAAATTGTTTGTAAAAAGCAAATGAATATCTAATTATGAGACGCTGAGGAAGTATTATATCCAAATCAATACACCAATAAACACGCCCACATCACACTAAAAAAATAATATATTTGTAACGGAATTCCGTCCCTAAAGTTCACGTAGCTAACGTAATTACATTCCTATTTCCGTCTCTGATGTCATTAGTAACGGAAAAAAAATAGATTTAGAGAAAAAAAAAAATTGTTACAAAAATAATTTTTTTTTTTAGTGTCAATGTTTCAAATTAAATAAAATTATGAAGGAATAGGGCATGATGGGCATGAGATAGGGTGCATACTATATTTGTTAAAATAAACAATATAGTACGTGACTAAATGTTCTCTGTCACACTCGATTTTGAAAGAAAATAAATTCACAATATATATATATATAGAAATGCATGTAGTAGTATTTTTATTTATATTTATTTATATATATCTTATTTATATTTATTTATATACATTATTAAATTCAAAACTATGTACGTTTGCTGCATTACATATTCTTTTTCTCGAGTAGTCATTTTCTCTACTCTGCCCTAATTTATTAGGTCGCTGGACCAGTGCTATATATATACATACTATACATATAAATTAATTATTTATATTTTAATAAATAAATAAATATATATTTATATATAGAGTTCATATATCAATATTTTGAATTAAACTATAGAAACAACTCAATAATAAACTATATATATTTTTCTTCTCTTCGTCAAAATTATATCGCCTTCTTAATTTGTAAAGAAACAACTCGATAATAAATCATATAAAAAATATATATCTTCTTTGCCCGACATAATTATATATATCACTTTTTTTTAGAGTGAAATCTTTTTTTTCGGATGGAAAAAATACTATATTTTACGTTGTGTTCTTTAGCATAGATTCAAGAACAAATATCAAAGGTATTTTTTTGTCACCGGAATCTAATATTTTTACTATATAATTCTTATGATTTGTGATAAAAATATACTATTATTTTTTATAAAAATAAAAATTAAAATTAATATACTATTTTCAAGAAAATCAAACACACATACAAACCATACAAGTTTTAAATTTATAGTATAATTTATTAAATTTTTTTCTTTAAAAAACACCACATTTAATATTTTATATTGAAAATATTGTACCAAAACTATTTGTTATATTTCAAATATTACATTAAAATTTGTTTTTCAGTCAAAATTTTTTAGGTTGTGCTTATATTTTTTTCAAGTGTTTTGGAGTTTCAAAGAATTTTAGGAAGAACAAAAAGTTGAATATAAGGTAGGTAGGTAATGGGATATAAATAAATATTAATAAAATACTTTTTATTTTTTTTTTATGTGTATAAAGAATTTTGTTTAGATTTGCTTTCTCCGGATATATTCAACCCGGAATGTACTATAAGGTTTTCCAAACATATACCAAACCTAACATGGTTCGAACATGAGCCAACTGATTCAATTTTAATTTTACGCAAATTGTGTAGAGACTTATTTATATCAATCCATTCTTCTTTCCGACTTTGATGTTGTTACCCGATTGTTGCTCTAGTTTGTTTCACCCGTCGTGTTTCTCCAGAGCTATGTGTCCGACTGCATTGAGAGTCCCGTCATTTTTGACTCGTCGTTATCAACGTGCAAGTTTCGTAGAGTAACCTATTTCCTACTTCCACATAAGAGTTCTGTGACTCGTCATTATCCACGTGCAAGTTTTGTAGAGTGATGTATTTCCTCCTTGCACATGAGAATTTTGTTGTTTCCGATCCCAGTAAGAGTCTCATCATTTCCGACTCTAATTCAGTTGAGAGCATTGCTACTGATTTTGACATGGTGAATGATTGTAGCTGCGTGTTGCAAACTCAAGTTGTTTCTACAATATCACTTGAGTTTGAGTGAAAATGTTGAGATATTTAAGTTATTAGGTTTAGATTTTATGGATTTGGTTTTATATATTAGATTATATTGTTATAATTTGAGTCTATTGAGTCTATATGTCATGTTTATTTAAACAGGCTTTTATCTTCGTGAACATTAATGCAATTTTCCAATTTTCTCAAAATAATTTCTAATAGATATAAAATATAAATAAATATTTGATATAATATTTTTAATGAAATATTTTTTATATATAGCATATGATATGAAACATATGATATTTTAGGAAGAAAAAAATGTAGACGAATCCTACTTAAAACAAGTGGTAGAAAATACAATCAAATAAATTCATATCATATTTTGTAAAAAATAAAATATTTGATGAATTTTATTTTTCATGATACTGTAAAATACGCATAACAAAAGTTATAACACCTCGTACATACACTACAAAAAAATAGTATATTTGTAACGGAATTTCGTTCCTAAAGTTCACGTAGCTAACGTAATTCCATCTCTAATTCCGTCTCTAATATCATTAGTAACGGAAAAAGTGAATTTAGGAACGAAAAAATCTCTTACAAAATTGATAATTTCTTGTAGTGATATATTATCAGTTAAATACATTTTTTTATAAAATTTTCATAATATTTATACATAACTTCTACTTATATATATATATATATATTAATTTTAAATTGTGTTCTTTTTTAGGTTTTAACATAGATTTTTAGTATTCAAATTTTTTTTCTCAAAATATCACATCAAACAATTATTTTTTTTATATTATACTAGAAATTTATTTTATATTCAAAACATCACATCAACATCTATTTATACCACATCGAACAACTATTCAATTTCAACTTTTACTATTTATAAATCCAAACTCAAAATTTCAAACCCACGGACAAAAACACCCTTAGGGTGGGTGTGTTTGTTTGAGGAATTTTGTGGGATTCCTACTATTCTCACAAAATTTTTCCTCCAAAAATATCAAATTAAACATTTATTTTTTATATTATACTAAAAATCAATTTTACATTCAAAACATCACATCAACACTTATTTATATCACTATCATACAACTATTCAAATTCAAAATTTTTACTATTCAAATCCTTAGTGTCTCAACCAAATGGACATACTTTTGCGGTCGAATGGAATATATAATGGAATATATAAATAGGCACAATAAAGAAGATTTTTGATGTATATGTTTTTTTTTTAGTTTATACATAAAGAAGATTTTTGGTGTATATGCTTTTTTTTTTTTGTTTATATATAAAGAAGATTTTTGGTATATTTTTTTTTAGTTCATATATATTAGATTTGAAAGTTTAATATTTTTATTAAAATAATCTTCAATGTAATACTTTACGAGAAGAAATATTATATATATACTTTTTTAAAAATATAAAATTCAAATAGTATTGAATGAAAATTTTAAAGTTTCAAGCTGCATAAAATATATATTATTTTTTTTTATAATATGAAAATTTGCAGCCGTTATTCAAAAGTGCGGATTGGGTAAATTATATATCATTTTTTATTATAATAAAAGTAGTTCATATATAAATAACTAAGGCTCTGTTTTACTGCACAGTGATCCAATCCAAAATTGGGCTGGAGGGAGTTTGGGGGACAGACTCACACA